GTTACTATAGGCAATAAGATTAAGAGCCCATCCCTCTCCTTACGGCCGCTCCCTTACGTATGCATCGTTGCGGCCAATGAATAGGGAATGGCCAGAAGAAGGAAGCCCTTTCCCTGGATTGGCCGCTAAGATGGACCAAGGGTTATGGATTAGAGGGGGGGGGGTTGTTATAAAGAAATGGCATATGATGACGGATAATTGAGTTGAAATGACAAGAACATTGTTTACAAAAGCAAAAACAGCAAAAACTTTCTTTACAGAATTTAAAAAGGCAAGAACTTTCTTTACAAAACAAAAAATGGCAAGAACTTTCTTTACAAGATTTAAAAGAGCAAGAACTTCCTTCACAGAATTTCAAACGACAAAAACTTTCTTTCCAAAATTAAAAGTAACAAGAATTTTCTTTATAGAATATAAAATGGCAAGAACTTTCCTTACAAAACAGAATATGGCAATTTCTTCACAGAATTTCAAATGGCGAATACTTTTGATGTTTTGTAAAGAAAGTTCTTGACATTTTTTCTAAAAATTCCTCCATATCACCCTACCCTAATATGTTGCCCTATGTTAAAGCGCCTTGAACCGGATACGCCGGGTTATATAATTGGTGGCGCAATCTTATAAGCACGCTCCTAATCCAATTCATTCTTAAACTGTCACCACATAATTGTCGCTTCTTAATTACCGTATTATTATCCTACGTCTTTGATGCGCGCCGAAAGATGTTTTGGTCGGAAATAGGGGTTTTTAGGTATAAAAAAAAGATTTTTTTTAATTTAAAAACAATTTTTTTTCAGACCCCCAAAAAGAATCTGTAGCGGCAATCTAAAACCCGCCAACCCCATCCCGTATTTTACATAACAATTCAATTTCAAAAAACGACTCTGAAAATCCGTATCCTTTGTATAACTGGTCTCTTTCGACCTGCGCCCTAAAGTTATTTCACAAATTTCAAAAACTCAAGATATTCCACTACGTGTATAAAATTTTATTTCTCTTCCGACATAATAATTTCAAAAAGTTCATTCCTTCCTCCCCTTTCTGCTCCGTCGTATAAAATATTCTCTCCAGCCTGCAGCATGATGATAAATACATACAAATTTCAATGAAAATTTCAGAAAATTTCAAAAAATTTATGAAAATGAATTCTTTTTCCACACTAAGCATTAAAATTTTTAAAAATAAACCTTTCTCTCCTCCCCTCCTCTCCCGTTGTATAAAATGTCCCCTCCGAGCCGCGCCCTCACTACTCTTCAAAAACCCTCAATTTCAAGAGCGAAATCATAAAACTCAATACAATGATGCCTTTCCAAATCCGATACACCAATTAGCTAACTTGAAAGCCGTTCCCGAACTCTCGACCAAAACTTTTTTTCCAACAAAAAACTCAGTCAAATGAAAGTAATCGCGACAAAGGGCCGCGACACAACACTGGGACACAAAAAACGAAGCGCGACCGACATAAAGACATCGGGATAATATACGATAATTGGTTCGGCTATGTACGATAAAAAAATCTTGTTGAACATGGATAAGATTGATCAATGTTACCAGTAACAATATCTAGATAAAGTTAAAAAATTAAAAATTTTCAAAAAAAATATTTAAAAAACTTTTTGCGCCAAAAAGTGAAATATGGCAACGCTAATGTTATATATCAATAAATTCTACTTTTCCAAAGCTTTTAAAAGCACTAATCAAAATTTTTCAAAAAAGCCCTTTTAAATCCAAAAAATCAATATAAGAATTGACAGCACCGTGCAGTCTCAAAAAATGATTGCACCGTGCAGTTCGCTTTTTTCACAAAATATTGCAAATTGTAAAGAAAGTTTTTGCCATTTAAAAAAAGAAAAGAATTAGGATAAACAGCTAATTCGATTACCTAACATATTGTCCATACCTACATACCGTAAAACAAAAATTCATTATAATAACAATATAAACTGTCAGCGTAGGCCTAAAACTGTAATTACCCATAACCAATCATTCCGTATTTTACCCAGAATGACGTAATATATCCATTTACCATAATTTTTAAAACCATAAAAGCATAAAATGACATGGTATATTATTTCTTCTACAGGTTATTCGAGGTTAATTATAATTAACATATGGCTTAAGATACGATGACTAGTCTACGATATGTGTTGTGCAAGCTTTTTGTATTGTCATTGACCAGCTGGGGTTGGTCAAGTAGAAATTTTTTGAAAAATTAGAGTTGGAAAGAAAGTTTTTAAAAGACAAGAACTTTCTTTACAAAACAAAAATTGGCAAGAACTTTCTTTAAAGAACAAAAAATAGCAAGAACTTTCTTTCCAACGCAAAAAATGGCAAAAACTCTCTTTACAAATTAAGAAAATGTCATTCATCGTATAATTTGTCACCCGCAGCCTGCGAACTTCAAACTATTAGTCATTTTACATAAAAATGGCAAAAACTTTCTTTACAAAGCAAAAAATGACAAGAACTTTCTTTACAAAACAAAAAAAATGCAAAAACTTTCATTCCAAAGCTCAAAAACCAAAAATTTCAAAAAATTTTTACTTTACTGTCCCAAAACCAGCAAAAAAAGCCGAGTAATTAAGATATTACAATTATTTTGCAAGATTTGACCCGCTTAGCATAGAAAAAATTGCTGCGAGGGTGGAATTAAAAGTAAATAGTCTCAAGAGGTTTAAGTAGAACCAAATCTTACAATAATATAAGCAATTAGCGGCTTATAATACTTTTACTCACATTACTAAATAGACGGGAGATCGTTGTTTATTTTTGGTAATAAGAAAGGGTTAAGAATCGTTTTTCAAATAGAAAGAAATTATTTTTGATCATAAAATAGCAAAAACTTTCTTTACAAGCCAAAAAAATGTTTTTTAAAAAAAAGTGTCCATAACATATTTTTATCAAAATGTGAAAAATTCGAATTTTAAGCTTCTAAGTAGTATTTAAAAAACAGTTTTTAGGTTTTTTTGAAATTTAAAAAAATCCGACAACGTAACATTTTTTCCAAAAAAAGCGTCATGGTGACATGTTTGCTAACTAAAAATAATAAAATTGCAAGCGTGGTCGTAAAGTAATATTCAAATACAACTCATCATAATTTTTTTAATTTTAAAAAATCCGTCATCATGACACATTTTTCAAAAAAGAACGTCATAATGACGCAATTTTTGAAAAGTATGCATTTTTTGGTCATAACAATGTTAGTCCTACAAAATTCTCTAAAAACCGCAAGAACTTTCTTTACAAATCAAAAAATAGCAATAATTTTCTTTACAAAACCCAAAACGGCAAGAACTTTGTTTACAAAACACAAAACGGCAAGAACTTTCTTTCCAAATCAAAAAACGGCAAAAACTTCTTTAAAATCAAAAACGGCAAAGACTTTCTTTCAAAAACAAAGCTAAACCTCGATGTCCAAATAAAGAATTCGTTTTGAAATTAAACTAACATAAACCTCTTTCGATTCAACGTATACAACCCCTGAGGGGAAATTGGCGCGTGCAATTAATTCAAAGGCCAACTCTCTGTTTAAGACGTTTGCACGCGAAAAAAAAGGTCGAGAATGTTTTGGACGTCTTAAGAAAGTCACAAACATGGTAAAAGGGCATTGTTACAACATTTTCGAATTAATTAACAATGTTTACCGTTTTAAAATGTAGTTTTTAAAAGTATTGAGTATTTTGACGTTTGCACGGTGTAATCGAAAGAATAAATGCACCGTGCAAGTTGTTTATACTAAGTAATCACCTTTGTTTTGATCCCTTTCACAGAATACTGAGCTAAACTTGAAACAAATTATAGCTTTTTAGAAAGAACAAAACCTCTACTTAATATTAAACTCAATTTTTATTATTATAGAGATCAAACCCACCCTAAAAATTAAAAAAAAACCAGCTTATACTTGCCCGGATTTTGACATGTAAGACAATATTGAGCGCTCTACAAAAATACTCAGCATAAGTTGGGTCAAGCTATACCTCACTAAAAAGCAAAAATCATCTACATTCTGATAAAAACTAAGAGCTTCATTGTAAATTTCAAAATCAACCTAAAAATCAACAAAAACTTTAATATACTTACTTGATATTGATCAAGTTTCTGCTCGAATGCTTCAGAAGTGAACCGAATATAATCCATTGATTCTTGTTTTACTTCAAATACCCTGCCAATACCTCTAGCAGTCGTTGAATTAACCATTTGTTTCATTTCTGTCCCAAATATCTAATTTTCCAACTGGATATTGTTGTAGACTGAAAAATATTTGAATCACAGCAAAAATAAGCCAAAAACTTTACAAAGCTAACGATAAACAAAACAAAAAACATTAATAAACCTAAAAAAATCTTACAAAGCCAATAAACTCCACTAAAAGCGATTGTGATCCTGATTCGCCACGATATTGTTCTTGGCCGTCTCCCATCGTCCGATAGCCTTGTTGAAGTCGAAAAGTAACTCCAAACCTCGCTGAATCTTGTCACATTAATCATACATAGATTCCTAAACATAAAACGTATAAAATAAATGATAAACTTACTTTAACTTTCATTATTTTATCCATTTCCATCAAAGAACGTTGAAGGAACGAGGAGAAAACCTATCTTTTCAGGCATTTTTGGCTTCTACCATGAAAATATATATTCTTAAACATAAAATATAGCAAGTTAAACTTACTCTAACATTCACTATTCTATCCATTTTACAATCAAGAACAACGATGAAACCAAGAGAACATCTATTTTTTGAGGAAAAGTAGCAACTCGGTCTGAAAATCAATAAATGTGTAACAAAGTGTCAAAATCACAAAAATTGTCGAAAAATTGTGAAAATGGCTAAAAAGACGTTTTGAATTTTTAAAAAATTAAATTTTTTTTCAAAAGATATTTTTCAATTTTTAAAATTTGAATATTTCAACCTTTCATTCCTTGGTTCTCTCCATGGTCTAGATCCTTTCATTTACCATCTTTTCTCTTGCACGGTGCGGTCGCCACAGCATAAACGGTATGAGCCAACCGGATGCCGAGCTCATACATGAGCCGTATTACCATGGTAAATTATTTTTATGTTTTTGTATGGGCATTGACAGTAACTTTCTTTACAAAACAGAAAATGGCAATAACTTTATTTACAAAACAAAAAATGGCAATAACTTTCTTTACAAAGCCTGAAATGGCAATAACTTTCTTTACAAAGCTTAAAATGGCAAAAACTTACTTTACAAAGCTTAAAATGGCAAAAACTTACTTTCCATGATAAAAATTTTCAAATTATTACATCAAGAATGACATTTCAGGATTTATTACACGTGAAGATGTGGCTCCGATGCTAGAAAGAGAAGGCGATTTCATTGTCCGTTTGAGTGAACCAACTGGTGAAAACAAGCGCGGCTACGTGGTTTCATCTTTGGTCTACTTGATCAACAACGAGAAGACGGTAAGGACTTTCTTTACAAAACAAAAAATGGCAAGAACTTTCTTTACATACCCCATTTTACAATAACTTTCTTTCCAGATCAATCATTTTGTGGTAAAAGAAGAAAACGGTCAATTTGCCATCGACAAGGAGTTCTTTGCGTCAATTTCAGCCATGATCAAGTTCTACACTAAGACCGAGGAGCCAGTGATTGCCAATCCATCAAATCCACTCGAGACTGGCGTCCTGAGACGAGGCATCGGCCGACAATCGTGGGAACTCGACCAGTCGCTTCTTTTTGCCGGACCAGCCTTGGGTGAGGGCGCATTTGGCGAAGTCCGAAAAGGCAAAATCAAGCTGCCAAATGGAGAGTTTGCCCACGTCGCCATTAAGTACGCCAAGTCGGCCAGTATGACCAAGACCAACATCAAGGACTTTATGAATGAGGTGGGGTAGTTTTGAATAGTTTTGGTTTTTGAGGCTTTTTAAATTTCTTTATAAACTGCACCGTGCAAGCCTCTTTGTATGCTGAAGAAACCCCGATTATTCGATCCCGTCCGATCTGGCAAGTTAAGCAACGGTGCGCTTGATTATTCGGCACGGGTTCGAATCCGCTTGGAGGAAAAGGCGTCTTTTCGTGGATTTTGATAGTGGAAATAAAGTTTTTGTGAATTTCATGATAAAAGATGACTTTTAAATTATATTTGTTAAAATTTTGTTTTTTAAAATACGATTTTAGGCTTATTTTTCGTAAAAAATTCGAACCCCCTGGAGAAAAAGGCGTTTTTTGAGAGTTCGAGAAAGTGGAACGAAAGTTTTTGCCCATTTTATAAAAAAATATTGATTTTGAAACATCATTTGATATATTGTGAAGGTTATTTGTAACGAAAGTTTTTGCAAAATTTTGATTTTTGTGTTTTTTAACCTTTGAAACACTTGATTTTGACTAAAAATTTTTTAAAAAGGCCCCAACCTTGATTTTTTTGCTAAACTAAATTATATTTCATCCCTTTCCAGGCCAGAATGTTGCGACAATTTGACCATCCGAACATAATCAAGTTCTATGGCGTAGCCGCGACCGAAGAACCGCTGTTATTGGTGATGGAATTGGCCGATGCAGGCTCGTTGACCGGGGTCTTGAAGAAGGGGTCGCCACGCCATTTTTAATTGTACAGTTGTGCTACGACGCTAGTCAAGGCCTGGACCACATCCATAAAAAGAATATTATTCATCGCGACATTGCGGCGAGAAATTGTCTGTGTAGTGGCGGATCGGTCAAGATTAGCGACTTTGGAATGGCACGGCCTGGACCGGTTTATCGACTGGTCGATGAGAAGGCCAAGGTGCCGATTAAATGGTGGGTGATGTTGTTTGTTGTTGTTTTTTAAACAAGATTAAAAATTTTAAAAAGCATGTTGAAATGACACATTTTTTTGAATTTTTTAAACACTGTCAAAATTTGAAAAATAACCTTTAGGCTAGCCCCCGAAGCCATGGGCGAGTTTGTCTACTCCTACCCCACCGATGTCTGGGCCTTTGGCCTCCTCTGCTGGGAAATGTACACGAAGCAAGAGCCATATAACCATGTCAGTGTAGCGGATGTGATCAAAAAAGTGAAAAAGGAGAAGAAACTCTTATCCTTTCCGAAAGAAACCCCACAAGAAATGGCCGACATTATCATCAATGGCTGTTGGTCTTACAAGCCGGAGAAGCGGGCGAGTATGCATCAGATCGGGACACTGCTGGCCGAATTGCTCAAGGTGTACAAGACCAAGCCGGAGACGGTGGGTTTTTTGACTTTTTTTTTGAATTTAGGTATTTGAAAATTCAAAAAGATTTCAAAAAATGTGGGGTAAGATTTGGCATTCTTTTTTGTAAAAAATAAGTCATAATGACGGATCTTTTGGAAAATATGTCATATGACGAATTTTTCACAATTTTAAAAAAATTTGCAAAAATCAAACTTGATGATGTTTTATCAACATCCCAACGTGGCATACGCTCGTTAAAAACATGTCATCATAACATATTTAAAAATATGTCATGATGACATATTTTTTTCGAAAAGAAATTGCCATTTCAAATTAAACCTGCCATTTCAGCCACAACAAGATTCGAAAATCGGAAATGCACTATCACTAATAGGCCAATCTCAATGCACACCAAGCGCCAGTCCAGCCGCACCCACCAACAGCAAGTCCAAAAAGAGAAAGCAGACCAAGAACAAGAAAAAGAAAAAGATCATTAGAATGCTGATTTTGGCCAATAAATATTTTTTAGCTTTGAATTTTGAATTATTTTGTTATTTTGAAATGCATTTTCTTCGATGCGTATTTTACAAAACAGTCATGATGACACATTTTTTGAAAATAAATGTCATGATGACCAGGGCCGGGCGCGAGGGTACAAAAAATATATGTCATTATGACATATTTTATGGAAAACGCGTCATGATGACATATTTTTAGGCAATAACATGTACGAACCAATACCATTACAACAGCAATACCAACTTTAACCCGGTTGATTCATTGCCTTACTAACCATGATTCTTTTCGTCACACTACACTGTAAGCCCTGAAGGCTGATCTTAGTTTTATACTCGTTTCAAGGTAATCGTTGGGTGATTGATCGCCCGTCTGTGGCAATTGATAATCATAAAGTGTGTGGTTGTAACAGGCTATTTTCAGCTGTTTAACCCTGGTTTCGGTCGGTATTTGTTTAATATTGTACTTTAAACATCAGCTTAAAGGCCCATTTAGGCTATTTTGAGGCGTTTTCAATTTTTTTTGAAATTTGATTTTGTAAAGAAAGTTTCTGCATGTTTAAAATTTTTTAGGTGTAAATTTTCATTTTCTATTACTTCTAAACCTCAAAACGCCATATTCTCACCTCCTTTATACCTAAAACCTCATTGCCCCCCCCAACTTATTACCTAAAAATATTCAAAAACCCGTTTTCCCGCCAAACTTCAAAATGCCAAAAATTATATTCCAATGGTATTTATTTACATATTTTTGACTTTGAGTCGGGAAGAGAAAGTGCACTTTTCGATGAGATCCGAGAGAAACGAAACGAAAGATTGGTTATTAAGACATGAACAATATAGGTCATGTACAATATAAAATCTCCATAAGACATAATTTTACTAAAAATATGTCATCATGACAAATTTTTCAAAAAATCAGTCATCATGACACATTTTTAAAAAACTCAAAAAATCATCAAATAAGACTGAAAAACTTGACTATGACTGACTACTGTAGTTGAACACACCCGTTATGTTGTAATAGTTACTCGCTTTTGACGGTGAAAAGGTTAATATTGAAGGTTTGTTGGTCGTATTGTGAAGTCACGGTGAAGGTGCACAGACTGCCTTCGTGTTGTGATTCGTTCGGGAATTTGTTGGTGTTTTCGGTCACATGCTTACGAACGTTGAGGCCTTGGCGACGGCATTCGGCTTCAAATTCGTCTTCGGACATGTTTGGGCACTCGGATAGGGTTAATGAGTGGGACTTGAGGTCCTCGGTTTGGGCCGCTTTATTAAGCCATTCCTGTAAAAAATGGAAATTAATATCATATATGATCAGCAGAATCATTTTTTAAACTAAAATTGTCATAATGACACATTTTTTGAAAAAATGTCATGATGACACATTTTTTGAACTTTTTCAAAATCGACAAAAAATGCAGTTTTACGATTATAAATTAGATTTTAAGCTCATTTATGATCGTTTTAACCCTCCCATCTCAACCTTCTACTCAAAAAACAAAAACCAAACTTACATTAACATAAGAGCAGACCGCTGGCACCGTAACCATGCACCGACTGATGGTAAAAGCCGGGAAGATGCCACGTTCGACAAAAGTTTCCAAACTGGTATCAGTCAGCTGGATTTCATCGTGTTCCGCATTATCTTCACCATCCTTGAACTGAATACTCAACCTTCTGACCTTACTACTGCCCAACAACAATACGTGTTCGTCTGTGATTAGGTCTGGAGCAACATTGTCAATACCGTAGAACTCCAAAACTTCCAATTTGGCCGAACATGTGGTCAATAGACGCTTCATAACATCAGATGACAACTTTCCTAGATCAACGTTCTTCAATGTCAGCTGTATTGGTTCGAACTTTCTGCATTTTTCGAATTGTGTGCATAAGAAACGAACAAATCTGTCTGTGAGAGCGCCTTTGGGGAAGTTCTCCATGATAAGACGTTGGAAGTTGAGTTGATCAAAGGCAAATTCAAAGGAAGTGTCTTGGTTAATATCATCTTTGTTTATGTACAACTCTCGGATAGCGGGTTCATCGTTTCCACCGGCATATTGGCACCAGGCCAGCTTGTATTGTGCAGAATCCTTTACATAAGTGATGGTTAACCGAGATACCTAAAATTTGGAAAAATTAGTATTGGAGACCTGATACCTAAACTGTGTAAATTTATATCTAGAACAATATAAAACTACCTAAATTTTTCCTTTTTAAATTAAAACAAAGTCTAATCCATCTACTGAACCTATAATAACGATCTAAAACAGCTATTATTCCCAGGTTGTAATCAATTTTATATTGACCATCCAAACCCCTCGACGGTCAATGTTAATGTCTGTGTTTCACAACCAATTTTTACGATTTCTTATCTCAAACCAACAACAAAAGTTAGTCAAAACCACAAACATGTTCGCCATAACCCGCCACTATCAAACCCATCAATTAAAAACCATCTTTAACCATATTTATATTACACTAGACATCAGGTAAGAGAAGTTAACGTTTTACTGTAAACCCGACTTTAACTTTGTTTTCTTTTGATAACAAAAGATAGTTAAGCTCCGTAACATCGTTATCAACGCTTTTCGATTCAAAGATCAGTTCATTTTACTTGTTCTTAATCGATTTTTGATTAAACACCAAGAACTTGTTATACCTTGATGTTTAGATGTTAATATAAAGTTATTCCTGAGAGATCTAGTTCATAAAAGCTTTCTAAAACCAAGAAAAAGTAATATGAAATGTTACTTACATTAACAACCGGCAATTGAGATCGGATTTGACGCTTTTCCACCAATCCGGCCCATCTACAACAAGTTTGACGAGCGTTCAAGATGGATTTCTTGTCTAGATGACAGAGAACGTTCTCTAACATCTCACTGGGAAGGTTTTGAATGCCCAAAGGTTGGGGCTTTGTAATAGAAGTCTTTGGAGATATACTAAGTCGAGATCTTTTCGTCGGGAGATCGGATAAACGAGATCGGAGTTTTGCCAACCTATAACAATACCGTTTTTGAAAATTTTTAATAAAAGGATGGAGGAAAAAGCTTGATAACTTTATGAAAAAGATACTTGAGAATCAAATACAGCTTTTACATTATAAAATAGATATAGACAAAGCTCCAAAAACCTACATTTGAGTGCCAAAAAGCTTGCGCACGGTGTAGCTGGCGTGCTTCTCTTCCAACTCGGTCTTCTGTGAATGGAAAAACATTCTGATTCGGCTAGTCGTGGTGAAGAACGTCTTTCTGAAGGGGTTTTTATAAGTTTAACAGCACATTAACGCGATCAATTATATTGTGAATGCACGTGAAAAAGAAAAGATTTGGAGAGAAAAGTGAGATTCGCCGTTGTGACGAAATGTCACAAACAGTGGTGGCGGAGACGAGAAGCTGATAAACATGTGTTGTATCGAAATCCGCGTAGTAATAGTCTGTTATGTGACGCAAATTTAATTGTCACCCCATGGAATTGGTTTTTACTAGGCGTTTCCGAGAGCTAGTAAAATATAAACTTTGTCACGCAATGTCACAATTGATTGGGATTTACAAAGTAGTGTGGATGATTGTAAGGGTAAGTATAAAGGTTAAAAAAAGTAAAGTATGTCATAAAAAATTAAAATCAATCAGTTATGAATGAGGAAAAAATTTTTTGGCTTATGATATTATCTATGATACCAAAAGCGTTATAATAACATTAAAAGCTGTTACAGTAATCGTACAGTAAAAAAATTAACCCCAGCGTACAATATAAAGTAAATTAGTATAATATCAGCTACATTTTTACACTCTATGAGCAATGACCTTAACTTAGAGCCACTAATCATCATAACTAGCTACAGTAACCAAACAGTAACCATATTTCAAAATCGACTTAAAAAAACCAAGTTTAAAATACAATATAGACTAATTTTGTGTAATGTCACATACAAGTCGGACTCGTAGCAAGCGAAAAATACTTTTATAAGTCGAGAGAAGCACCTTTAAAGATATGTGATGTTATCTTCGCCGCGAATCAATTTAAAGGACGCCTTTATTAAACCGATGGGAATGGGTTCTTTAAAAAGGCGATGGTCCAACCCCTTCGGAGACTGCCCATCAATAGCGAGGAAGGCAAGGGTTCTTATCATTCATCGCAAATCCTCTCAAAACGATCGGGGTAAGGGGTGGAGACCGGGGGAGAAGGAAGGCAAGGAGAGAGGGCCGGGGGAAAAAGAAGGGGGGGGAGGATAAGGGGAGAGAAAAGATATTACTTTTTGCCTGATCTCTCCGCCCCAGACAAAAAAAAATAAAAAACGATAGGTTTTCTAGCCTGACTGCTTATATGATCGTCTCGGATCTCTTCATGAGATGATCAGGTATCAGTACCCTTTAGATGATTTTGAGTTAGAGAGATATGATCATTAAAGAGACTGGTAAAAGAGTAAATAGTATGACCATAAGAGAGAGAGAGGAGAGAAGCAGATAGTGAACGTATGATTGTAAGACAGAGAGGTCGATAATAAACGTAAGATCATAAGAGAGAGATAGGTAGAGCATGTATAGTATGACCATAACCAAGCGCGGTAGAGATTCAATGCAAGGATCAGAAGAGAGATGTAGAGAGTAAATAGTATTACTGTTAATGAGAGGGTTAGAGAATATAAGCACAACAGAGAAAGCTATATGGTGAATAGTAAGTAACACAATAAGAGAGAGAGAGAGAGAGCTAGAGTGTGAATGGTACGGTCGTATAGAACCATAACTGACAGAGCTAGTGAGTGACTATTATGACCATAACAAAGAAAGAGGTAAAGAACAAAAATATGCCTGTAGGTAGAGGATCAGAGCTATTATACAATCGAAAACAAAAGACTAGAATACGGTGACAGCGAAAACATAAGGTAGAAGAGATCAAACACGTGAATATCAGCTCCCTTCTTTGATTAAAAAGCTAAAGAAAAGATCAATAACAAAAGAGAGAGACCAACGAAGCAAGAGAAAAGCCTTGAGGTAGTATAGCAGACAAAAAGATTACACAAAAACGAGAGAGAGAATTAAAGAAATAAAGAAAAATAAAGATAAAAAAGTTAAAGAAGACCTAAAGGAACCCAAACATCTATAAGAAGTTAGAGAAAAACGCAAGATAATTAGAAAATACGAAGCCACAGAGATATATGTTATGAATGATCACTGACCAGATTTATAATTAAAGCTGCGAGAACTTTCTTTACAAAGCAAGAAATGGCAAAAACTTTCTTTACAAAAGAAAATATGCCAAGAATTTTATAAAAAATGAAATCAAAGCTTTCTGATCACAATAAATAGTAAGCAGACTGTGTACCAAAGAGTAGGTTTCGTAATCACTCAGAACAGAGATAAAAGTTGTATTCATAAAAAGTCATATTAGTGATAAACAAGTATGAATAAATACTTTGGCTTCGAAGGGAAAACAGCCTCTTTTCTTATCACTCCTCACTGATTCAAACTTTTATAATTGAGAGGACTGAAAGTGAGGTTTTTAGATAAAAATGGAAAGAACTTTCTTTACAAGATCAAAAACGGCAAGAACTTTTTTTACAAAAGAAGAAATGGCAAGAACTTTCTTTACAAAATAAGAAATGGCAAGAACTTTCTTTACAAAACTAGAAATGGCAAAAAATTTCTTTACAAAACAGAAAACAACTTATACTGAACAAAAAGGACTGGCGTAGTAATGTTAACAATACTTATCACGTATTTTACCATACAGATAGCGTCTTATTTTTTTTGTCATAGACAAGTGTATTCCTACGTTCAGGATAATAAGATGCACTACATGTACATAAGTAAAAATTTTTTTTATCTCTACTTATTATTTTTGTATTTTATATATGTTACGTCAGAGTTATTGTACACAAATGCTTCTAGAATTATTCTTCTTGATCTCTTACTCTACCCTTGTTTTATCAAGATACAGTAGGAAAGAGTAAGGCAGGTCAGGTCGAAGCAAAGAACGGTACGATTAGGGTATGAATAGGTAGGACGAAATAGGACAGAACAAGCCAGGGTAGAGTAGAGTAGGATAGGGTAGGGTAGGGTAGGGCAGGGTAGGATAGCATAGGGTAGGGTAGGGTAGGGTAGGGTAGGGTTAGGTAGGGTAGGGTAGAGTAGGGTAGGGTAGGGTAGGGTAGGGTAGGGTAGGGTAGGGTAGGGTAGGGTAGGGTAGGGTTAGGTAGGGTAGGGTAGGGTAGGGTAGGGTAGGGTAGGGTAGGGTAGGGTAGGGTAGGGTAGGGTAGGGTAGGGTAGGGTAGGGTAGGGTGGGGTAGGGTTAGGTAGGGTAGGGTAGGGTAGGGTAGGGTTGGGTAGGGTTAGGTAGGGTTAGGTAGGGTTAGGTAGGGTAGGGTAGGGTAGGGTAGGGTAGGGTAGGGTAGGGTAGGGGTTGGGTAGGGTTAGGTAGGGTTAGGTAGGGTAGGGTAGGGTAGGGTAGGGGTAGGGTAGGGTAGGGTAGGGTTGGGTAGGGTTAGGTAGGGTAGGGTAGAGTAGGGTAGGGTAGGGTAGGGTAGGGTTGGGTAGGGTTAGGTAGGGTAGGGTAGGGTAGGGTAGGGTAGGGTAGGGTAGGGTAGGGTAGGGGTAGGGTAGGGTAGGGTAGGGTAGGGTAGGGTAGGGTAGGGTAGGGTTAGGTAGGGTTAGGTAGGGTAGGGTAGGGTAGGGTAGGGTAGGGTAGGGTAGGGTTGGGTAGGGTTAGGTAGGGTTAGGTAGGGCAGGGGTAGGGTAGGGTAGGGTAGGGTAGGGTAGGGTAGGGTTGGGTAGGGTTAGGTAGGGTAGGGTAGAGTAGGGTAGGGTAGGGTAGGGTAGGGTAGGGTAGGGTAGGGTAGGGTAGGGTAGGGTAGGGTAGGGTAGGGTAGGGTAGGGTTGGGTAGGGTTAGGTAGGGTAGGGTAGAGTAGGGTAGGGTAGGGTTGGGTAGGGTTAGGTAGGGTAGGGTAGGGTAGGGTAGGGTAGGGTAGGGTAGGGTAGGGTAGGGTAGGGTAGGGTAGGGTAGGGTAGGGTAGGGTAGGGTAGGGTAGGGTAGAGTAGGGTTGGGTAGGGTTATGTAGGGTAGGGTAGGGTAATAGTACTAACGCACTAAACATTATTATATGTTACACTATAAAGTTGATCTTTCAAACGCACCCAAAGTATCTTGTTTACTTTGTTATCATTGTCTACGTCTTTGATCGTTAATACATTACATTACTGTTTTAGAGATAAACATTTGTTTTATCAGGAATGAAAAACATCTGTCTGAATGGTGTTTTCCAGGGAATGTCGTATCTTTCGGGGCTTCGAGAAGCTTCCAAGTGATCTTTGTTATGATCACACTGACCTTAACGAGCAATATTGATTAGGCAAAGTATAACATAGAGAAACATTTTTTTTATGTTTAGGATATTCTGAGGCCTAAAAATTTACAAAAATTGTATTTAATGAAATTTCTTGCCATTTTTTGCTTTGTAAGGAAAGTTCTTGCTAATTTTAGGTTTGTATAGAAGTTATTGCCATTTTTCATCTTGAAAGTTGTCTTATACATCTTTTACTCATCAATAGACATTTGTATACACAAATTCACTGACGTCTACGTGCATATCTTATTTCCTATGTGCAAATTGTGGTCGAATCTCATACGCATTATGCGTTATGGTTTGTGATTCGAATCTTTAAAAATCATATGAAAAACACGATATTGACATAGTAGTTTGATATTGTAGTACTTTGATCGGTGTTAGGAATGGAATGGTAATTTTAATGTTGTTCTTGTAGAACGAAGGTCACGATAATTACAGTAGGAAATGTCGTCAGACAAAAGTATTTTATGTAGTTGTAATTTGAGTTAAATAGAATAAAATTAGATATAATTTTCTTTACAAATTAGAAAATAGCAAAAAAAAATTCAATTTTTCTGCACGGTGCAAGATATTACAAGATTGCACGGTGCAGTCATTTTTTAAAAATTCACTGTGCCATTCTTTTTAAATTTTACAAAGTAAAAACAGTTTTATGAGCTTCTTATTGCCACATGTAATAAGTTATTACAATATTTGTTACCTAAAATATTTAGCAACCTTTACAGTAATAAAAATAATTTTTTTTGCACTGTGCAAAGAAATTAAAATACTGCACGGTGCAACAGAAATAATGATTTTATTGGGAAAAAGACAAAAAAAATGGCAAGAACTTTCTTTACAAAACAAAAAATGGCAAGAACTTTCTTTACAAAACAAAAAATGGCAAGAACTTTCTTTTCAAAACAAAAAATAGCAAGAACTTTCTTTACAAAATTAAAAATGGCAAGAACTTTCTTTACAAAAGAAAAATGGCAAGAACTTTCCTTACAAAACATAAAATAGCAAGAACTTTCCTTACAAGCAGAAAATGACAAAGACTTTTTTTACAAAACAAACAATGACGAGAACTTTCTTTACAAATCAAAAATAAAAAAACTTAGTTGCTATTATAAAATTAAAAAACCAATTTTTCATTCACCAACCCTTAAAAAGATCACTCCAGAATCTTTAAAGATCGCCGTTCCGTGCCGTTCCTGCAAAATCTAGAACGGCATAAACTTTGTTTACACATTTTTTAACAATTTTTCATTGAATGATAATGACTTTCGCGAAATTTCGGCGACAAAATTGTCGCTAAAAATAAATTTCCCCCGTTTTTGGCTTCTCTACGGTCTCTTTGTTCTCTATGCTCTCTTGCTTCGCTTCCTGTGATCGCTTTTACTTTGTGTGATCTTTTTTACCATTGATTTGGTCTTTAAAGAGTACGATAACTTTTGGAACCGGTTGATTTACTCTTTAAAATTGGTCGTTTAAAGTACGGGGAGACAGGGGGGAGGGGTGGAATAGAGAAAGGGATTGTTGTCTGTCACGTGAAGATAATGTGACAGATTTGATGAGAAATGGCTTTTTGAGAGGAAAATGTGATTTCTTTGATATGGAATTGAATTTTAGGTATCAAAAATAGGTTTTTAAATAAAAAAATGAATTTTTAGGTAACAACCCTTAATTTTTAAACCCAAACTGAAATACTATGTAGCAAACGCCATTTGGCCTTTTGATTGGGTTTGACGGGTGCACGAAAGCGAAGAGAGCAGTAGAGAGAGAGAGAGAGAACTTGGAAGACAAAGCGAGAAAAGAATATAAAAGCGTAATGCTAATTCTACTAAGTCTAATCTTACTATCCTAAGCCTACTAAGTCTATGCTTACTAATCTTAAATCTGCTAAGTCTAAGCCTACTAAGCTTATTAAGCCTTAAGCCCACCAAGCTTAGTCTTACTAAGCCTAAACCTACTAGTTCTAAATTTTTTTCAGCCTAAGCTTATCAAACCTAAGCCTGCTTAGCTTAAGCTTACTAATCTTGAGCCTAATGGATTAAAGTACAGCTACCATATGTCCTACTACATGACGTAGGCCAATCTACAACACATGTTTTCACAGTCTTTTTCTACTGGTTAATAGGCCAACCTTTTCGAATGGCAACCCTTAACCAAATGTTCAAAAAAACTTGTTGTTAACCCCTAATCACGAGCTGATTGCCAAAGGACAAAGTTTATCTAAAGTACGTGCTTTCTCGTCCCAGACTGACAAGACTTATCACAACAGTTGGTCTTTTTATTGATCATGAGCTTCTGAACTGATCTTTCTCACTTTTCTTTCACGTGAAGAGTAGGAAGGTTATAATGACTGTATGACCAATATAACATCTTTATGATTAATATAAGACCTCTATGATCAATATAACGTCTCTATGATTAATACTGTTACAGAGATGACTTTTAAAAGTTACAAAGTTGGTGTACTTTGCACAAATAACTGATCAAAATATTTGTAGTTGATAAAAAGTTTGATTAAAATTTTTACGGTCATTATAAGATGACATGTGACTTTTAAAGATGATAGAGGTAACGAGTAATGATTAGGTTGCTGCTATTCCAGATATGACTTTTAATAGTTATATTTGTAGTTTGTGGCTGGTACAACGATGATTTAGGTACTTTTTCTTATCGGACAAAAAATTAGTGTTTTTGTAACATTCCTGTTTCAAAACGGCATATTGCAAAGAAAGTTATGACTAAACTTGTTTACCATTGACTTTTAGCTGCAAAATTGCAGTAGAAGTGGTACTGAAAACACTTTAAACAAACAAATCTTAGTTAATATAGTAAATTTTGATTAGGTTTAGACTTAGTAGACTTAGTGAAGCTTGGCTTAGTGGGCTTAGATTTAGTGGGCTTAAGCTTAGTAGGCTTAGACTTAGTAGGCTTAGGTTTAGTAGACTTTGGTTTAGTAGGCTTAAGCTTAGTAGGCTTAGTAAGTTTTGGCTTAGTAGGCTTAAGCTTAGTAGGCTTAGTAAGTTTTGGCTTAGTAGGCTTATGTTTAACAAGCTTAGAATTTCTAAGAAGGGGCTTTGCAATGTGACTTAGCAGGCTTAGACTATTATGTCATGCGGTATTTTATATAAGCTTAAGTTTAATAGATTTAGGCTTAGTTTTTGCATTATTCATTGACTATAGTGTTTTATTATTGGTTTTCAAAGCCTTTTTTTGGCATTTTTTTTTCTATTCCTTTGGCGCTTGCTTTTCCCCTCTTTCTCTCTACCGCTCTCTTCTCTCTCGCGCACCCTTTAAACCCAACCAAAAGGCATTTGTACCTCTCAATCCGATCCCCCTTCCATTAGCTCATAAACTTACCTGGCTGGGAGAGCGGCATGATCAAGAAGATGTCGCCTCCATGGTGAGGCCCTCCCATTGCACTTTGGGGACGGGTTGACCTGTGTGGCAGCTCCGAGTTGGGGTTGGCCAACAGCTAAATTTTTGCGTTTCGAGGTCTTCGGGCTTCTTATATTAGACTGGATTAGGTAGGGTGCTTGGGTTTTTAGGCTTTGATTAAAAGTTAGGATAAAGTTTGGATTTAGGCTTAGTTTTAATGTTATGCTTAGGCTTAGAATTAGGCTAATACTTAGACTTTAATCCTCTCCTCTTAAGCTTAAACCTAAACTAATGTTAAGCTTTGACTTAACCGTAGGCTTATCACTGTTATCAACCAATTGAAATCTTACAGTAACCTTTACACTCAAAGTTTCATTTCGTTGACACATACAGTCACCCCCCCGCTTCCAATATCATGCTCTAGTCATCGTTCATCGATAACATATTGTCATCAATCAGACGATTCGATCCGTTCTGTCTCTATTTTTAATCAAAAAAACTGTTTTTTGCCCTTATCAACCGTTGGTAAACATTTTGTTCGAACGACTTTTAAAAAACATTCCGGATCTTAAGAAGGCGACCAACTTTACTGCACAAGTTGTTTAGTAAACACGTTCTGTTTGTAGACAAAATACCAAAATTGTGGTCCAGAAAGTTTACTACAAGGTTGTGGTACGTTGGTTTACACAGTAATAGCCAAATATTTTACAGTAATGTAAAATATTTGGCTTATTTATTAGTTACAAAGTTTATACAATAAAATACAAAATTACAAGAATATAAAGAATGAAAAAGTTTAAAATGTCATAGAGATGTTATTTGGCAGTAGTAGAGAGATAAATCGATAAATGGCAAGCATCACAATTTTATAAGATCTGGAAAGTTTAGGCTTGCAAAGGCTTAAATTTAGTAACATTTATAATAGCTTATTAGGTTTAAGCTCAGGTGTATATAGGCTTAGGCTTAATAAGTTTAAGCGTATTAGGGGTGTGCTGCGGTGGTTTAGACTTAGTAGTCTTGGGCTGAGTAGTCTTAGTTCTATAGGCTTAACCTTGGTTGGAATACCTTTTAGTAAACTCATGTTTAATAAGCTAAAGCATGGTAGCCGTAGGCTCAGTAAACTTATGCTTTATAGACTGGCTTGGGTCAAACAGAGTTTCTAAATTGTCCGGGCATCGGCTACGCTAAAGCTCTGGCTCCAGCTGCTGTAAAGCTGGAGCACGAGCCAAAACGTGTCAAATTTCAGTGTTGAAGTTCCCTGGAACCAGTACGACTTTGGCCCCACAGCGCCTACGGCTCCGACACTATCTGGCTCTAACTGCTCTGAAACTGGAGCCAGCAAACAACAATTATAGTAATAAAGACATGAGTTAAGCAGAACAACGACTAAATTTTTTTAACGACTAAATATAACATAATATATGCCTATAAAAACATAAAACTTTACCTTCCGGAGTAACCTTCAACTTGTAAATGTAAGTATAAGACAATATAACTAGTCAATGTACGGCAATACAACAGTTTTAAAACTTTAAACAACCATGAAAATCAAACAACTTGTTCCAACCTTCTCCGCCGCGGCGGAGGCGGCAGAATTGTACTAACTGCATATGGCTGTCTCTGAGCTTGTGGTCGATAATTCCTCTCGTTTTGAGGAAACGGTAGATAGTCCTCCGAACTGTAATAGCCCGGGTCCTGTAGCGCCAATCGTTTCCTTTTCCGTTCGGGCGTGGGTGTCAGCTCGGAATGCTTTTTCCGACGCAACGACCGGTCGTATTGGTCGATTTGGAACTTAGACTGGTCATTGTTTAGGTTAAAGTCACTGACTGCTTCTGGATACGATTTTTGTTCAAACGAATGTTGATCATAGTCTCGGTTGAGGATGAAGTGTTTGGATTCTTCGTATTTTCTGAAAAAATTGTGAAATTACATATGAAATGGCAGTTTCTAAATTAATAGAAGGTCGAGCACTCCAGTGGTACTAAGTTAATTAAAAAAAAATAAAAAATTGTTTTAAAATTTTATTTTTTCTTTAAATTTTACTTTTTTTGAAAATTTTTAAATATATTACTACTAATACCTTAGTGGTACTACTGGTACACTTTTGAACAAAACTATATAAAAATTTCTCACAATTAAAATTTAAAAAAAATCATCAAAAATTTTCAAAATAGTACTATTGGTACCTTAGTGGTACCACTGGTACACTTTCTTAAAACTTCCTTTATATTGTTCTCAGTTCACAAAAAAATAAACCTTTTCCAAAAATTTTGTTTAATGATACAGATGAATGCCTAGTAGTAATAATAGTACAGTTTTTTAAAATACGCCGATTGAACCAATAATCACATAATTCAAAATACCTTACTTTTTCTGATGAAAAGCACACAAAACAGCCATGATCAGTAACAACAATGCTAGCACAAACAGTAATATGAAGCCGAGCATTAACCAGAAGAAGAGATCTCTTCGAGCTTTCGTAGATTCATAAGTGGAATTGAGATATGTTAGTTTTTCTTCACATGTTCCTGAAATTTTGAAGTAAATTTGAAAATTTTGAAGATTTTTTCGTATTTTAGAGACTGTAAAGAAATTTTTTGCCATTTTTTGTTTTGTAAAGAAAGTTCTTGCCATAAAAAGCCCTGTAAAGAAAGTTCTTGTCATTTCATGATTTGTAAATAAAGTTTTTGCCATATTTTGTTTTGTAAAGAAAGTTCTTGCCATAAATAGCCCTGTAAAGAAAGTTCTTGCCATTTTTTGCCCGCTAAAGAAAGTTTTTGCCATTTTTTTCAAAAAATACTTACTTGGTGGAGGAATGGCGCCATTTTTGTATAAACAAGTATCCTGATCAACATCTGGATCATTGCAACAAATTTTACTGCCATTTACGGGATTACACTCGTAACATTCACCTTCACGTTGTTGTAGACATACAACATTACATTGGAAGCCATAGGAATGGTCTCGGTTACAGGCTTTTCTGTAGGTCAAGGTTATTGGCCTAAAAGTTAAAATATAAGCCTAAAAAGTAAAAATATAAGCTCAAAAAGTAGAAACTAAAGCCTTAAAAGAAGAAATAAAAGCTTGAAAAGTAGGAACATAAGCCTTAAACGTAGAAATTTGACACTGAAAGTAGAAATATAAACCTAAAATTAGAAATAAAACCTTGAAGAGAATTAACATAATCCTGTAAAATCAAAATATAAGCCTTAAAAGTAAAAAAAAGCCTGAAAAGAGGAACTATATGACTGGAAAGAAGAAATTTAAGTCAAAAGTGAAAATATACGACTCAAAATAAGAAATATAAGCCTTAAAAGTAGAAATAAAAACCCAAAAAGAAAAAATAGTAGACAGAAATGTAAAAATGAAAGCCTAAAAAGCAAAAATATAAACCTATGAGAGTAGAAACAAGCCCAACCAAAAGTAGAACCCTACAATAAAGAAAAATAGAGCCAAGAAAATAGGAAAGAAAGTCTACAAAATAGAAATATTAGCCTTAAATATATTAATATAAGCTATAAATAAACAAAAAGTTAGCCCTATAACTCTTGCAAAATAAATTTAAAAAGCCTACCATTCTTTGCCTATTTTAGTACTAACTTTAGTTGGAGCTGTTTCGTTGAAAGTAGTCTTTGCCATAGTAAATAAGGTTATTTCATCCATAATTTCATTTGGTGCGCCATTATCAAAGTATTCGATTGAAGGAGTTGCACTAATAACTATAGCATCCTAAAAAAATTTAAGTTTACTAAGCATAAGCCTACTGAGCCTAGACCTCATAAGTTAAGTCTATTCCTTCCTCTTCTACTGCACCTAAACCTAGTAAGCTAAAATCGAACAAAGATTGCTCAAAATCTATGTGATGTTGTCTAATATTAATGACACAATTTAATAGCCTTAGAGAAATTATAAGAAACGGTGTTACGCAACTTCCTCTTATGTAATATTATGTATTTTTATAATATTTGCCTCGAGTTAAAACGACCCAACAAATGACTGCGAGTGTTGGTATGTTGCTGCAAATTACAGCTAGCTATTACTTGTTTTATATGCCATATTTCGAAAAGAATGAAACCGGAATTACTGATTAACTTAAAGGTACTAAGCTTAAGCCTAAAGTATGTTATGTTTAAGCCTGAAAAGGCTAAACCTAAGTCAATGCTAAAACCGAAGCTTATGCCTTAGTTTAAGCTTGTGGTTAAACCTAAGCTTATGCTTACGCCTCTGGTTATGGATATGGCTTTTGCTATAGGTATATCTGGACCTAAGTCTAAGATTACTAAGCCTGTGTTTACTAAGCGTAAGCCTAATAAGTCCAAATCTGCTAAGCCTAAGCTGAATACGATGTCTAAGCCTACTAAGCCTGTGCCTACTAAAACTAAGCCTAATAAGTCTAAGTCTACTAAGCCTGGGCCAACTAAGACTAAGCATACGAAGTCTAAGCCTACTAAGCCTGTGTCTCCTTAGTCTAAGCCTACTAAGCCTGTGCCTACTAAGCCTAAGCCTACAAAGCCCTAAAGCTATTATGTTTAAACGTAAGCAATTTTAAGCCTAAAATTACGGCTATTTTCTCAAAAAAAATTTAAAAAAAGTCAAAAAACTCACAACTGGATTAGCAATCATAAATGAGATTTGTTCAATTCGGCAGGTTATCTCCTTTCCCGTGTCCATTAACGCACAAGAGTTTGTCGCTCTTGTCACTATACTTCCTCTGAAACATTGAATTTTCATTTTTATATTATTGTAGATTGAAAATTCTTGTAGGTCGAGATAGAAAACAAAGAAATAAAATCATACAAATCTAAACCTACCTCAAATTACCAAAAGCAGCTTTAAAATCAAGCATGAGGTGGGCTTGAAGACTTCGTTCATAATTTCCAGTTACTATGATTTCAATGCCTTCTAGGTACACAATCGACTCACTGAATGTACTGTTTTCAGCTGCTTTGGCCTGAAATTGAGAATTTTTGGTAAAATACGCCGCGTCCGCCGAAGAACTTTCTTTACAGAAGAAGAAATGGCAAGAACTATCTTCACAAAACATAAAATGGCAAGAACTTTCTTTACATAATATAAAATAGCAAAAACTTCCTTTAGAAAAAAATGGCATAAACTTTCTCTGTAAAACAGAAAATGCCAAAAAATTTCTTTACAAAACAAAAAAAGCAAGAACTTTCTTTACAAAACAAAAAATAACAAAAACTTTACTTCCAAAGCAAAAAAGAGCCAAAACTTTTTTTACAAATCAAAAATTGCAGAATTTTCTTTCCAACAATTAAAAAAAATTAAAAAATTTTTCCAAATAACTTACATTCTGGACCCCCAAAATCAGTGTTAGTAATAGAAATTCCCCAAATTTAGGCGGGAATATCATTGCCCTGAAGGCGAATATTAATCGAAATCGCTGTGAGGAATCGTTTCCATTTTTATGCCTTTTACTGATAAAAATGCAAAAGAAAAAACGCTTAAGTATCGTTTGTTTGCCTTAAGGCGTATAAACGTCTTCATATTGTTGTATAAACAAACTCATTCCCAACCTGATGACATGATTTCTGGAACAATTGTAACTCGGTCTGATTAGAGGGATTAATCGCTTGTTTTTGGAGAGGTAATTAGCAGTTTTGGTAGCAATTGGACAAGTTTTAAGAAGCTGAAACTAAAAAAGGGGGTTTTTGAACATAAAAATTTCTATAATTTCCTTTACAACACAGTAAATGACAAAAACTTTCTTTACAAACTAAAAAATGACAAGAACTTTCTTTACAAACGAAGAAATAACAAAAAAGTTTTTTACACAACACAAATTGTCAAGAACTTTCTTTACAAAACAAAAAATAGCAAGAACTTTCGTTACTTAAGAAAAAATGGCAGAAACTCTCTTTACAATACTTTTTCACTGTGCAATCGTCGTTAACTTAAGCCTTGCACAGTGCAGTCTTTTTTATGATATCAAACTTTAGCTCTTTGCTTGATTTTAAGATAAAAAATAAAAAAGCAGTTTATACAACATCAAAAATGGCAACAACTTTCTTTACAAAACTAAAAATTAAATATTTTTTTTGTAACTTCTGTTTTGAAAAAAAAGTTGTTGTCATTTTTGAATTTATTAAATTTTTTAATAAATTTTACATTTTGTGGTACAACATAATGAAATGCAAACTGAAGCACTTTAAAACAGCCATTAATATACCTTTTTTATGAAGAACTATGAAAAATGTAAATCACTATACAAATATTCATGAGATCGATTGTCGTAAAAATATTGATTTATGAAAGAATCAGCTTCTGAATTATGACATTTTTTAATAAAACTAACATCAATTTGTCTAAACATAGTTTAAAATTCTAGTCATAAAGATAAACAGCAAAAGTCCGATAATTCCGTGGCACTCCGCTCAAAAAGTCAATCGTGGCGTTTCGTCCCAAGATAAAGGAGAAAAATATTTTATTTTTGCGAAATTTTGACGAAAAACAACTGAAAAGTTGTTATGTAAGCAATGTCCTCACCAGGCGGATGGCAAAAAGACATCTCCGCGATTCTAACAACGATTCAGCTTCTGGCCAAGAGCCAGCTCGGATATGAAGGACGACAAGTTGGTGAAAAATTGACAAAAAAGGGGCTGGAGACACTGATTGCTGCCGGAAATGTTCAACGACCTTTCGATGATCCTCATTATGGTCAAAGACAGTAAGTTTACACTGTTTGCAACAGTTTTATATTATTTCTGTGGTTTTAGGTTCACATTTGAAAAGGAAACACAGGATTTTCTGAATGAAACCAAGAAAATCTTGGATAAAAACGTGAAACCTGTCTTGGATCAGGCTAAAACGCAAGCGGAAAGCATCGTCAGACCTTTGGCCAAGTCTGTTGGAGTTGATAATGTTCAAAAACCTGCTGTCAATTCAACTTTTAACCCGATTCCAGCTGGCCTAACACCAGAAGAAGAGCGAGTTTTGATCTTCGAAGCGAAACGAGTTGGAGTTGATGTCAAGAAGCCGCCTGTAGTGCCTCATAATATTCATCTACAACACTCTCATCCAATTCACAGGGATCAAAAGGATTATCGACCATCATTGCCAAAGGTAAATCTTGATTTAGTTATGTTATTCTTTAGGAATACAGGGTAAACTTGAACTACAACAACAAAAACTTGTCGAAATCACAAGAAAGAAAGGTGCCATCGAGTAGACTAGCTAGAGTGTATAATTTCGGAGCTCTGGCGGTTGGATTGGGGACAGGAGCGGCCGCTGAGCTTGGGAGGAGGACGGTTGGGATCAAGGGGGATCAACAAGTTGAGAACCCATTTTTGACTGCCGCCAATGCTGAAAGGGTTGTGGAGACGTTGTGCAGAGTGCGTGGAGCTGCTTTGAAGTTGGGGCAGATGTTGAGCATTCAAGGTAAGTTATTTTCTTAATTTTTTGTTGTTTTAAGTAACAAGATTGGATAGAAATATTAAAATAGGTATAAAAATAGATTCAACGAGGAATTTTAATATTTTTTTTGGGTTTTATAATATTTGTGAATGTGAAATACGCATAAAACTTTCGAACTTTTCAAAAAATAGTAAAATTCTAGACGAAACAATGATTCCTCGTTACTGGCTGGATATTTTTGATCGAGTGCGACATAGCGCTGACTTTATGCCAATAAAACAAGTAAAACAACAACTGGCAGCTGAGTTGGGACCAGAATGGAGAACATTGTTCAGAGAATTTGATGAAAAACCGTTTGCAGCGGCTTCTATTGGACAGGTGAGGGTCTGATGGGTAGTGTAATATTATCTTAGCTTTTTTGTAAAATTTTTGAGGAATTACAGTTCAAATTAATTGGAGAGTGTTGAGAAAGGTCTGGTTTATGAGTTGAAAGTGTTTTACATGCACTTTGTGTTGATTTTTTATTGTTTTGAAAGATTTTAATAAAGTTAGGACATCGAGGTCAAGTGTAATATAATTTTTGTTATTTTTGCAAATTTTTTGAGCTTTTTTGACATTATTTTTATGATATTATCTTATAAAGGTCTTTAATACATCTGTGAACGTCTATTATTTTCAGGTTCACAAAGCAGTAAGCCTAGACGGAACAAAACTAGCCGTCAAAGTACAATATCCAGGCGTAGCAGAAGGTATCGACTCGGATATTCAAAATCTGGTGTCGGTTCTAAAATTTGGCGGCTTATTTCCAAAAGGAATGTACCTAGAAGAGTTTGTTAATGTGGCAAGAAGAGAGCTAAAAGCTGAATGTGATTACGAACGTGAAGCCGATGCCATGATCAGAATGCGCGACCATTTGGCTGACGATGACAGCTTCTTCATACCTGGGGTTTTTCCAAATTTGTCGTCGAAACGGATCTTGACTACGGAGTTTGTGGAGGGAAAACCTGTTGATGAGTGTGTGGATGAACCACAGGAGGTCAGGGACTATATCTCGGCCAAGTTTATGGAGTTGTGCTTGAAGGAAGTGTTCTTGTTCAGGTTTATGCAGGTATGGAAGGGAGTTTTTAGAGTTGGTATGAAGGTTTTTGTGAAAAAAGTTTTTTTGAAAGTTCGAAAATTAAAAAAAAATTGAAATTTCGAGTTTTAAAAAGTTAAAAAATATTTTTTTCAGACCGACCCAAACTGGTCCAACTTCTTCTTCGGACTTCATCCAAAAACTGGCGAAAGTCGACTGATCCTCCTAGACTTTGGCGCAGCTCGAGAATACCCAAAAGAATTTGTCGACAAATACATGAAAATTCTTCACGGTGCATATAATCAAGATCGAGAAGCCATGCTACATCATTCAAGGGAGATTGGCTTTCTAACAGGTTTTGAGGATAAGGTCATGGAGAAGGCGCATGTTGATTCGATCTCGATTTTGGCCGAAACTTTGGTGGCCAGAGAGCCATACGATTTTGGAAGACAGGTAGGGTGGAGAAGGGTAATAGGGGTTGGCAGTGACGATATAAGGGGGTGTTTTGGTTGGAAATGGCAATTCAGGGCTATTTTAGAGATATAGCAGTTATTTTCATTTTTTGCACGGTGCTGTTGAAAAACGCAAATTCTTGCACCGTGTAATACAAAAAGTGAATTTTTAGGTAATTTTTTAAAAATTTTAATACAATTTGACTAATATATATGTACTAACTTAATAATAAGGGCTATTTTCGAAAAAAAGTGATAAAGTTCTTATTATTTTTTAATTTTTCTGCACGGTGCAATTAAAAAATTAAGTTTGCGATTTTCAAAGGGGGTTTTTTCAAAAAGTGTACCAATAGTACCAATAGCTGAAGAAAATAAAGGGTATTCTGAGAAATGTTACAATTATGGCATTTTTTTATTTTGTTTGGGTTTTACAATAAAAAATAATTTTTTGTTTGCACCGTGCAGATTTTTAAGGAATTTTTGATTTTTTTTGGAATTGAATGCTTTTTAAAAGATTTTGGTTTAAAAAAGGGATTATTATGTTAAGCTTGACAATATTTTCAGGACGTAACAGCCAGAATTCAAAAGTTAGTACCAGTAATGCTAGAACATCGTCTGAAAGCACCACCTGAAGAGGTATACTCATTACATCGAAAACTGTCAGGAGCCTACTTATTAGCTACAAAACTCAAGGCCAAAGTCGCTTGTGGCCCATTATTTCACGAAATTTCGGAGAAATACGAATTTGACTCAAAAACCGCTACTGCCGTATAACTTGTCACTACAGCGTAACACATGTCATCTCGATGTATACATATTGTGTCATTTTAGGTTATAACTTGGATATTTATGGGCTTTGTAGTTAGTGTGGTTTACTGAAAGGAATTTTGTACGTAATTTTGAATTTTTGGGGATAATTTGGCATTTTTTCGTATAAAATGCACCTCAGCGTATAAGATGTCACCGTGTTGTATAAGTTGGTATTTTGATTTAATTTTCGACTTTTTAAGATGCGACAGGTTTTGTTAGAAGATTTAGTGACATTTTATTACATTTTGGAAACTACTATGTTTAAAAATGGCAGGTTATAGCGGAAAATGTCTTTTCATCGTATAAAATGTCGCTTTTTTGAAAAAGCTAAAGTTATGGTTTAAAATAGTGAAATTTTGGTAAAATACGTAGGTAGTACATTTTGTACCGTGGAAGAAAGTCAAGGTGAATGTTTGGCCACAAATTAGGAACAATTTTCTTAATGTTTTTATATTGTTATTGTTAATTTATAACATTTTATTTAATAAAATTAGAAAATGTGAGTTGAATGTGGTTTTTATTGGTCATATCAGTTGATATACTGATTAGTATTTTTATTTTTGACGTTTTTTTTAATTTTTAATTTTTTTTTGAAATTTTAGAAAATATTTAATTTTAAAAAGATTTTTCAAAGAATGATCTTTTACTTTACCATACTGTGGCCGTTTGTTATATTATATTAGCCAATCTATCCCAAGCCTTATGAAACCCTATTTCAGCTTATATGTGGCACAACCTAACCCCACGCCTGATAAAATGTGCCAATTGCCAGCTTGTACGATGTGCCGCAACAAGTGCACAATTGACCGAACCAGAACCTAAAGTAGAAGTGAAAGAAGCAAAGAAAACGAAGAAAGCGGAAGAGAAACCAAAGTTGGAATGGGAACAAAAGATTGCCGACTTCTTGAGTGTTCAGCTGGCACGGGAACATCGACGATACTCGAGTGAAAAGAAGAAGAAACGCATCGAACATATCGTCATTTGGTAGGAGTTTGTACCTATATTTAGTATGAGTAAGGATAGTTTGCCAGTAGCGGTATTTATAGTTAGGTAAAACTAGGGTGGGTTGGGCAGATTATGGTGAACAGGTAAGATAAGGTAAGTTAGGGTAGTGTAGGGTATGGTATTGTAGGGTAGGGTAAGACAGAGTAGGGTAGGGTATTATAGAGTAGGGTAAGGCACAGTAGGGTAGGGTAGTGTAAGGTACGGTATTATAGGTTAGAGTAAGGCAGAGTAAGGTCCGAAAGGATAAGGTATTGTACAGTAAGGTAGGGTAGAATAGGCAATTGTAATGCTGTATACGGTAAATTACGGCAACTCAGAGGCGAATGCGATATGGTAGTTTACACTACTATCTAGGCTGTGGTATTAGATGTTAGAGTGTGGTACGGTAATTGGAGGATATGATATGATAGGCTCTTTAGAAGGTACGTGATGGTTTAAGAAAGGTAAAGTACGGCTTGCGTTGGTTACGGTAGATCTATGGTAAAGTAGTGTACTGTGGGGTGAGTTAGGGCAGGATAAGGTGAAGTAGGGTAAGGAAGGGTAGAGTAAGGTTAGCTAAGGTAGGGCAGGGTAGGGTTGGGTAGAGTGTGTAGGGTATGGTAGGGTAGGGTAAGGTAGGGTTGGCTAGGGTTGAATAGAGCAGTTTTAGACTAATTTATATTATTTTAGCCACATACGAGACCAGAAAATAGTGCCACTTTTGTCATATTTAGTGCGATTAGTACAGTCAAAAGAAGTCATTGGTGGACGCGTGGATTACAGCGAGGTAAGTTGACTTTAAATGGCAAAAACTTTCTTTACAAAATAAAAAACGGCAAGAACTTTTTTTAAAAATAAAAAATGACAAAAACTTTCTTTACAAACTTCTTTTTACAATTAAAAATTTTTATAATTTTAGGTATTTGCCTCATCACTAAAGCATATCTCCAAGCACTTATCTCGAATAGCCAACGACCACGAGTACCTACAATCAAATAAGGCAATCCCATTTTTTCACAATTTATTCGAAATTCTGCCTGCCATTCCAATGACTTCAGACGACTCGATCAGTGCCATCGCATTAACTTTGGCACGATTGGAAGAGCTAACCACAATTCCAGATAATTTGAAGATAAAACGATCAAAAGTCGTGGGCGCAGTCCAGAAACGACTGACCATGGCGGTAAGGTCTTATAATGGCAACAACTTTCTTTACAAAATAAGAAATGGCAAGAAATTTCTTTACAAAGTGTAAAATGGCAAGAACTTTCTTTACAATGTGTAAAATGGCAAGAACTTTCTTTACAAAGTGTAAAATGGCAAGAACTTTCTTTACAAAGTGTAAAATGGCAAGAACTTTCTTTACAAAACAAAAAATTGCAAGAACTTTTTTTACAAATCAAAAAATGGCAAGAACTTTCTTTACAAGACGAAAACTTGCAAAAACTTTCTTTACAATCTTTAAAAATGACTTTTCAGACGAGTACTCAACTGCCAAAACAGAATCGTATCTTCTTCAACGACGCCGAATACGAAGTGATATCAAACTACATTCAATGCGGTTTCGATCGAATACCAATGGAAGAAACACCCCCAAACCTAAAATACAGTGACACACCTCTAGCCGAAACTCTAAACACACCCTGCCAACCGGTCGATTACCAAGGCAACCCATTCATAAGTCAAAAATGGTCAAAAAAAGAATTTCGACAAAAGTTCCTGGAACTTTTGGACCGCGAACAGCGCTATTGTATTCAGGTGGAGAACTTCTCGAGGAATAGTATTGAAAAGCCGATGGAGAGGTTGTTAGAGGAATGGAAGTGGAGGGACGCCATCAAAGGCTGCTTCGATGTCATGAGGAACAAGGTGTCACAGGTCAATGGTAAGATAGGTTTTTTGAAGAAATAATGGTTTTTGTATTTTAAAGTGGCAATTTTTTACTTTTTGATAATACAGGAGGGGAAGTAAAGGCAAAAATAGGTTTTTTTTTGGTACTAATGGTACCAAAGATGGTACTGATGGTACACTTTGAAAAAATTTTTGCGTTTTTATGATTTTTTTATTAAAAAAGAGGTATAAACAACTTTTTTGGTGTTTGGTACTACTGGTACCTAAGGTGGTACTGATGGTACACTTTGAAAATTTTTTTATATTTTGTTGGATTTTGAATTTAAAAACGGTTTAAAAAATTATTTTTTTGAGTTGTGGTACTAATGGTACTTAAGGTAGTACTGTTCGTACACTTGGAAAAAATAAAAAAATGATCTTTTTAAATTTTTAAAATTTTTGAAATTTCAGTAAAATTGTTCATCAACGGCCTGGACGCGGCCAAAGTCGCGGACCGCCTCTACGAATGTGTGATAGTAGCCCTCTGCACCGGTCAAAAAGTCCTCGCCATACCCGAACTAGAATCCGCAATGGCTCACGCTCTATTAGACTTGGCACATTCCGAATTCACAGCCAATGTTCTCGAAAGTTCGACTGACTTATTCACTGAAGTTTATGATAAATATCTTCAATACTTTGACGAAAACAGCACGATACCCAGAGAGTACACCCAACGAGAATGGTGGTACAAGTGTGCCGAGGAAGCGAGGGTGGATCCCAACTTTCATATCCCAATGGGCGGGGTATCAAAGGCGAGTACCGAGGAGTTGGGAGAGTTTTTGGTGTCAGTGGTGATGAATGCTTGCTACGTACCGCCTAGTCAGTTGAGGAAGAGTGGGTTTTTTAGATCTTTGTTAAAGATTTTTTGAAAATTTGAAGTTTTTAAAATTTTTTTTGAAGTTGAAAAATTTTTTGAAATTTGATAAAAATAAAAAAATATTGTTATATCAGTTGCTATTAATATGAAAACTACGTTTTAAGTTTATATTTTAACTGTTTAAAACCATTTTTGGTTTTATTGCACGGTGCAAGCCTTTTTTTCCATAGTAAAAGAGGACTGCACGGTGCAGTCGCTGTTTTCTATAGAAAAAGACGCTTGCACAGTGCAAAAAACTTAAAAATAGCTATAGAAAGTAAAAATATGAATTTACAACAGCAAATTTAAAATTTTTAAAATTATTACTTACAGAAAAACGAGGAAACATCAAGGCATTCTCCTTTCGCAATGTTAACATCGACGAAAAATCGGATTGGGTAGAAAACGCATACAAAATCAATGTCAACAAAATGATACAAGTACATCCAGCATTGGTGGAGTTGCTAGATATTCATCAATTCAAACATTTATTATTTCCGTTTCGTGCTTTGCCTACTACGGTAAGAGATATATAAACTTTTTGAATGCACTGTGCAACTTAAATTGAGCCGTGCAGTCGAATTTGAGCTTGCACCGTGCACTTTAATTCGAGATTGCATCGTGCAGTCTGTTTTTGTTCTTGCACCGTGCAGTCTAATTTGAGGTTGCACAGTGCAGCCAATTACCTTGCTTGCACCGTGCAAAATTCTCTTTATCTTTACGAAAAATGGAAAAACCTTGTCTACAAGCAATAATAAGCATACATTTAGTTGCCTCCAAGGCCATGGATGGACAAGGGCTTATGTGGTCCAATGTACACGAAAGAATCCGAACCTTTGAGGAATTTATACGAATTCAAGGACTGTAATGTGAACGTTGAGATGAGGAAACGACTACGAAATGAGTAAGAATTTTAATATTTTTGGTAGTTTTAGTTGTTTTAGGTACATTTAGAAGTTTGAAAATTGATTTTGAAAAATTTTGTGAAATGGTACTCAAGTGGTACTGTTGGTACACTTTTTGGAAAAAGTGTTAAAAATGGGTTATGGTGTGTCAATTTAAGGGCATGTTTTAAATTTTTTTGGTTTATGGTACTAATGATACAACTGGTACACTTTTTTCAAAATTAAAAAAAAACTTTTTAAAATTTTAAAATTTGCCAAAATTGTGAGGCATAATATTATAGAGCTCAAGGAAGGCCAGTATTCGACGCACTCAACGATCTAGGCTCAACTCCATGGATTCTGAATCAGGCTACACTCAAAGAACTGATTCACGCTTTTGATTTGTCTTTCAAGCCAGATCAACGAGAGATTTTGGAGAATTTGGCCATACCAATGCATCCATCAACAGTCAAAGTACCGACCTTCGAAGAGGAGTTTGGAGTTCATAAAAAAGTGGCAGATGTATCGAGTATGGAATTCATACAATTCTCGAAGAAACAATACGAAGCTAGCAAGGAGCAGTGAGTTTTTGGAGGTTTTTGAAGTTTTCTAAGCTTTTTATGTGATTTTAGTTGATTCAGAGGTTTTTGATGGAGTTTTTGATGATTTTTAGACGTTTAAACAAATTTTGTAAAATGGTACTAATGGTACTATAAGTGGTACTGTTGGTACACTTTTAAAAAATGTTTTAAATTGGATTTTTATGAAGTTTAAAAGTAAAAAAAAGCTATTTTGCTTGGTTTGGTATTACTGGTACACTTTAAAAGTTTATCGTTTAACTCTGTAAACAAAGTTTTTGCTATTTTCAGAAACGAGACTAACTCTCTCTGGTACTGGCTGATGTATCGCCTGGTCCTAGCACGCCATTTCCGCGATGAAATGCTCTACTTCCCCCACAATATGGACTTTCGAGGCCGAGTCTACCCAATATCACCTCACCTAAATCATATGGGAGATGATATCAACCGGTCGTTGTTAAAATTCGCTCGAGGCAAACCGATGGGCAAAAAAGGCTTTGAATGGCTAAAATTACATTGTATTAATCTGACTGGACTAATGAAACGACAGTCAGTGGAAGAGCGGCTAGCATATGCCGAAGAGAACTTGGGTACCATTATTGATTCGGCCGAGAACCCATGGAACGGTACAAAATGGTGGATGAGCTCTGAAGACCCATGGCAGACGCTAGCGGCTTGTATGGAGATTAGAGATGTCATTTCGAGTGGAATACGGTCGGAGAACTACGTATCACACCTGCCAATTCATCAGGATGGCAGTTGCAATGGATTTCAGCATTACGCGGCCATGGGCAGGGATTTGAAGGGAGCGGCCGAAGTTAACCTGCTTCCAAGTGATCGTCCGGCCGATATCTATAGCAGTGTGGCGGCGAGGTAGGGTGGATTTTGAATTTTGGTGCTTTGTGATATTGTTTTGCAGGACGTGTTGTTTTTGGTTTGGGAGGGCAGGGTAGTCTGCTTTTTATTGAAGGGCGGAAAATTGAAAAAAATTTTTTTTTTGTAAATTTTTAAAAGTTAACAGGGGGGACCACTTTCAGCTTTTTTTCTTTACAAAGTCCTCTTCAGAGTCGAACAAAAGCGTCTCCAACACGAAGAGTCGGACGACGAAAAGCTTCGCGCTTTGGCCAGAGACTTGCGCGACCACTTGCCACAAGAAATGCCTCGAAAAGTGATAAAACAAACAGTCATGACAACGGTCTATGGTGTGACACGGTACGGTGCTGTGTTACAGGTCAAAAAACAACTCAAAGCATTGGGAATTCCGGGAGAAAAGTTGGGCAAATTCACGACCTACATCGCTGACATGACCTTGGACAGTTTGAATGAGAGCTTTCAGGCTTCTATGTAGGTTTTTTACCATGTTTGTAGGTTTTTACTGCTTACATGGGTTTTTTACTATGTAGGTGTCACTAGTAGATCATTTTGAGGGGTTCTTTAGGGTTTTTGCAAAATGATACTACTGGTACTCATGTGGTACAGTTGGTACTTTTTTGGTAAAAAAATTTTTTTTGTGGTTCTAATTTGTTTTAATTGTGTTTTTCGAGCATTTTTGCAAGTGGTACCACTGGTACACTTTAATGGTACTATTGGTACAATTTTTTTTTGATATTTTTATTCAATTTTTTATGGCTTGTAATTGAGAGATTTTTTTCAGTTTTTATAAGATTTTCTGTCATATTGTACTACTGGTATACCCTAACTGTAAAAATCAAAATTATTTTTTGAAATTTTGTACATATCTCGCCGTCAATCCGGACGTATTTTACAAAATAATTTTCAGGCAAATGAAAGACTGGTTCAGAAGCTGTGTGTCAGTGGCAGTGAAACTTATGCGACCGATCGAATGGACCACACCACTCGGCTTACCGGTCGCTCAGCCTTACGTTAAAGCCGCCAGAAAGCATAACAAACTCTGTTTAATGCCAATTTTAAGCAAACAGGCGGGTTTTCTGACAATTTTATTGCGTTTTGTAGTTTCATGGGGTTAGAAATTGATTTTTATGGTGTTTAGAGACTTTTCATAAAATGGTACTCAAGTGGTACTAATGGTACACTTTGGTTTCGAAAGGTGCTATTGGGTTTTTGATGTTTTGAAGGTTATTTTTAAGTTAAAAAAAGCGTTTTAAAAAATTTTTGTTAGTGGTACCACTGGTACTCTTGGTGCATTTAAAAATTTTTAAAAATAAATTGAAATTTAGACAAATGCCTTCCCACCGAACTTTGTTCACTCACTAGACTCGACTCATATGATGCTAACGGCTCTAAATTGCAAAAAGCACGGCCTGACCTTTGCCGCTGTTCACGACTGTTTCTGGACTCACTCATGCGATGTGGACAAAATGAATGAAATATGCAGAGAACAGTTCATCAATTTGCATTCGAGTCCTATCGTCGAGAACTTGGCTAATGTAAGAGGGGGTTTTGTGGGTTTTTAGGGGAGTGGAAAGAAAGTTTTTGCTATTTTTAGAGAGTGGAAAGAAAGTTTTTGCTATTTCTAGGGAGTGGAAATAAACTTCTTGCTTGTTTTCAAGGTTGAAAAGCAAGTTCTTGCCAAGCTTTTGCATTTGCAGTATGAAAAATGATGGGTTTCGGTTGTGCAGCCTGCGGGTGACAAGTTATACGACGAAAAATAATTTGTATTTTTAGACGCTGTAAAGAAAGTTTTTGCTAATTTTTGGGTCCGTAAATAATCTTTTTGTTGATGTTAGAGTTTATAAAGAAAGTTTTTGCCGTTTTAAACAAAAATTCAAATTTCAGGACCTAAGGGTAACATTTATGCCACCCTCCCTTCTCCGTCTCCTAGACCTGAAGTCATTGAACGAATTTGAACAAAAACTCACACCCAATATCGAAAAAGGAGAGCTGGACTTGAATTGCATCAAGGATTCAATATATTTCTTCAGTTAGTACTCATACTATCAATATATGACTTTTAGTACCATTATAGGAAAGTAGTTACTTCTTGTACTACATAGTTATGTTAGGACTATCTACAGCATTTGAAATGGCACTTTGAAGCTACAGAGCACTTCAAAATGGAAATTTTATAAAATGGTACTAATGGTACTCAAGTGGTACTACTGGTACACTTTTGGCCAAAATGCTGAAATACACTATTAGGAACATTTTCATTGTTATGCCATTGTTTTTTGTTACTGTTTTATTATAATTGTTGATTTTTTTGATTGTTAAATGTATAAAATTCTATTGAACAAGGCGTTTTTGGATTTACCAGTCGATTTTATTTACAATTTATGGTACAAAAATCAAGGTTTACGTACAAAACACCTTATTGTTACGAGCACAGTGAATATTAAGATTGACATTCGCTTTGGTCGACTCTCTCTCCTCGATTGTACATATCGTCATAAGATTGAAAATCGCTTCCTTCGGCGGATTTCAACATACGACAGGAGCCATCACTGGTACATGTGTGGTACCTAAAAGTTAAAAATGTCATTTTGAAAAACATACTACACTACATAACATATGTACGGTATAGAATGAAATAGATGCAGTACAGTATGACATATGTATGTTACAGTATGACAAACATATGGTACACTATGACAAACTTATGCTACAGCATGACATATGTTTGGTACAGTATGTCAAACATACGGCACATTATGACCTAAATATGTTACAGTATCACAAAAATATGTTACAGTATGACAAAGACATAGTATAATATAACAAAAATACGGTACAGTATAACAAACAGATGATACAGAATGACAAACTCATAATACTGTACGATCTAAAAAGCACTTACACTTTGACGTAAGGCTCTGGATCACGGTCAAAAGGTCCATCATCACAGTAACCAATAACATAGTAATGTCCGGCTTGAGTAACCTCAACATTCTTAACAAAGTCATCGTAACTTGGGTCTGCTTCCCATAGCTCAACACGCTAAAATTGAAAAAAAAATGAAGAAATGGCAAAAACTTTCTTTACAAATTGAAAAATGGCAAGAACTTTCTTTACAAAACTGAAAATTGCAAGAACTTTCCTTACAAAACAAAAAACTGGCAATACCTTCCTTTGCAAGTCAAAAAATAGCAAGAACTTTCTTTACAAACACTGAAAAAACAAAATATGTCATCCTTCGTATAACTTCATCCGCAGACCATAAAATCCAAAAGTTTAAGTGTTTTATTAAAAATGGCAAGAACTTTCTTTACAAAAGCTTATATAAAGAATCATCGTATAACTTGTCATCCACAGGCCGCCAAACAATAACAGAATACAAACTGGCAAGAACTTTCTTTACAAAACAAAAAATGACTTACGTATTCCACTGGACGGCTTTCTGAAAACCGACAATTGAGCAGGCCTTCAGCCTCGCAAAAAAGTCCTTGAGCATAATCGACCAGACACAAAGACAATTCTGAACAGCAGCATATTGACGACAACCGTCTTCGACATGAAGGCGAACAAGAATGACATCTATTTCGATTTTTTTCATAAAAATTAAAAATTTTTAGGAAAATGCACTATTTGAGAAAACAAATTTTAAAAATTTTTTAAAAAATAGTATTAATGGTACCTAATTGGTACTAATGGTACTCTTTTTAAGTAATGGTACCCTTTTTATGAAAAATATTAAACAATTATTTTTTTGCATGTTTCACCACCCTACCCTACCCTACCCTACCCTACCCTACCCTACCCTACTCTATCTTATCTAAAGTCAACTTAATTTACCGCAGCCCTCTCTACAGTACTCTTATACAAACTTTACCACAGTTTACCGTAATCTTGCCCTATTTTATCTTAATAACATAATTACCGTAACTTTGCTCTACTTTAGCTTTATCTTTCTCTATTTTATTCTGACCCTAACTTAGCTTACAGTATCCTATCTTACAGTAGCTCTATTCTATCTTACAGGAGCTTTAGTCGAACTTACAGTAGCCATATCCTATCTTACAGTAGCTCTATTCTATCTTACAGGAGCTTTAGTCGAACTTACAGTAGCCATATCCTATCTTACAGTCTCTATCCTATCTTACAGTAGGTCTATTCTATCTTACAGTAGCTCTAGTCTAGCTTGCTGTAGCTCTATCCTATCTTACAGTAGCTCTTGGGCTATGTATATTCTACATAAACTTTTAATTTATTTTACTGTATGCCTTACCCAACTCAACAGTAACCCTTACCTTGAAATAGTACTACACATTTCTCAGATATCACCATGAAGTACTTAAAATACTTATCTAGTACTATACTTAATAGTACTACAAAAAATATCCGTTACAATAATATTTATTACAATATATAATGGTACAATCACATGATATAAAGCCGTCCCAGTGTCATTCAGTTGTCCTAACCCAAGCTTTAAATGGCATTTTGTAAAATGGTACTATTGGTACCACTGGTACACTTTTGGCCAAAATACTGGAAAACACTATTAGGAACATTTTTATTGTTATGCCATTGTTTTTTGTTACTGTTTTATCATAATTGTTGATTTTTTTGATTGTTAAATGTATAAAATTCTATTGAACAAGGCCTTTTCGGATTTACCAGTCGATTTTATTTAAAACTTATGGTACAAAAATCAAGGTTTATGTACGAAAAGCCTTATGTTTACAAGCATGGTGAAGATTAAGGTGGACATTGATTTCGGTCGACTTTCTTTCCTCGATTTAACATATCTTCATAAAATACAAAATCGCTTATTTCGGCGGATTTCAACATACGACAGGAGCCATCACTGGTACATGTGTGGTACCTAAAAGTTAAAAATGTCATTTTGAAAAACATACTACACTACATAACATATGTACGGTACAGAATGAAATAGATGCAGTACAGTATGCCAAACATATGGTACAGTATGACATAGGTTTGGTAACAGTACGACGTATGTATGGTACAGTAGGACAAACATATAGTACAGTATGACAAACTTATAGAACAGTACAACAAAAATATAGTATAGTATGACTAAGATATATTACAGTATGACAAACTCATAATACTGTACAATCTAAAAAGCACTTACATTTTGACGTAAAGCTCTAGATCCCAGTCAAAAGGTCCATCACTACAGTGACCAGAAACAGAGAAATCTCCGGTTCGACTAACATGAGTTCTCGCAACAAAGTCATCGTAACGTGGGTCTGCTTCCCATAGCTCAACACGCTAAAATTGAAAAAAATGAAGAAATTGCAAGAACTTTCTTTACAAATTAAGAAATGGCAAGAACTTTCTTTACAAAACACAAAATGGCAAGAACTTTCTTTACAAAACAAAAAATGACTTACGTATTTCACTCGACGGCTTCCTACATACAGACAACCGACTGTGCCTTTAACCTCGCAATACGTTCCTCGAGCATAATCGACCAGACACAATAGGAAGACAATTCTGAACAGTAGCATATTGACGACAACCATCTTCGACATGAAGGCGAACAAGAATGACATCTATTTCGATTTTTTTCATAAAAATTAAAAATTTTCAAAATAAAGTCGTTATTCGAAAAAATTTGAATATTTCAAAATTTTCAAAAAATGGCATTAATTGTACTTAATTAGTACTAATGGTACTCTTTTTAAGTAATAGTACCCTTTTTATAAAAAATATTAAAAAATTATTTTTTTGCATGTTTCACCTCATTTTAATCAAAAACAGTAAAATAGTACTAATAGTACCGCAGTGGTACTAATGGTACACAACTTGAAATACGAGTGCACTTTTAACAAAAAAATTTCAAACAACTACATCTTTCATAGTCTTATCTCGTTTGAAAAAATAACCCTACCCTACCCTAACCTCTACCCTACCCTACCCTACCCTACCCTACCCTACCATACCCTACCCTACCCTACCCTATCTTATCTAAATTCAATTTAATTTACCGTAGCCCTTTCTACAGTACTCTTATACAAACTTTACTACAGTTTACCGTAATCTTGCCCTATTTTATCTTAATAACATAATTACCGTAACTTTGCTCTACTTTAGCTTTATCTTTCTCTATTTTATTCTGACCCTAACTTAGCTTACAGTATCCTATCCTACAGTAGCTCTATTCTATCTTACAGTAGCTCTTGGGCTATATTCTACATAAACTTCTGATTTATTTTAGCAGTTTTCGTACATTATAACCAAAAACAAGTACGCGGGAGATACGTGGATTTCGGAGGCGAACTTTCATGATGGATGGAAGTACAATCAACCCTACAAGTCAGATGAACGACAAGAAAACTATGAACAATTTGTGCATGAACATATGCAACAGAATGTGAACGATATCTTGGTCCGATTGTGTGGAAGCAGGCCGGAACGCGTTGTAAGAAGGTTTGATATATCAGCCTGTTCAAATATAGATGAGCCAAAAAATAGGGAGCTTTGAAGAAATGAATGAGACTCAACGGTTGGGATGGTACCCCACACCCCACACCCCACACCCCACACCCCACACCCCACACCCCACACCCCACACCCCACACCCCCACACCCCACACCCCACACCCCACACCCCCACACCTCACACCCCACACCCCACACCCCCACACCCCACACCCCACACCCCACACCCCACATTCCATATCCAATATCTAATACCTTCCTCATGTCTAGCGCTGTGTATGGCTCATTCTTATTTGAACAACTTGATAAAATTACAATTAAAAGTAAAAAAATAACGATTTGATTTTTTTTCAGCCGCCAATCGATTTTCTCCCTCAGGCAAGTTATAACAGAGAAGCGCTTACATTTGCTTTCCCATGTCTATACCTATCCTTGGTCCTCGCAAGTCTGATACCAACATGTATTATAGTCAAAGATTTGATCTCGGAAACAGAGAATGACATTAAGGTAGGTAAACTACCCATACCCATACCGCGTATCTCATAGCTTGTACCCCATACTTTGTACCCGGTACTCCATGCCCTATACTCTATGCCCCATACCCCACACACCCTATCCCCACAGTAAGCTTTACAACAAGCCCTACTTTTCTGTACAATAAGCTCTACAGTACCCCGTATTTGACTATTTGTCAACATTATACCTACCCTATCGTGCCTAATAGTATGTATATTTGCCCCTGCCTATTTTTAATCTCTACCTTCCCTTTAGCCCATTTTTTTGCTTCTACTACACCTACCCTAGCCCGTTATCTTACCTCTGTCCCTACACTAGTCCTTTTTAATTTTGAAATTCTAGAATTACCTGTTGGTTACCGGTATGAGTCGCTACAGCTTCTACTTCTCTCATTATGTGTTTGGCTTCGGGAAGATGTTGTTGATGATGTTGGTCATTGTGGCACCTTTTGTGAACCTGTTCAAAGTAAGCATTTTCAACATTAAAAAATTACCCCGCCCACAATTTTTTTAAAATAATTTCAGTTCAAAATTTTCCTCATTCTCTTCGCAACTACCGTACCCTTCGTGGCATGGTGTGTGGCTTTTGGCCTATTGTGGGGTACGGTATTCAAGAAGGTGAGCGTGGCAATAACCGCTACTGTTCTGGTAATGCTTGGATTGACGGCACTTTCACTCACGTTCACTACTGACATTTTCAATATGACATTGAGCTGTTTTGCTTGTCTGAATCCAATTTCCGCTTTGGCTGTCATCTTCAATGAAATTCACATGTATCATCAGTACGGTAAGGAAGGAGTAGGATTTATTAATTTCTTTGGGTAGGGCGAGCAATACTCACATTCGCCACTTCCAGACATACCTCTACATGCTACAGAACTTACTGTTGAGTTTTCCTATCTTCACGCTTTGATTATGATTACGGTAGATACAGTAATAACAATCACATTGACTTTGGTCGTGGAAACGCTGTTGGCTCGAGCCTCGGATGCGTCGATGAATTGTATCGCTGAAATCAAACAGAAACTGGCACAGCGAGAGAGCGAGCAGAGCTCGATGGAGTTGGATCCAAACGACTTCGAGTCGGTCGATAGTCAAGGTCAAGTTGATGTTGAGGTAGGTGAAACTTGAACTCAAGTCGATGTTGAGGTAGGTGAAGCTTGAACTCAAGTCGATCTTGAGGTAAGCCAACTTGTCTTACTGTAATTATAATGTTTGAGGTTGTGGCACTGAAGAAGCGATGGGGCTACGGTGATTACGCCGTAAATGGCGCTAGTTTTCAAGCCTACCGTGGTGATATTACAGCCTTGTTGGGCCACAATGAAGCTGGCAAATCGACCACGTTTTCTTGTTTGACCGGATTTACCACGCCCACTTCTGGCGATATTAACGTGGGTTTTTGAGCTCCAGTTTGGGTTTTATATCCAATGTAGATCTAGTAGAGTCGAGTAAGATAGGATAGGATGGGATAGGATAGAGTAATGTAGGATAAGGTATTGTAGGGCATGGTAATGCAGATTAAAATAAAGTAGGGCAAATTAAAGTAGAGAAGAGTAGGCTTATATATTACCATTGTAATTTCAGGTATGTGGAATGTCAGTTGATTCGAATTTGGCAGGTATCGCAAATCATCGGCTATTGTCCTCAAGCTAACCCACTGTTCAGTAAACTCACTTGTATGGATCATATGAGGCTGGCAGGGCGACTCAGAGGATCATACTGTGGTGATGAAGATTGTGAAGAGACCTTGAAGCAAGTTGGACTAGAGGAGGCTTCTCATGTGGTATGTTGTGATAGTGTTTACCCTACCCTACCATACTGTTCCCTGCCATAACTAACTACACCTTACCCTATTGTACCCTATATGCTATTTCTAACGTTAACTCTTTCGTTTCAGCAAGCTGGCAAGTTGAGTGGTGAAATGAAGCGAAAGTTGTGTGTAGCGATGGCACTGGTCGGTAAGAGTCAAGTGGTACTGTTGGATGAGCCCACAGCTGGAATGGATCCCACCGCCCGAAGGCAGATCGGAGAGATTCTGGAGAGAGCGAAGGCTGATCGGTAAGGCTTATATTACATCATTTGTGTTACTGTAGTTTTTTTATCATTAGGATATTGTATGGTAGCTTTTTTGCAGAATTGTGAGATACTGTACTTTGTTTTACTGGATAACTTTGGGTTACTGTACTTTGTCTTACTGTATAACGTTGGGTTTCTGTACTTTGTCTTACTGTATTACTTTTGTTTACTGTACTTTATCTCAGTGTATAACGTTGGGTTACTGTACTTTGTCTTACTGTATAACGTTGGGTTACTGTACTTTGTCTTACTGTATAACGTTGGGTTACTCTACTTTGTCTTACTGTATTACTTTGGGTTACTGTACTTTATCTTACTGTAAGATTAAAGTGATTTTGTTACACTCTACCGTACCTAATGTACCTTTCAGAACAATTATCATCACAACACATTACATGGACGAAGCAGACCTACTGTCGGACCGTATCTTGATCATGGTGAAGGGCAAGGTGATATGTGCTGGGACTTCCTCAAATCTCGCTTTGGCACGGGCTTTCTCCTCACGATCACACTGAAACCCAACGTGAACGCGGAGCACGGCACAGCACGATGTCTCGAACTAATACAAAGCACGATAAGCGAAGCAAGGCTGATCAGTCATCCGGCTGCTCAATTTACCGTAGCCCTACCGTACGACTCGAAACGGCAGTTCGCGCCCGTTTTTCGAGAATTGGAAGCGAAACAGGCCGAGCTGGGCGTGGATGCGTTCGGACTGGCCGTGAACACGTTGGAACAGGTGTTCATCAACGTGGGCGAGAAGGCTGAGAAACGGCAGAGTCAAGATGTTGTTGTGAAGATTCAAAACGACGCCAATTTGATTAGGGAACAAGACGGTAGGGGTTTATATGTAGAGCAGGGTATGGTAAATGTAAGATGAGGTTACTGAAGGGTCAGGTACTGCTAGGTAGAGTAAAATGAAGCAGGATGAAGGGAAGGATGGAACAGGGTAAGTTAGATTAGAGTATGGAATGTTAATATGTATAAGATAAGAGTACTGTAAAAGTAGGTACTGTAAGATTATGTATTGTACGGTAGAATTATTATAAATAGAGCAAAGTTAAACGTGGTAGGGTAGGGTAGGGAGGGTAGGGTAGGGTAGGGTAAGGTAGGGTAGGGTAGGGTAGGGTAGGGTAGGGTAGGGTAGGGAATGATATATCAACCTTTACGTCTTTTTTTTTTGTTTTAGATGCCAGAGAACCATCATTTGTCAAAAAGTTGATAGCATTGATGCTACGAAACTACATATACATGTACCGTAGTTGGATCACTACATTACTTCCGTTTTTCGTGGCTACGATGTTTTTGATTCTGCTCTACCTCAACATGAATGAGTCTGGTTCTGCTTGGAAGATAGGCAATAGTAAGTATACTACCCTACCCTGCCTTGTCCTATTTTATCCAACCCTACTTTTCTTTGCTCTTATGTTTACTAATCTGCCGTACCTTATCTTACGGAATCCTTAACCCTACTTCATCCTATGGTGCCTTTACTGTAATTCATACCATACCGCACGGTACGGTATGGAATGTTATGTAGGATGCGTATGGTATAGTAGAGTAGGGTAAAAAATTCAGAAGTAGGGTCGGGTAAGACTACACAGGTCAGAGGTAGACTTTGATAAAGCTAAAGAGGTAGGATTGGGTAGAGCTAAAAGAGTCAAAGGGGTGAGGCGGGGTAGATATAAAGCTGGTTAGTTCACTTGTTATTCGCTTTGTAAACTTAATTTACGAATGCCCTGTAATTACCCCACCTCAAATTCCTTATTTCAGAGCAAGTGTTGTTATCGAGCATTCCCAAATCCACTGTGATGTTCAGTCCAAGCCTTGCTAATCAAATCCAGCAGCTTTTCAAAAACCAGCACCAGTTAGAGTTCGTGCAGCTGAAGTACGAGGATTACATCAAGGGCTATGCTCATAGTCAATTCGATTATCCGCCAAAGGCTTTTGGCTTTTTCGAACGGAACGGCACGCTCTGGACGAGTCTGTTCCTCTCGCAGAATTTAATGGTCGCTATGAACGTCTACTACAATATGTTGTTTGGAGATGGATCAATGGGTAAGGCGACTGATGGCTTGTTAGTGATAAGGAGAGGGTGAAAATAGTACTGTAGGGTTAGGGTACTGTAAGAAGAAAGGACTGTAAGATGAGGGTACTGTAGCAATCTTGTAGTAGCTGGCTTTCTTTACATGACCTTTGGGGTTTGTTCGGTGGGTAAAGCGACTGATGGTAGTGATAAGGGGAGGGTGAGGGTACTGTAAGATGAGAGTAAATAAAGTAGTAAGCATGTAGTAGCTGGCTTTCTTTATATGTTGTTTGGAAATGTTACAAAAATTTTAACCGATGACATTATGAACAATCAGCTCGTTTCAGACCACATTCAAGTCAGTGTTGATGGATCGGGTAGCCGCGAGAAGAATGATAATATACTAATAGATCTGTTCAGAGGTATCACCTCGTCTATTGGAATCTCATTCGGAATGGGAGCCATGTTGTACTTTGTCATCGACGAAAGGGTTAAAAAACTCAAACATCAGGTAAGTCGGTAAGGGGAGGGGGGATTATTTAAAATTTTTTTTGAAGTTTATGGGATGGAGAGGGGGGGGGGGGGGGTTGTGAGGTGGAGTAAAAATTTTTTAGAAGTGTTGGACCAGTTGAATTTTTAGTCAATAGTGAATAGGGCATAAAAAAAATTTTTGGGTGGAGTGGATCATTAAAAATTTTTTGGAAGGGGTGGATCATTTAAAATTTTTTGAGAGGTGTGGATCATTAAAAAATTTTTAGGAGGGGTCGATTATTTAAAATTTTTTGGAAGGGGTGGATTATTTAACATTTTTGGGTGGGGTGGATTATTTAAAATTTTTTGGAAAGGGTGGATATTCAATATTTTTAGGAGGAGGTACATTATTTTAAAACTTCTGGAGGGGGTGGATCATCCCCTCATCACCTCTACCAGCTTTTCTTTCTATTTGTTCCACTAAAACCATGCCATTTCAGATCCACCTAGCCTCGGCCAACTCTTTAGTCTACTGGTTGGCCCAACTAGTAACCGAATTCACCTACTTTATCGCGATAGCCGCGTTCGTCTTCGCTGGCACGTTGTGGATAGCAGACCCCTTCACGTACTGTGCTTTGAGTCTGCTACCGTACTACCTACTGTACTTTTTGGCCGCCACATTCTCGAGTTATTTGCTGAGTTTTGCGTACGAATCGCCGTCCAAGGGTTCGCTGATCATACTCGCGTTTCACACCATCATACCCGTGGTACTGTACTGCGGGGTTACGGTGCTCATTCTGAAGATTATTGTCTACGGTTTTCGCAAAATATCTAAAACAACCTCGATTAAAGTCGACTACTATAACGTAAGTTTGTTTTTTGTGGTACGCTAGCGGTACGGTAGGGTAGGGTAGGGTACGGTAGGGTACGGTAGGTTAGAGTAGGGTAGGGTAGGGTAGGGTAGGGTAGAATAAATTGAGTTAATATACTGTAAGATATTTTAAAGCATGGTAGAGTACTTTTCTTACATCTTCAGGGTTTATTTACCTTATTCTTCCCTTCGGTCGGTCTATTTCACGCACAGTGCACTATGTTCGAATCGTGTTTTAAAGCTGATGAAGATGCGTTGGGTGTTCTTTTGTTCAAAGAAGAGAGAAGGGCCAACATTACTACAGTATCTTTACTGTTGAGTACTGTACTATACCTGACATTGTTTATCTTGGCCGAATATGGAAAATTACCTAAACTTAGGTGTAAAAAACTTAATTTAGATGTAAGTTCTTCAAAAAAATTTTAAATTTTTAAAAAATTTTTGTTTTACGGTAGTGTCTTTAAGAAGATCTACTGTAATTAATAAATATGCAAAAGTTTAGGTAATGGAAGATGAAGATGCTGATGTTAAAGAAGAACGTGTCCGAATGGAAGGAATCCCAGATGAAGAACTGGCTTTGGCAGTGAGAAGTTTGTCCAAGTCTTACGGTAACAAATGGGCGGTTCAGCAGCTGAGCTTTGGAATGGGTCCCAACGAGTGTTTTGGGCTTTTAGGTAACATTTTAAATTTAAAAATCTTTACCCTACCCTCCTTTACCCTACCCTACCCTACCCTACCCTACCCTACCCTACCCGACCCGACCCGACCCGACCCGACCCGACCCGACCCGACCCGACCCGACCCGAGCCGACCCGACCCGACCCGACCCGACCCTACCCTACCCTACCCTACCCTACCCCACCCTACCCTACCTTACCCTACCCTACCCTACACTACCCTACCCTACTCTACCCTACCTTACTCTTATATCATACCGTACTTAACACTCTTCAGTACTCATGTGACAACTCAAACATACTGTAACTCTACTTTACAGTACTTTTATTTTGATTTTATAGTTTGTCCTACCCGACTCTACCCTTACCTGTGCCCCTACAACCACTTCTAATTTGTCTCTACTTAGACCCTATCTCTCCCTCCCCCCCCTTGGACTTGTAACTTACAACTTATGCTAACCAAACCTTTACCTTTCACAACACTTCATTTAAAACACTTAATTTTAGGTACGAACGGAGCAGGTAAAACCACAACCTTTGATATATTGACCAACCAGATCGGACCAACCGCCGGCTCAGCCACCATCTTCGGTCAGACCATCGAATCCACCCCGCCCGTCGGCTACTGCCCTCATTTCGACACTTTGGCCGACGAATTGACCGGTCGAGAGACCCTGACCCTGTTGGGCCGTACTCGACTGTGTACTACTTGCGGAGCCAGCGGACCGTTGCACAAGAACCTACAGTGGTGGCCAGAAGCGGCGTCTCTCTATCGCCGTGTGCCTGATGTCAGGCTCTAGATTCCTGCTACTGGACGAGTCGACGGCGGGCGTGGATCCGGCTACACGACGCCACATCTGGGACCTTATTGGTGCCATTCGTGAGCAGCAGAAGGCGATATTACTCACGACGCACTCGATGGAAGAGTGTGAAGCCTTGTGTACCAGAATCGGCTTCTTACGCGACGGTCGTCTTCGGGGTTGGTACTAGTCAGCATCTGAAGAGTCGGTACAGCAACTCTTACCTCCTCACCGTGATCCTCAAGAATCCGTCGCGAGAAGAGGCAGAGTACGTCAACTATGCCATTGCCAAGGCTTTTGATGTAGCGCCGATAGGGGAGGTGGATCAAAGAACGATGAGATTTGACATACCCAAGAGGCAGGACGTCACTTGGAGTGCTATGTACGAGTATGTGGAGAGACTGGTCATCGCTGTGAATTCACAAGGAACGGTGAGGAGGGATGGGGAAGGTACGGTTGACAAGAACGGTGAAGGAATAGCTGAAGGATCAAAAGGAACGGTGGAACGGCACGGTGAAGGATCAGTGAATAATGAAGGGAAAGGAACGATGGAGAAGCACAGTGGAGGAACGATGGAGAAGCACAGTGGAGGAACAGTGGATGTTAAAGAAACGGCCGATTCAGAACGTTCAAACCGGTCGAAAGACCCTGTACCTACAAGAACCAAATCACAGTCAGCGTCACAGCCAAAAGAAGGTATAATATGTGACTTCTACTTGGTACAAGACTCTCTGGAACAAGTGTTTACTCGCCTAGCTGCCGCTGAATGAACACCGGCATGTTTAATATATTCACGTTACCTTACCGTTCCTCGGACTAGGACGATGGAGTGACACTAATAGCTTTATTTTAAGATTTATTTTTCGATAATTTAATCAATATTTACATTAACTGAGTAATATTTACAAATGGTGATAACAATTAATATTTTAAATAGTTTCTCGGCGATTTCAAAATTATTTTCAAATAAAAAATTTTAAAATTTAAATTTTAAAATTTTTGAAAATAATTTTAAAATTGCCTGATATTGCACATGATATGTGGTTTAAGCTACAAAACAAGCCTAAATTAAGAAGTCAATAGTACATTATAAGCCTGGAGTACCAGTTTAATGGTGTATCAGTTTAGTGGTGTACCAGCTTATTGGTGTGCCAGGTTATTGGTGTACCAGGTTATTGGTGTACCAGATTATTGGTGTACCAGGTTATTGGTGCACCACTCGAGATGGTCGTCTTTTGACTGGCGACCGGTCGAAGAAGCCAATGTGAGCGTTCCGCAGGGCTTTGATTAGGTCATTGAAGCCGTTGGAACTACTCAGTCGATAACGATAGTCTTCGACCAGATGCTCAAACTCTGTTTTTGGAGGGTGTCGTGTTGTGGGCTGAAAATTTTAAAATTAGTACAAAAATGATGTTTTTAAAAATTTCGACAAAAATTACGAAATTTAAAAAAAAAGTTTGCACTGTGCAAATTTATATCTTGTTGCACTGTGCAGCCCAATGACAATATTTTTTATCAAAGCTGATAAACTTGGCTTTTCAAGGCACGTTTTATAATGTAAAAAATAATTTTTTAATTTTTTGTTATCCAAAAATGCACAGTGCAAAACCAAAGTTTGTTGCACGGTGCAACAGAAATTTATATTGCACTGTGCAGTTAAATGCCATTGTTTTTCAAAATTAAATTAACATTATGATTTAAAAATTCCTCTGTTTAAAATATTAAGCACTTTCTGAAGTTTCCAAATTTCAAAAGCTTGAAAAATTTAAAAAAGAAATTTTTGCACGGTGCAAAGTTTAATATTCGTTGCACGGTGCATAATATCAAATTGAATAGTTTTGACTATTCTGTATGTATGTTTACTGAATATAATATGGTGAAAATTATTTTAAAAACTTGTTTTGTATAGCTTTAAAATAAAATTTAACACTTGGTACTGTTGGTACTCTAAATGGTACTTTTGATACCGTTGAAACTCTAAATGGTACTTTTGGTACCGTTGGTACTCTATATGGTACCTTTGGTACCGTTGATGCACTATATGATACTTTTGGTACCGTTGGTATTCTAAATAGTACTTTTGGTACCGTTGGTACACTATATGGTACTTTTGGTACCGTTAGTACTCTAAATGGTACTTTTGGCGCACTTAAACTTTTTTAATCTTAAGTTATTGAAGGGTAGAGTAGGGTACAAAAACACTTACCCTAAAGCTATTCCTGGGCGTGGTAGTAGGTTTTTCCCCATTGGCACTGAACAGCAAATCATCATCCTCATTTTCATTGTTCTCCTCCTTCGTCTCCAACACAATCTGACCCAACAACCGGTCGAACTCTTCTTGTTCTCGCTTTCGAATGTCATCTAATGATGTTATACCTACTTTTGAGCCGGTCAACTTCTCACTCGGCCCTGATTTTTGTGATAAAGCTGCCACAATTACCGAGGTTTCAGTTGTGGTTGATGGTTTGGGCCCTGTAGTAGAAGGTGGTGCTGTTGGAAGTTCGGATTCGTCAAATTTTAAACGTGTATCGACTGTTTTGACCTCGTGATTATCTTGGTCTTCTTCTTGAGTTTTGTTGTGAAGGCGTTTTGACAATTCTTCTTCGAGGACCTGAAGGTATGTTTAGCGTTATTATTTTCATTTTATTATTTTCTATTTTTAATTTTGAAACCAATTTTTCTTGTTTTTTACATAAAAATACGCACCGTGCAATCAAAAAAAGCTTTGCACTGTGCAATAAGTTTTATTTTAAATTTTTTAAAATTCAAAAAAATTTTGAAATTGCAAAAAATAAGTATTAATACTACAATTTACTGCGTTTTTCAATAAAAAAAATTTTAATTTAAAAAAAAAAACGTTTTAAGTACAAAAATGATTTTTTAAATTCCTTGCACCGTGCAAACTTAAAAACTCTTGCACTGTGCAGGATGTTTTCAAAAACCTTTTGCTAATCCTGTTTGCAATTTTTTATCGTATCTTGTTAGTAAAAAGTGATAAATACAAGAAAGAAGAATCACCCACCTTTTCAACCAGCTTCAAGAACCGTTGAGCTTCTTTGGTGGTTAAATTGGCTGATTGAAGGAAGTTTTCGAGTTCCGTCGAGTTTAAATGCTTGATTAGGTCGAGTTTTTCCTGAAATAAAAGTATATTACAGTAATGAAAAGACGACCAAGATACTGTAGTTTGTATAAAATTTAAATTTTATTTTAAATTTTGGTTTTTTATATTTAAAAATGGCATTTTTACCAAAAAAGTTGAAGCAAAATTTGGGTTAGTGTCTTAAAAATGGTCGTAACTGTACCAAACGCAAAATGTTAGAATTGGAATTAGTACCATCTTGTAAAGCAGTCTTTTATAGCCCTTAAACAGTTAAAACCCTTAAAAATTACAGTAACCTTACCCCATTTTTGGCTGCATTTTGTTGTTGTTCCTCAATTTTTTGTGGCAAATTGGTCGTAACCGTTTCAGTCGAAGTAATCACAACTCTAGTAGTGGTACTACTATCCAAAGTAGTACTAGTATTACTAGAAGCTGTTGGTACTATTTCCACTTTCCTCAGCTCCTTCGCCGGCGCGTAGGCAAGCGGCGAACGGACTTCGGAGGAAACGGTTTGAAGCTTCTCCAAACTCTTTTCGACCGGTCGATTTTTCTCGGTAAATGCCTTTACATCCGACTGAATTGATGGTTTCACGGCTTGTGGTGGTTCTTTCGTAATGACGGTTGGTTCGGTTTCAGAAGTTGTCGAAGTTGCGGAAGTTGCCGACGGTGGTGCGGCAACTTGTTGCGGAATGAAGGCGGGGTGGTAGAAGAAGGGGTGTTGCATAAAATGATGTGGAGGTAGTGTTGGTATAGCAGCGGCATTAAGAGGATGTTGGAGCATTGGGTGAGGTGGGAGTGGAGGTTGGGGTGGAAGTGGGGGTTGAGGTGGGGGATGGGCTAGGCCTAAAGCATATTGTTGTTGTTGGAATTGTTGGTGTTGGTGGAAGAGGTTTTGGAAGTGGTCGGCTGGGTCGAATGGTGGGTTCTGAAAAATTGATTTTGAAAAGTGGCATGGGTTACTCTACCGTACCCTACCATTACCTACCCTACCATGCCCTACTGTACCCTACCTTACCATACCCTACCCTACCCTACCCTACTCTACCTTGTTCTGATTTTTTTACAACATGCCTCACTTTAGCCTACAACATCCCTATAAATGGCACCAAACCCCTACCTGAACAACGTTCTGACCATGAACAAGACTGCAAATTAACCAGGGGATAAGAACATGCCGAACCCGCAACATATTACACTGTTCTTCCAATATATCGTCGCAATTTTTCACTAAAACCAATTCCAATTAAATACGTTTTGTCATGAAAAAACGGCGAAAACACAGATATTGTTGTAGACAGTTGATCTATTTCACCGCGACAAACCACGTGAGCGTTTAAAATTTTTTTTGTTTTTACAATTTTATAAAATTTCATTTTCAAGTTTAAAAATTCTAAAAATGAAAAAAGTTTTAAGAAAAATAGTCAAAAGCTTCATCATCGTATAACATGTCACCCGCAGACTGCAAAGAGTTATAACTTTGTTTACAAAACAAAAAATGGCAAGAACTTTCTTTACAAAACAAAAAATGGCAAGAACTTTCTTTACAATACAAAAAATTGCAATAACTTTCTTTACAAAAAAAATGGCAAGAACACTGCTTACAAAACATAAACTGGCAAGAATTTTGTTTACAAAACATGAAATGACAAGAAGTTTGTTTAAAATACGAAAAATGGCAAAAACTTTCTTTACTAAACAAAAAATGGCAAGAACTTTCTTTACTAAACAAAAAATGGCAAGAACTTTGTTTACAGAGCCTTAATTTTAAAAAAATCATGAGCATTTTATCCATACCCCCATCTTATAAATAGTAAGAGAAAGGTCATGGTTATGAGAACTTTTGAAATTCTACCTAGAATGTTCTATACGTGATCCAGAAAATCAAAGGTGAGAAGAAGAAGACGTATCACGTAGAATGAGAGTGGTTTTCTATAATGACGGAGATTAAAAAGTAAAATGAGTCAATGAAATTACGAAATGATGACATAGAGAAGAGAAGTGATGGTGATTCACTGATAAATGACAATTTTAAAAGTAAAAATATTTAAACAAATGTTAGGCTTATTTTAGTAACCTTAGCCATAGTTCTAGACTAAATACTAGCCCTAGTTTAGGGAAAGATACAGTAGAGTAGGGTAGAGTAAAGTAACATAAATAGAGTGGGGTTTGTTATAGAAGATTTTGAATACTTCTAGTTCTAGCCCTACTTCTAGCTAGAGTCCCAGCTCGGGGCTGCGCTACCTATTCTGTCATGCCCTAAGCTAGCACTCTTCAAAATCCTTTTAATCAACTGTACCCCATCTTCGGCTCTCCACTCTGCCTTACTATATCTACCATATCTCAACTCAAATTTGAAATTTCTAATGCTATGTTGCCGGGCGAGGACTTTTAGTCTAAGAGCAAGGGTCAAAAAAATTTTTTTCCAAAAAATTCGCAGGGGGGGGATTACGTTCACTTCTTTCAAAATTTTTTTTTCTGGGGTGGGGTAGCTTTTGCCGTCCCCCTCCCCGCCCTCCTTCGCGCCCGGCCCCGGCTCTAGCCTGTACCCCTAGCTTTAGCTTACTTCCTTGCCTAATCCATAGCCTAACGAGGTCTTCCGGGAGAAATCTATAGATCTTGAAAGCCCGAGGCTAAAAAGTTTCAAAACTTTTTATTTATCATGACGGATGAAGGTATCTCTAGACAATTGAGATCATTCCGATCATATTTATAGATGTAGTCAATCAATGAGAAAAGGCTAAAGAACATTCTTTAAATGTGTCAGAGCTAAATATTTCAAAAAATATGTCAAAAACTTATTTACAAAACAAAAAATGGCAAGAACTTTCTTTACTAAGCGAGAAATGGCAATAACTTTCTTTACAAAACGAGAATTAACAAGATCTTTCTTTACTAAACAAAAAGGCAAGAGCTTTCTTTACAAAGCAAGAAATGGCAAGAACTTTCTTTCCAAAACTCAACACTGCAAAAACTTTTTTTACAAAGCGGGAAACGGCGAAAACTTTCTTTACAAAACCAGAAATAGCAAGAACTTTCTTTCCAAAACACAAAATGGCAAAAACTTTCTTTACAAACCAAAAGATAGCAAGAACTTTCTTTACAAATCAAAATATGGCAAAAACTTTCTTTCCACTTTCCCACTCCCCCCAACATTAATTAAAACTTCCAGATGTCGAAAGTAATACAATGTTTAACACGAAGGACGTTGAAAAAAGTGTTATAAGCTGTGTGAATCCGCGCGAAAGCAAGAAACAGCGGTTAGCCGATTATCAATGACAAGTAATTGCGCAATCCTCGTCGCTTTTTGAGATTTCAGCTCATTAGGCTTGGTCAAGAAAAAGCCCCACTTAAAGGGGAGAGACCAGAAACTGTTTCAAAATGGCATTGTTTTGTCGCGAAAAGTTTTAATTAACATGGTCCTACCCTACCCTACCCTAACCTACTCTACCCTAAACTACCCTACCCTACCCTACCCTACCTCACCTTATAATACCCTACCCCACTATGCTTAAAAAAATTTTTTTTGTATAAAAAACTGATTTTTGACCGGTAATAAAGCACTGTCAATTATTTCTAAAAATTATAAAAAATATGTCATGATGACATGTTTACCTTAAAAATACGTCAAGATGACACGTTTAAAAAAAGACATATAGCAACAAAACGTTTGAGAATACAATTATATGCTACTTTATTTATAACATATTATAAATTTTTTAAAATGCGTCATGATGACATATTTTCTAAAAAATGTGTCATAATGACAAACATTTTTAAAAATAAAAGGTTAAATTAAATACCCAATCTATATTTGATTTAAGATAAGTTTTCAAGGTTTCAAAAATTGCGTCATGATGACATATTTTCCAAAAAAAATGTCACGGCAACAGTTTTTTTTTGCAAATATAGCAAGAACTTTTTTTACAAAACAAAAAATAGCAAAAACTTTCTTTCCAAGTTATAAAATGGCAAAAACTTTCTTTACAAAACATAAAATGACAATAACTTTCTTTACAAACCCAATCTCTCAATCAAAAGCCCTAAATACCCAAAAACCTCCCCTAAACCGTTCCCAACCCACCCAAATCCTCAAAACATAAATTTGCTTTGACATGTTCGGCTTGTAAAAGCAGGTAAAGATGTTTTTACAACCTGGTTACGTGATACGAACTAGCTCAACATGTAAAAAAGTTGCTCCAACCGCATTTTATGACAGATTCGACGTTCGCTCAATAGAATCATCATCGTCCCTCAGCTATAACAACGTCAACACAATAAAAGTGCATTTCGAAAGCAGTGAGGGCTAAGGTTACTGTAATTTTACAGTTTTTTACTAATGTTACAGTCACCTACCCTATCCTACTGAAGTGTGCTACAGTAAGAAAATATTAATATGCTTACTTTACAGTAACTATAACTTTAAACTACCCAAAATAAACATCAAAAACTGAAAAATGACACAAAACGTCATTGCACAGTGCAAGCGAAATAAAACACTGCACGGTGCAAAGTTTTGTTTTATTGTACCATGAGCTACTGAAGACTACAATGTAAAGTAAAATAACTTAGTCGTAAAGAAGCTATAAGGCTAACTATTGACCAGTCTTACAGTAACTTTCTACCTAAGGCTACAAAAATACAAGAAGAAAACAATTTTACACAGTGCAGAGAAAATAAAAGACTGCACGGTGCAAAACTTCATTTTTGTCGTACTACAAAGTAATAAAGGCTACAACATAAAATGGTTCTACATTGTAAAAAAATAAGATATTAAACAAGCTACTGACCAGTCTTACTGTGACTTTCCACCAAAAACCATAGAAATACAACACAAAGAAGATTCTGCACGGTGCAATGAAAATAAAAGACTGCACGGTGCAAAACCAAAAAAAGTCTGTAATTGTTTTGACTGACAGACAGTTGAGATAAAAAAGATAAATCGAGAGAATGATAACAAAATGGATGAAAAAGTTTCAAACAAATCGGAAATTGAGGTTGTTTACCACGAATTAATCGATGTTTTGAACGGAAATCATCCATCAACATGTCGTCATGACTTAATTTTGGTCATCAATGTAGTTTTTAACAAGAACTTTCTTTACAAAACAAAAATAGCGAGAACTTTCTTTACAAACCAAAAAACGGCAGAACATTCTTTACAAAACACAAAATAGCAAGAACTTTCTTTACTAAGTAAGAAATTGCAAAAACTTTCTTTACAAACATAAAATCGCATAAACTTTCTTTACAAACCAAAAAATGGCAAAAACTTTCTTTACAAACCATAAAATGACAGACCCCCCCCCTCCCTTCTTCCCCAATACCGACATCACTGAAATTGGGTCGAATTCCCTTCGAATCAACGTAACAAGCCGCTATTTTTGCATAAACAAAAATAAGTTTATTTTTCGGATCGCAAAACCAGTCCAGTCCGGCTGTCGCCCTTCGTCAAGTGTTTTTTTCGACGAAAGTGAAAGAAAGTCGCGACGGCACTAAAACGAAAGGATATAACACAACCCTTAAGGCATTGACACGCGAATTTTCAAACTGTAAAGAAAGTTTTTGCCGATTTTTGTCTTGGAAAGAAAGTTCTTGTCATTTTATGAATTGGAAAGAAAGTTCTTGCCATTTTTTGTCTTGGAAAGAAAGTTCTTGTCATTTTATGAATTGGAAAGAAAGTTCTTGCTTTTTCGTCTTGGAAAGAAAGTTTTTGCTATTATTTGTTTTGTAAAGAAGATTTTTGCCATCAAAGCTGTAAAGAAAGTTTTTATCCATTTCTGACACTTTAAAACAACTAAATTATAACAAAAGCAATATTTGTAACTTAACTACAAAGTAGTATATAAAGAGTAAACACTATTAGGCGCCGACATAAAGAACCCGCCGTTTTTTACAGGAAATTGTAGGCAAGGTATAGTGGGTCCTTTATCGGCACCTAATAGTTAATAAAAACCTAAATATCAAATAACTTAACTTTCAAAAAGTTTAAAAATGGTTGAAAAACGAGGTCAGTAAGTCAGTAGTAAAAATTTCAAAAACAAGTTTGAGACGTTTCACGTTGCGGCAATGAGTAACGAGATTGTTATTTGCTTTTATCTCTCATATTAATCATATTAATAGGGTAGGGTAGAGTAGGGTAGGGTAGGGTAGGGTAGGGTAAGGTAGGGTAGGGTAGGGTAGGGTAGGGTAGGGTAGGGTACCAAAACTTCAATTTGTAAAAATTTATTAAAATCTACAAAATCAATCATCATAACCGAATAAACTCCACAATTGTCGTTGATATATGATTGTGAGCGAAGTGAGAGTGGTGCCCGAGGCGAACAAAATGAATAGAAACCTGTCCAAAACCAACGCAACTTGTTGCCATTCCAGTTTGGTGGCGTTGCGACGGTCTTTCTCGGCTTGTCGCATTTCGTTTCTGAAATTTAAATTTTTTAATTATGTAAATCTAAAAGTGACATTTTATACGATGAAACCTGTCCGGGCATTTTTTATCGCATAACTTGTCGCTTGACTTAAAATATCATCACAGAATAGCGTTTAGTAATAATTTAACACGTATTTTACTATTTTAAATCTTAGGATTTAAAAAAGTGACATTTTATACGATGAAACATGTCCGTTTATTTTATTTGTATCCCCGTATTTTACCATCTTAACATTCTTTTTATAATTTTTTTAAATGACATGTTATACGAAGAAACATGCCCGAACACGTTTCACCGTATAACTTGTCTCTTTAATATTAACTGTGTAGTTAATATATATATATATTGCCTAACAACATCGTATTTTATCATTCAAAGCTACTACTAAATCGCTTTTTATAAAAAATGACATGTTATACTCTGAAATATGTCAGAAAGAACATTTTTTATCGTATAACTTGTCCTTAGATTTTCAATTTTAACTTAAGTAAAAAGTGTTAGCTACCTGTTGCTTTTTTACCATTTTAGATCACTATATAAACCAATTTTCAAAAAAAGTGACATGTTATACTCTAAAACATGTACACGTTTCATCGTATAACTTGTCTCCGACTCACCGTTCGATGGCGCCATGAACCCGTGCCAAAACCCGTAGAAACTCGTTTTCAAACAAATCTTCATTCTTATCACTGTTATCAGCGGCAGCCAGACTTTGTGCTCGTTTCAATGAAACAAACCTGGCCGCGAGACTGGTGGTGGTCGAGGTCAGGGCGGTGGTTTGAACCGCATCGACCAGTGGAATATTGTCCACATTCTCAAACGCCGCCCCCTTCTTTACCGACCCATTTGGTTGATAATGGGTGGGTGAGAAGGTGCCATTCAGTTCGACCGTTTCCGAATTGTCATCGTGATTCTCGACGTGATTGTTCAGGTCGTGAGTGTGATTGAGGCCGCCGTTTGCGAATGGTAGGTGTTGGAGGGCGTCGTTCGACCAAGATACCCGTTTTTTACTGCCCTACAATATTTTTTAAATTTTTAAATTAAAAAAATTAATTTTACGACATTTTTGAAAAACGGTACTAATGGTACGTTAGTGGTACTACTGGTGCACATTATTTTTTTATTGTTGCAAAATAGTTTTTTAAGTGCTTGAAGCTAAAATATCAATTTTTAAGCAATTTTTACAAAATGGTACTAATGGTACCTTAGTGGTACTATTGGTGCACTTACTTTTTTAAAGCTCCAAAGTCATTTTTAAAGTATTTTTAATAAAAAAAATTACTTTTTAAAAAATTTTAACAAATAGTACTAATGGTACCTTAATGGTACTACTGGTCTACTAAGTCAAAACATATATCTCAACTTACAGTACTTTCCTTATGTTTAGGCTTATTATGATTAGGCAAAGCAGGAGCTGAAGCTCTTGGACTGATCGATTTTTTGGTCGAAATTCCTTTCAAAAGCCACTGTGAACACAACCGTTCCTCACGGTCTTTGCCGTGCTCTTTACTGTAGAAATACTCGACATGCTCGTTGATGCTGTGATAGTAATCGATTCGCATAAGTAATATCCTGGCCATGAAACCCATAACGATTTTTTGAACAACGGCTGGAACGGCACAGCCTGTCGTGCCGTGATGATGGATGTTCAACTGGAATAGTTTGAAATCGATTTTTAAATTAAAAAAGTTAGTCTACCCCCACCCTTACTGTAACATTTACAATAAGATCTAAAACAAGTTTCGCTTTACTCTACAGTAAGCTCTACCGTAAGCCTTACTTTACCCTACAGTAACCCTTTTTCTGATATAGTAAAACACTTACAGTCAATACAGTCATGGCAGTAGCTAATGATACAATGAAGATTGTAGCTCCGTAGTAGATACCCAATAATGGCAGAGCATCCGAAGTGGGAGGCATCCCTTCGGCTACTAACATCAAGAACACTGTGGTTGATAACAGCGAAGTGATACCTAAAAATTGAGATTCTTTATGTAAAATACGTCTTAGATAAGTATGGTAATTATACAAAAAAAAATTAAAAATTAAAATATCGAAATGTCTGCACCGTGCAAAGCTTATTTTGATTGCACTGTGCAATGAATTTTTGAATATTCGCTATGTTAATATATGACAAGCAACTGTCATAAAATTAGTTACAGTAACGTTTTAAGACGTGAATCAAAATTTAAAATTGTTTTTGTTACCTAAAACTAACCAAAAAGTATTATAGCGATAAAACAAAAATATGTTGCACCGTGCAGTATAAAAACTAAATTTTAAAATTTGCAGCATTCTATGTATTGTAAAGAAAGTTTTTGCCATTTTTTGCTCTGTAAAGAAAGCTTTGCAAATTTTATGTTTTGTAATTAAAGTTTTTGCCATTTTTTCCTTTGTAAAGAAAGTTCTTGCCATTTTTTGTTTTGTAAAGAAAGTTCTTGCGATTTTTCATTCTGTAAAGAAAGTCCTTGACAATTCCACATAACCTACCCAGTGAGACCTTCTCGCCAGCCCCAGAAGGCATGTAGAAACCAAGAAGCGCGATGCCACTTATCATAACACATGGTAATATCAAGTTGAAGACATAGAACATTGGCCTCCTTTGAATGGTGATAAAAATGTCAACAAATGGATATGGTTCAGGACAACAACTGTAGATGATCGAGTTTTTTTCAGCGCGAATACTCTTCAGATGCCATTCTGTACTCGTCATGTAATTGGATTCATCGCCTAGTTCAGATGATAAGAGAATGTCAATTTTGGTACCATCATATGCCCAAGAAGCGAATTTTAGAATACAACTTTGGCTGTCAAATGGGTAGTACCGGACGTCCATTCTGAAATAAATATGTCAGCATTATGTAGAGTAAAAGGTGCTTGCACCGTATTTGTAAGACTGCACAGTGCAAGAAGTTACGTCATTGCACCGTGCAAGTTATTTTTGACACTGCACAGCGCCAGTGAATTGCGTAATTTCACCGTGCAACGTCGTTCTTATATGCTGCACTGTGCAAGTCAGTTATTTTGTAACTGCACCGTGCAATAGAATGAAAAGACTGCACTGTGCAAGCAAATTACATCATTGCACTGTGCAAAACAACTATGTCGGTTGCACCGTGCAGCAAATAACTTCATGTTTGCACCGTGCAAACCAAATAAAGTTATTTTGCACGGTGCAATAAAGAAAAACCTTACTATTTTTTGTTTTGAAAAGAAAGTTTTTGCCATTTTATGTTATGTAAAGAAAGTTCTTGCCATTTTCTGTTTTGTAAAGGAAGTTCTTGTCTTACCCACAACTAGATTGAAAGATGCCAGCCATAGTCCAAGAGACATTCCCATCGAAACTAACAATAACATCTGTTGACATTACTGACTTGTCATAGGCATCTGCTGCGTTGTTGTACAGGCTGAAATTATGAAGATTATAATAATAATACAAATAAACATTTTTAAATTTAGGACTATTATGAAATGGCATATTGGCTTGAAACATAGGCTTAAGCTTAGGCTCAGGCTCAAGCTCAAGCTCAAGCTCATGCTCAAGCTCAGGCTCAATCTCAGGCTCAGGCTCAGGCTAAACTCAAACTCAAATTTCTAAAAAATGCCAAAACTAACATGATATCAGGCTTCCAGATCTTATCAAACGGTATATGGATGGTTGTGACATTATCAAAATCTAATGGATTCCAAATCAACTTATAATCGATCCAGCTTTGTCTGACCCAGGCGTTTGTCGTCATGATTTCTTTTCGTTCGTCCTAAAATAATATCGGTTAAGGTAAAATACGAAAATTGTGTCCTTAATTTTTTTAAATCTGAGCTAAGTGTACCAAAAATAGTACTAATTAAGTAAAACTGTACCAATTGTACCATATGTACCATTTTTAAATCAAAATCTCAAAAAAAGTCATAAAGTGCCCTAACAGTACCAAAAACAGTTCCAAAACCATATTTTACATAAAAATGCCATTTTCAACCTTACCACATCAATAATCTGTGTCAGTGCGAAAGAGAAGGTCACGTTGACAGGATGATCGTACCTCATCGCCGGCCGTACTTCACTCTCATAATTGCGCAATAATGTCCTGTAGAGGCGTACCAAGTTGTCATCGGACGTCACAAAGTCTGAAAATTTTAATTTTTAAAAATTTTAAAAAAATTTTTGTTCTAAATAATATTTTTAGTACTAGGGTAGATTAAGGTAAAGTAAGTTAATGTAAGGCAGGGTAAGACAGGGTAAATCAGAGTAGGGTATGGTAGAGTAGAATAGGTTAAAGCAGGGTACCGTAGGTTAAAGTAGGCTAGGATTGGATGTAGTACTGATACAGGTCTTTATGAACTTTTTAGCACTAGTACTGCAATTCAGTACTAGTTTTACTTTTTAGTACTAAAGTTTGTTGCTTAGTACTAAATTGCATAATATAGTACTAAATAGACAATTATAGTGCTGTTTTCTTTAAAAAAGTACCATAAAGACCATTTTTAGTGCAAGTGCAGTATTAGTAACAATTTCCAGTACTAACATGCATTTTCAGTACTACTTTTAATTTTTCGTACTATACAGCACAATAAATTTTCAAAACTTTTATACCAAATTCTTGCTTGTTTTTTACCCAAAATGCCCTTTGTCACATCTTTTATCACATTTCCTCTCTACCCCCACCCATACCCAATATATTTTTACGAACCCAAAACCATAAATTGGATTACAGTTCCTCTTCTTGCCTTTGGGGAGTTGGGCTGTCAAAACAAAGATGAGGGATGAGTCTGTGAAAGTTATGTTATTCATCATAACGAACACAAACAAAAATTCAATTGAGATGGCATGATCAAAGAGTTTTACTGGGGGTAGACAAGTTATTGTCTTAATGGGTGCTTGCTCTGGACTAGAGCTCTGGGCTAGGACTGTGGGCTAGGACTGTGGGCTAGGGCTCTGAGCTAGGGCTCTGGGCTAGGGCTCTGGACTAGGGCTCTGAGCTAGGACTAGGGCTAAGGCTAGCTAATAGTCCAAAAAATTATCTTTAATACTATAACATAATTCCACAAAACAACGCGTATTTTACAAAAAAAATTTAAAACAAAAACTTACGAAACAACTGCACCAGGCTAACGGCCCAAAACAGGACCATTTGTACCATTTCAGCCCGGCCGCCGCCTTTCAATCTTCTCCATAACCTTGGTTTGAGGAATCTTGATGAAGGTCCGAGGTTTAATTTCGCAAAATCTAAAAAAATAAAATGGCGTAAACATTGATCGTATTTTACACAAAAAATATCGCGTTATACCCAAAAGTGTCATGTTTCTTAAAAAAATCAACTGCAAGTCCAAGAAAAAGAAAAAGATTGCACTGTGCAAGAATAAAATTGAGACTGCACGGTGCAGTGAAGAAAAACCCTGCCATTTTACGCTTAGAAAAAAAAGTTTTTACCATTTTTTGCCTTGTAAAGAAAGTTCTTGTAATTAATACCTACTGAATTAGTTTTCACTTTCATTTTGTTAATAACTAATGGCACAATAAAGTGTCAAATGTAACTGCACTGTGCAACCTAAAAAAAGGGTTGCACAGTGCAAAAAAATTAAATCGTCTTGTCATTTTTTGTTTTGTAAAGAAAGTTTTTATCGTTTTTTAATTTGTAAAGAAAGTTCTTGCCATTTTTCGTTTTGTAAAGAAAGTTTTTGCCTATTTTTGTTTTGTAAAGAAAGTTTTTGTCATTTTTTGTTTTGTAAAGAAAGTCCTTGCCGTTTTCAAAATAATTTCAATAAAAGTTCAAATTTCAGAGCACAAATTAAGACCTTTTAACCCTAGCACCCTCTCGACCTTGCCCCAAAATGTGTTTGTTTTTTGAACAAAATCTGAACGATAAAACAATGCCGGATTTACTGCCTTTTCGGACATTGTTTTGTCTGTTTTTTATTGTTGGCAGTAAATAGGTTACAGACTAAAAGGTTTTCATCACATTGTTTTAAAATGAAAAGTTGAACTGACTTTGACAGGGTTTATGAGCTTTGGTTTCGTAAAATAATGCAAAAAATGGTGTTTAAAAAGGAAGAATGGCAAGAACTTTCTTTACAAAACAAAAAATAGGCAAAAACTTTCTTTACAAATCTCAAAAATAAAGACGTAGTACTCAACGTATAACCTGTCACCAGCAGCCTGCACAACTTACCATAAGGCAAGAACTTTCTTTACAAAACGAAAATTAGCAAGAACTTTCTTTACAGGTCAGAAAATGACAAGGACTTTCTCAATGGTAAAAACTTTCTTTACAAAACAAAAAAAAAGCAAAAACTTTCTTTACAAAATAAAAAATGGCAAAAACTTTTTTTACAAATTGAAAAATGGCAAGAACTTTCTTTACAAAACAAAAAATGGCAAAAACTTTCTTTACAAATTGAAAAATGGCAAGAACTTTCTTTACAAAACAAAAAATGGCAAAAACTTTCTTTACAATACAAAGATAAGCAAGAACTTTCTTTACAATTCAAAAAACAGCACGAACTTTCTTTACAAAACAAAAAATAGCAATAACTTTCTCTACCAATCAAAAAATTGCAAGAACTTTCTTTACAGAATAAAAATTTAAATTTTTTGCAAAAAATCATATTTCAAAAAATTCCAGACTCCGAACGTTGAAAACTTGCAAAAGCGGGCGTTCGAAAAGTGTTCGCTTCACCTTGTTATCCTTGTCCAGAATCTAACATGTCAATCATCACTTTTAATATGCATTTCGAACTGGCAAACCATTTCGAATCAAAAAAAATAATCTGTAGCAATTTTTCGAAGCCTTCAAATTTTTTTTTCGAATTTCAAAAAAGAATTTGGAAAATGCACTTTACAAAGTTTACTCGAGTTTTATGACCGAATAAAAAGTTTTAAGTTTGTTCTCCTAATGGATGTCCAGATTAAATGTCATGACATGTTATTTGTTCAAGATCTTCATTTCGAACATGTCAAAACAGTCTGGACTAAAGATTATGTTTTTGAAATTTGAAATTTTTAAAATTTTCTATTTTTAAGACAAAAACATGTTTTTAACATAACAACAAGATAGATAAAGTCAGGAATCAATATAGCAGAAGCTTAAGCTTAGTATTGAGCTTAATTTATGCTTTAGGCTTAGTCTTAATCTTAGCCGTAAGTTTGCGCTTTGGCTTAACGTGAATTCAAGCTTATGTTAGGCTTAGGTTTACGTTTAGGCTCGAGCTCAAAGTAAAGCTGAGGCTGAGTCTTAGGCTTAAGCATAAACTATAACTTAAGCTCGGGCTTGAACTAGAGCATAGTCTAGAGCTTAGTAAGGCTTGATACGGCTTACATAACTAGGAAAAGAGCAAAAGCTGAAGCTAAGGCTAAGGTTAAGGCTAAGGCTAAGGCTAAGGCTAAGGCTAAGGCTAAGGCTAAGGCTAAGGCTAAGGCTAAGGCTAAAGCTAAGGCTAAGGCTAAGGCTAAGGCTAAGGCTAAGGCTAAGGCTAAGGCTAAGGCTAAGGCTAAGGCTAAGGCTAGGACTAAGGCTAAGGCTAAGGCTAAGGCCAAGGCTAAGGCTAAGGCTAGGACTAAGGCTAAGGCTAAGGCTAAGGCTAAGGCTAAGGCTAAGGCTTGGGCTAAAAATAATAAAAAAGTTCATAAAAAGCTTTAAAATCAAGTATAATATAAGCCCATATCCACTCTTATTGTCTCTAAAACAACATCATATCCTATCCTACAACACTTTTCGCATAAAAGAAAGGGGATTGTAAGGATAAGAGAATGGAACTTTGGGCAGTCAACCAGAAAAATGTCAAGAAAACATTTTTCTTTAACACCAAAAAATCCGCTTCGAATTTCAAAAAAAAAGAAATGGCAGTCGAGTTTCGATTTTGAAACAGGTACAGGCATTTTTAATTCGACTGCCATTAGTTTTATGATGCTATCCATCAAAATAACCGGTGGTTTTGGGAATTTTTCAGAAAATGCGAAAATCACGCCGAATTTTTAGAAGTTGTACTATTAATATAAGACAGCAGAAAGGTCATGTAGATAAAAAAGGGTAGAGTAAGGCAAGAGTAGAGCAAAGGAACGTAACAATGGCAGGGGTGGGTATTAGTAGAGCTATGGTGAAGATATGGTTGGGAAAAGACAAAATTAAAAACCTAAGCCTCAACGTAACTTTAAGTTTAAAAAATTAAGCTTAAAAGCGAATTTAAAACCTAAAAATTGGATTTTAAGCCTAAAATTGAGTTTTAAGTTTAAACATAGAATACTAAACCTATCAATGAAATTTTAAGTTTAAAAATGGATTTAAGCTTAAAAATAAAAACTTCAAGCCTAAAAAAGAAATTTAAGCCTAAAATTGAAAGTATAGGCCTAAAAATAAAATTTAAGCCTAAAAATAAACTTTAAGCCTAAAAAAGAAATTTAAGCCTAAAAATGAAAGTATAGACTAAAAATGAAATTTTAAGCCTAAAAACCAATTGTCAACCTAAAAATGTAGTTAAAGCCTCAAAATAGAAGTTTAAGCCTGAGAATTATTGTAAATCTAAAAACAAATTTCTTCCCTAAATTTAGGCAAATCAAAGAAGAGTGCCACCCCTCGGTCAGGCTGTTAAACAATTTGGCGGAACCAGAAAAATATAAAGCTGACCTCATTTAACCTCGTTCCCAGATTCAGAAGGCGGCTTTGTCTCGATTTCATTGGGGGGTGGAGATAAACGGGAAAACAAACTCTATTGTAAGGCAGTCAACAAAAATCTCATATTTATGAATAATGCCTGGAGCATTGCCAATTTCAGGCCTTGGTGAGATGAAATGGGCTTGTTTTCCAAAAATCGCTTTAGTAAATTAAATAAAATAAGCATTAGGCTTAAAAAAACTTTTAGACAGAAACTAAAATTTTAGTTGAAAAAAAACACTTTTAAGCCTAAAATGGATAATCGACTTAACGGTTTAGGCTTAAAACTCATTTATAAAGTTTAGAATTCACTTGTAGGCTTAAAAGTAATTTTTAGGCTTAAAAGTTATCTTTAGTCTTAAAATCCTATTTTTGGTCTTAAAATTTCATTTCTAGGCTTAAAGTTCGTTTTTAAGCTTAAATTTTGTTTTTGGACTTACAATTTCAGTTTTAGGCTGAATATTCATTTTTTGGGCTTAAAGTTTCACTTTTAAGCCTACAATCTACTATTAGATTTAAAATTTCATTTTTAGGCTTACACTTAAATGTTCAGGCTGACGCTGCACTTTTAGGTTTAAAATTTCATTTTTAGGCTTAATATTTCCTTTTTAGACTTAAAACTTCATTTTTAAGCTTAATATTTTAGCTTTAGGCTTATCATCTACTATTAAGTTTAAAGTTTCATTTTTAGGCTTAAAGCTCCATTTTAGGCTTAAATTAAAGCTTTTGGTTCAGAAATCATTTTTAATCTTAAAATCCCATTTGTATGCTTAAAATCCTATTTTAGGCTTAAAATTAATTTTTAATCTTAAACTTTCATTTTTAGGCTTAAAAAATTACTTTTTGATCTAAAAAACCCAATTTAAAACCAAAATCCCACAAATTGTTACCTAATCATGAAACAAGTTGTCCGAACACTTCCAAAAACTCTACCCAAAAGCGAAGCAAACAGATCAAAGAACTTGCAAGTATTCTTAGAAACATTAAGGAAGCCCAAATCTTTTCTAATTTTGCACAAATTAGGCCTGAAAATCCGTGGAGCACCGTGTTTTTTCCGCCTTATTGTGTTTGTTCCAGGAAAAACAAGGAAAAACAGCAATTAAAGCGCGGATAAAAGGTTAATATAATATAATGGAGTGTTTGTCGGCCTGGCCTAAGGATCTGAGGACAATAGTCTATCTCTTCACACTCAGATTTGATCGCCTAGCTTAGTCTTAGCCTTTAGCCTTAGCCTTGGCCTTAGCCATAGCCTTAGCCTTAGCCTTAGCCTTAGCCTTAGCTTTGCAGCCTACTCTACCCTTCTCTATCCTTCTATACTTTTAAGAAAATATTGCTCTACAAAGTACTATAACACCTCATACACCATAATACCGTAGTACATTGTCCCAAAATCTCGTCGTATCACGCCATAGTAACAAACAAAAAAAAATACTGAGACATATATTCTAGTAGGCTTAAAATTGTAAGTGTAACGAAATTTCAAAACAAAATAAAAACGCGAAGAGCCAATGATTTATGCAAAAGTCTGTTAATTAACAATTTGCGTGAATACTGCAGATAACACCAACGCCTGTCAGAGTCAACACAAAGTTCAAGAGAATTTACAAATTTGGAAAAAGCTAGACAGGTAAGTCTGGTGTTAGTTATTTTAAGGCTAAAAATGAAATTTTAAGCCTAAAAATGGAAGTTTAAGCCTAAAAGTAGAATTTTAAGCCTAAAAATGCATTTTAAGTTTAAAAATAACTTTTAAGCCTAAAAATGAAATCTTAAGCCAAAAATGTTTTTTTAAGCCTAAATTTGCATTGTAAGCCTAAAAATAGAAACCTGAGCCAGAAAATGGAATTTTGAGCCTAAAAACGAAGTTTAAGCCTAAAAAACGCATTTTAAGTCTAAGAATGAATTTTAAACTTAAAAGTAGAGTTGTACTGTTAATCCTCCCCCCCCTCCCCCAAAGTATGACCAAAAAAGCGAAAAAAATATAAAATTTGTAATCCCCATGCCACTTTTCGGTGGCCCTTCGAAAAGCCTCGTTCAACATATTTCACGGTAAAATAAAAAGTCGACTGGCCTTTGTTTGTAAACAACAACATTGAATCACGTATATAGTAGGACGGGGTAGTGCTATTTGGTACGTATTATTTGGAATTTAGGTTTTGGTCAATTTGACCTAAAAAACTAGTCGATTTGTGAAATATAGCATTAAAAATAGCATTTCGACCAAAATTTAAAATTTTATTTTTTGAAAAACCTATAAAAATCAAAAATTTTTAAAATACAGTCAAGTTTTGATCAAACAATACTATATTTTAAGTTTGACCTTAAAGTGCAACTTTATATACCAATTTTAAAGCCTTTTCAAAGAAAGGTCAGCGTATAATGTCTAAGATGTCTAGTCTGTTCAAAAAACTGTAATTCAGCTTTTTAAGTATTATTGCACGGTGCAAAACATTGAACTTGTTTGCACAGTGCAAAAAAAAGAAAGGACATTAACATGTAAAAAGAAAAAAAAACATTTAAAAAAGCCTGAAAATACCTTAAAAATGAATTTTAACCTAAAAATGAAGCGTAGACCTATAAATGTATATTAAGCTTAAAAAAACACTATAAGCCTAAAATTAAGGTTAAACTTTTAAATGCATTATAAGCCTGTGAAAATGTAAATTATATGCTTTAAAATGTAATTTAAGCCTAACAATAACGTTTAAGCCATATATAATACAATAACATCGAAAATGCAGCTTTAAGAACAGTAAAATTTAGTATTATCTTATAACTATCCTTCCCTAACAAAAACACCCTTCCATCCTTATTCACCACAATCAAAACCACCCCCACTGTTATTTGTAAGCCCACCCCCTTGCCATAAATAATATAGTACCACATGTTCCTCTCCATACCCACCTTCTTTCTTCTCCTCTCCACCCCACCCCTACCTTTCACCCCCCCCCCCCTTTTTTTTCTCATCGCTTCCTCCCCCTAACAATATGATATACTTAATCATAATATATTATAAAACAATTCAAGAATTACGTTTCTTTTGCTTAAGAAGACCGTCGACTCGAGGGCGGACTGGAGTAGACCAAATCCCGAGAAAAAGTTTTTTGCGAGACAAATGGGCTCAAGAGCTCTTAGTCCCTTGTCCTTGGCCACGTTTTTCGGGGCCGTCGCTGGAAACTGCAAATGTTTCACGGTTCAGAGCGTGCTGTTCTGGTGATCAAGCGTGAGCACGGTGGGATTTGTTTCAAGAAAAAAGTGAAGTGAAAAAGGAAAGAGAATGACTTGAGGGCGTGTTGGGACGTCGGAAAAGAAGGTCATGTTTAAAATTTTCCGGCTCAGAGTAAAAAATCCTACTCCACCCAACTTTACACTGCCCTACCTGACCCTACCCTACTCTATAGTATCCTACCGTACGCTAACTTACCCTACCCTACCCTTTCCTACCTTACCTAGACGTAAAGAACGGCCCGGGCCTACCATCGGGCCAAGCCTGAGCAAGATTTAGGCCGGGCCTGAAAATCCCGAAAAAAACCCGGCCCGGCCCAAAAAGCCTGGCCCGTTTCTACGTAACAAAAATTTAGCCCGGCCCGGCCGAAATTTTTTTTAATGTGCCAAAAAATAGATTTTAAGCCAAAGGTGGCGGGCAAAAGATGTATAAATCAACAAGTTTTTGTTTACAACTCACTCGACACAAATTCACTCAAGTGGAGTGTTATGCAAATTAAGTGCCAACACATTTTACAAAAAAAAATGTCGAGGGTTTGGACTAACAATTATTAGAAACGGTTTTATTTTTTATAAATTTTTTGTTTGCACTGTGCAAACATTTATAAGACAGTGCAAAAAATGAAAAGTAATGCACAGTGCAAGCCCAAATAGACTGCACCATGCAAGAAAAATAAAAGAACTGCACAGTGCAAGTTAAAATAGACTGCACAGTGCATGCCCAAATAGAATGCACAGTGCAAATCAAAATAAAAGAGCTGCACAGTGCAAGCCTAAAATAGATTGCACTGTGCAAGCCTAAAATAGATTGCACCATGCAAGCCAAAATAAAAGAGCTGCACAGTGCAAGACGAAACAGACTGCACAGCGCAGCCTAAAATAGATTGCACTGTGCAAGCCTAAAATAGATTGCACCGTGCAAGCCAAAATAAAAGAGCTGCACAGTGAATAATACCATATAAACTTTAGTACTCATAATAAATACTAAAATAACAATTTTTTTCGTACTTCATCTAAATTTTTAAAAAACCGCATTTTACAAACTCATCAAAAATTCGAGTTCAAAAAGTTGTGCGAAATAGCCTGAAGGCAAGTTAAAAAAAGTAAAAAGTAAAGTTATTGTCGCATAAGTTGTGACGTTATCTGATTATGCAAATCGTAAATCATGTGACTTTTTTTGCCAAATGTGCAAATTTCGTGACGGTTATGAAAAAAATGGCATTAAATCCAATTTTGACAAAAAAATTGCTTGAGGTCATGATTTTGAAATAAATTTAAATTTTTATTGAATTGAACCTAAAATAAGCTTCAAAAAGTTAATGACAAACCTAAAACTGAATTTTAAACCTAAAAATGGATTTTTAACTTAAAAATTAATTTTAAGCCTAAAGATGGAAATTCAAGCCACAAAATCAATACTAAACTTAAAACCGGAATTTGAAAAAAGTAATTTTAAAACTAAAAATAAATTTTAAGCCTGAAAAGGGATTTTAAGCCTAAAAATAGATTTTATGTCTGAAAATGAATTTTAAGCCTAAAAATGGGTTTTGAGCCTAAAGATTTTCAATTGCCCATCACACTATACAACAGAACTGTAAAAAAGCCAGGCCTTTTTTCAAAATTGCTTTGTCCTGAACCAGCCGCTTTCAAAGTTCCTTCGTCCCGGCCCATGCCTAGTAAGTCCCCTTTCAAGTCTAGACCAAACTAAATTCAAACAAAAACCTGTTTATCACTAAAATATGCAAGTTTATATTGGCCAAACATTACCATATCATTCAACGTCGAGTAATGTCCACGATACTCTCGGAAAAAAAGAATTGTTTTGCCGTTCCGTGCGATTAACTATTCCCCACCTTCTGGTAAATGCATCAAAAAAACTGCTCGGGATTAATTCGCCTGAGGATGATTAATCACTTTCATTCCAAAAATCATAAAAATTTTAAAAAATTCAAAAAAGTCGAATTTTTTTCGAATTTTAGAAATTCAAAAGGAATTTTTTGAAATTTCGTTCCTGGAAGCATATTGAATTTTGGTGCATATGGTTAGGAGATGACATTTAGTATGCGCTGGAGGCTTGAAACAGTAAAAAAGAAATATTAGGGGTTTTAGGGCTAAAATAATGTCATATACCCTACCGTACCCTACCCTACCTACCCTACCCTGCCCTGCCCTACCCTATCACCACTTTACTTAACTCTACCCTATTAAACCATGTATAAATTTACCGTAGCCCTACCCAAGCCTGCCGTTTCCCTAACCTGTTTTACCCTACCAAAGTCTGCCTTGACCTACTCTTATCTCATCGCTATGTCGTACCCTACTCGTTCTTAATACTTAAACCAACCTATAATAACATGTTTTGAACTTTTTAGTCAACATATACTCCTTCCCCTATCCTTATTTGTTCTCTAGCATCCCACACCTCACCTTTCCCCCCCCCTCCTTCAAAAATCTTAGCAACCCTACACCTTACCTAACCCTATCACCCTTTTCCCCTAAAAACTAAGTAATCTTCTACCCACCTTTATGCAGCCCCCCCCCCCACATCCTCTTCCTCCTCTTCATCCCTCCGCGTCTTCTTCACCCCCCCCATGCCCTTAAAAAGTTATCATTTCGATACATATCAAAATGGCCTTTTTCCATAAAAAACGGCGCCCGATAAAACGCAAAGTAACTTTTACAAACGTGAAGAAGAACGGCAATATACTCAGCCACTTGTCACCATAAAACTTAAAAAAGGAGGTTGTTCAAGTTATATTTGGCTTCACAACTCTTACTTTGTCCTTTTCCGTTAAATTCTCAACGTTCTGATTCGATTATAGGTCACATCCTGCTTTTCTTCCGCCCCACCAATACATTCATCCTCGCTTCGTAGTGCGAAGAAAGGAAGGCATGGGTATGGGTGTAGGTAGACAAAGGAGGATATGGTTATGAAAAGTAAGGTATGAGAAGGAAACAGAGGATGCTGTAGGGTAAGGGTAGGGTTAAAGGTTAGGGTAAGGTAAAGTAGAGTAGAAGTAAAGTTTAGGGCAGATTTTTAAAAACTTCAAAAAAATCTACAGGGGGAACCAAGTTCAATTTTTCCAAAAAAAAATTTTAATTCTCGCCCAGCTTGATCTCCACACCCTCTCACAAACCCTAAAAAACTAACACAACATACTATTCATGCTAAAAAAAACTAACACAACCTACTATTCATACCACACAAAAATCTCTATCCTAAACCTCAATTTATATTACCCACGCCATTTACTATTTAGACTTCCAAATCCTTCGAAAAAACCAAAATTACCTCGTCATTTATACCATGAATAAACCCTAACAAGTAGTAATAATGCACATAGGTCCTTCAAAGTCCACAGTGTTGAATAAAAACGAATTTGAACAAAGGCCACGTCCAAAATTGAACAGAACGATAAAATTATTGAGAATAACATAATTTGCGAAAAACTTCGCAGAAATGTTGATATGTAACAGCAATATACGAGAATAGTTATAATATTTCATTTCTCTATCATCCCTCTTTTCTCTTCGTTCATTCATACTTTAATATACTTATATTGCTTATATATTATATTATCATAGATAACATTACTTTAACTATAATTAAAAAGTTATAAATTATTGTAATTAAGGCACAATCAAGTTAACAATGTAGAATAAAATCAATTCTTGTTTTCAGGTTCAAAATCCAGCGTACATCCATTGATACAATAGCGTTCACCACCTGTTTCTTCTGGACCATCATCAAACACATGGCCTAGATGAGCATTGCACTATAACAATAAAATTAATAAGTGATCTTATGCATTTTAATTTAAAATAACAAGTTCAAACATTTTTCTATCTAAAATGAACAAAAACACAAAGTTCCAACAACTCAAAACAGTTTTATGACCAAAACCATCTTATCCATCCCTTATATCTACTATAACACCACAAACCCCTTAAAAACTCACCACTTTACATCGCACTTCAATTCTCTGCATCCCATATGAGTTGTCCCCTATCCTGACAATGTTCTTATCACCATCCACCGACTTGGCAAACGACGGCCATCCACAAGGCGTCCAAAATTTGGATTCAGACCTAAATTTCAACAAAAATAATAATTCTAATGGTAAAAACTTACACAAATAGCTCTGCTCGACAACAATAGCATAAATACTTCCCAGACTTCATACTCTTCTCAAATTTACTAGTATGTGGACGTTCTGTGCCTGCTTCACGTGCTACATGATAAACATCGTCAGGTAAGACCTTTCTCCATTCTTCTTCTGTTAATTCCTCTGGTTTCTTTCCCAATTTCTTAATTTTCTCCTGAATTACAGCTGAAAAAGAATCTTCATTATGTTTTAAGTGTTTTAACATTGATTTGTTGTAAAAACATCAGTGTAAAAGCCCAAAATTCACCTAAAATCAACGAAAAACAGTCTACAACAACTTACTTGATTCAACTCCATTATCGTTCGGCATTGTTAGAACAGAAGATATGGAGAATCTGCGCAAAAAAGTAGACGCAAGTGCGAATTTCCGAAAAAGAGACATTTTGAGCGTATTTGGATAAAAACATAATTTGGGCGCGGCTCGCAAACAACACTGCAGGATGCGGAAGTAAGTTATACGAATATTTATTAAACAGTTTGTAAAATACGTAGCAGAACATGCAATTATAGAACACAACATCAAACTTTAATTTTCCAAAAAATTAAAAATTTAGGCTAAACATTAAAATAAAACTCATTTTTTTAGGTAACAATTTAATAAAATTCCAACATTAGTTTTATAAGTTATTTTATTTTACACTGGCATCTATTGTGCGGTTTCACAGGGTATCACGTGACATAAAACTACAACGTATTCATATACGAGCCCTACAACATATTATTATAGGCAATATCACCAAGGCACTAATTCTTCTTTCCCAATACGGTCTCTACAGCATGAGCAAGGTTGTCAGCGATGAAGTCCGGGTTGACATAATGTTTTTCCCATTCTGGCCGCCATTTCCCAGTCTTAACTTGAATTCCTCGAATTCCATGACTTTGAGCTCCTCCAATATCACTAACAATGTCATCACCGACCATCACCACTTCATCTTTGGTCAATCCCATGTCATTGATGGCTGCCATGAAGTAGGCTTCATCTGGCTTGCCAAGAACAATGTGTTCACATCCAGTAGCGTATTTTAAAGCTATGGCGAATCCGCCGAGATCCATACATGGGCCGGTTACTCGTTGGTAGAATCGACCGCATCCAAGTGAGATCAACAAGGGTTTCTCTGCTTCCATGAGGACACGGAAGGCCTTGTTCATGTTTTCATAATTGAAATCGTCCTCTGCGTCGCCTACTACAACACAGTTTGGGTTTGTTGTGTCGCAGCCGGCAAAGTCGTCTAGCACACCTGAAATATTCATGTGAGTCAAAAAAATGATGTTCAAAAGTTGAATTATATCCAAAATCGTTCTAGGCCTTTTAAAAGTAACACAACAAAAGATGAACCCAAATCCTCTGCTCAATTCCCTAAAGTTCGATATTATCCATAACCACTTTACCTCCACCTATGTGAATACTCTTCTATTCTCCACATTCCTAAACTCAAAAACAACAAAAAAACACATACCTTTGTGAATTAACAAATGTGGTCGGAGTCCATGCTTTTTGATGTAGCTTGCGGCTACAGGCGCCGGTGTAAACAAGTGCTCCTGTTTCAATGTGAAGCCAAGCCGAGTGAGTTTGGCATACAGTTTGGCCGGCGTGGAGGTGCTCTCATTGCTCACAAATCGCAAATTACTTTCTGAGTATAATCTAAAAGTAGGTTTTTATTAGCAATTAATTTTTGCGCCGGTTATATTATTATAGTTAAAAGCTTTTGATAGGGGTTAGACAACTTCAAACTAATGTAGCACATAATTAAAGTGCTTTTTCTTTTTCTGTAATGTGAAAATAATAAAAAACTATAGAGAATCTTACAATAACTAAGAGAAATCTAGTGAAGTCCGTTTACATCAATATGTTTGCCCTTTTCCAAAAAAAAACATCAAAATTTATATTACACTTGTCATAGCCGCGTTGCTGAAGCTAAATCAAGCTTCAAAAGCAAAGCAACTGTTTTAAAAACATAGAAGACAATCTAGACAATCTTTTTAAACCAACAAAAACCAAAAAATTATGAAACGCACCTTGTTATAGCTTCAATTGAGCCTTTTATAGCTTCACCGCCTTCTGGAGAGCTGTTGTACAAAACTCCAGTGATGTCTAATAAAAATCCCTTTACTGAACCTGGTTTGAACGCCATTTTAAGCTCGCACCTCCAAGCATGAACTCTGACCTTTTTGGCCAAAAAATTTCAATAGAAATTTAGATGCGACGTTTTATACGATGAAACATGTAAGACGAGAGGAATAAAATATGTAAATCTAATATGTAAACTACGCCATAGTTGTTATTAATTCAAAAGTGTTTTTATTTGATCGAAATTATATTATTATTAAGATTTTAACAAAAATCCAAAAATAATAAAACCCTTATTTATTCGAGGTATATTGTACATCATAGAATTTTTACACTTAAAATACGTTAGAAACCATTACAGTATATACATATGCGTATAAAATTATAAAATCTAAGATATAAACCGATATGTGTAGAATAAGATTACAATTGCGTACAAAAAAGAGATCTTGAAGAGCCATGTTAATATATAAAAAGAATTGTTAAAAATCCATAATGTAAGAAAAACCATATTAAAACATAATAGTTTACACTGCTTAGTCCCACATTGCTTTGATTGCCCGTTTCTTCTCTTTTGCATCTCTTAATTGTTGCGTTTCCGCCGTTTTTTGTTCGGCCGAGACCGGTACCCGAACATTAAGATGTCTCGACACGGCCTGCCTAATTACACTGACATTCGTCGCTGGTCTGACCGCTGACTTGACTGGCCTTAGATCCGATTTGTGTTTCGTGCAATATTGCACGTGTTCTTCTACTTGTGGCTCATCAATTAGGTACAATTTCATTGGAGCATACTTGCTCGATGACCTAAGACAATGTCGGGCTGAAATTAGATAAAATTAGTCATGAAATTAACAGAAATTTGAAGTATGATACAGACAACATAGAAAACAATGTAAAAAGATTAAGTACTTACCGTTTAAAGTGTTATGAAACACCAAAAGGGCACATTTGTCATCCACCTTCTCCATCCTCACGCTACGACCAAAATCGCCATTAATCCGATGCATTAAAGCATCATGGTCGATTGGATTTCCTTTTACTATAACAATATGCCGCAAACCTAAAAAATAAATTTACTAGCTGTTTTATCCTTTGTTTTTTTCTATAAATTGACCTTTATGTTACAGTAGGCAACCTACTTATATATAAGAGCGACAGTAGAATATAAAATGTCTTTTTTAAACATAACAAAAATAAGATTACAAAAACATCAATATACAGCATCGGAAAGCACTAAAGACTACATAACATACCATCATATTTATTATTATCAGCCTTTTCATCTCCACTAGACCCCAAATCTGATGTTTTCGACGATGTTACAATCGTCTTCTTAGGCTCAGTCTTCTTCTTCATCTCGACAAAAGGGTCCTTAGCTGGCTTTGTCGATTTGGAGACTTTCAAGTGCTCCAGGGCCGCATTTAACTAAAAATCAAATAATGATAATATAAACAACAAACTCACCTTCTCCATGGCTCCAGATGAACCATTCTCCGCTGTCTCGTCCAAATCCTCCCACGACTCCAATACCAAATCGCTGGCGGCCATAGTGTTAAAATGTAGCTGAAAAGATAAATTTAATCAATCTACACATTATGTTAGCATTTTTATAATAAAAAAAAAACGTTATAAATAATAATAAAAAGCCGATTTTAAACAATTTATTGATACTTTTAAATCATTAAACAGTTAATATGAAAAAATAAGTTTATCTTCACAATAATATTCATAATTCAAAAACAATCACGCGTCGAAAAAATCCATCGCGTGACGTTTTGATCAGCGCTTCCTTGTTAATCTTCTCCATCTACTTAGAAAACGCAGAAATAAATGAGAACCAAAGGCAAGATACCATCAAAAAATAAAATTATATACCTTATATATATCAGAAACTAAATTTACTATTTAAAAAAGCTACAAGATACGAAAGAAAACCGGTACCCCTCCCCTTCCCCCCCTCCGGCCCTTAATATAACAGTTGCAGAAGAAAACTTGACACAAAAGCGAAACTTGGCGCGTATATAAAAGTCGTCTTGATGATGCAGTTTGGGCAAAAAGTGTGAATCAAAACAACGTTAAAAATTTACTTTGAAATATTAATGTAAAAAACTACTTATTTCATCAAAATTTGATATTTTTTTAACTAATTAGCTACGTCATTATGACACTTTAACTAGACGCCGGGAAATTTCATCAAAATTCATTTTTTGAATTTTCCCTCCGTTCTTTTGGCAGAATCCTTGTTTTCCCTCTATTATTAACAAGTTTTTTAATTTATTTTTGAATAAAATATCAGTTTTTAAGATATTTTCATGTTCGTATACGTTATATTCGTTAAAATCTTCGCGGAACGTTGTTTTTTCTATTTGTTTTAGATGAATCATATGTAAAATAACGCACGACGAACGCCGTTCCTTCGTAAGAACGGCAAGAGTTTTATATTTTAATAAAATAAGTGAAAGGAAAGGTAAAAAGTTGGGCTTTGAGACGATTTTTCACTGTTTTGAGAAGCTGATATCTAGTGTAACATAGGGTTTGATAAGATCCTGAGGGCACATGGCGATTTTTGGGAAAACATTATAATATTACTATAAAATAGGTTCTTCCCTATGCATATAATGGAAAATATATTAACTTAGGATGTTCGTTTTTGGTAAAATACGATTTAACGCACGATGGTCCGATATCATGGATAATATCCCAAGAAACCTCTGTAAACCCCAAAATATAGCTAAAACCCCAACATTTTTTGACAGATAGATAACTAAGAAACTACACGACCTATCTGAAACTAAAAAAGAGGTAAATGAACTTTGCGATCCGCTTCGAGGACTTTTTGTGATAATCAAACTTTTTATCGAACGCGCGTCCTATGTTTATGTAGTCGAAGACAGAAAAAAAAGAAGTAAAGGTTATTGTCGCAATTGTGTGCGGGTTTATCTTCGTGGGGTTATAGATTATGTACACTCTTCAGTCTAATTTATATAGCAAATATAACTGAGAAATCGCAGAAAAATCAAGTATAATATCAGACTAACTGACAAAAAATAAAATTTTTGAAATTTTTAGATAAAGCAATTTATTAAAATGACTAAAAAATTAAAATATGCATATTTTAAAGTTAATTTAACAGTGTTAACAGTGTGTTATTGATGTTTATTTATCAATTTCATGTGATCAAATGCCGTCATAACGGGTTTGCCGCTCGTGACAGCCGGCTGGGAGAGCCTGAGGGTGATTCATTAAATTTTGTCCGGAACAGATGAGATCATGCTTTTCGATATTGGTCTGAACTGTTATTTTTGAAAATGTCGGTTTGAGAAAGGGGTAGGCTTATTTTTTGGTTGATAATGGTACTTTTTGACAATTTTCTGAGAATTTTTGTATTTTATGTTAAAAAAGCTTTTTTAGGTTACTATTGATACAAAATGGCGAGAAATTTATTTAAAAGTTAAGAAATGGCAAGAACTTTCTTTACAAAACAAAATATGACACGAACTTTCTTTACAAAACAAAAAATGCCAAGAAGTTTCTTTAAAAGTCAAAAAATGGCAAGAACTTTCTTTCCAAAGCTAAATTTTCATATTTTTTTAAATTTTTGATCTTAAATTTTTTTAAAAAAAAATAAAAAATTTTTTACAATTTTCAAAACACCAAAAAATGAAAATTCTTGAAATCATTGTTAATTTTTCTAATTAACTTTATCCCCTGACCCCCAAAATAACCCATGTTTATAAGTGAAACAACAACTTTTGTTCGCCCACTCAAGGAGAAAAAAGCACGGCTTCGAAGGGGGGGGTGGGGAAATCCCATTGCTCCTCGAGATCAAAGCGAGGTGAAAATAAAGGGACGAACTGACCAGAACTAATGTTCGAGAACTGGGGCATCTCAATTGTTTTGAAATTATTTCATTCGGCTTAAAGTTAACCGAGGGGAGCGGGGAAGAGGGTAGGGTTAAAGTAAAGGGGGGGGGGAGCGGGGAAGGAGGTAGGGTTGAAGTAAAGGGGGCGGGGGAGCGGGGAAGGAGGAAGGGAGGGTTGGAGGAGTTTTTTGGAAATTTTGATGATTTTTCGAAATTTTTAAAGAAAAAATGGAATTTTAAAGGAAATTTGTCATTTTTTGTTGTGTAAAGAAAGTTCTTGCCATTTTTTGTTTTGTAAAGAAAGTCCTTGCCGTTTTTTGTTTTGTAAAGAAATTTTTTGCATTTTCTTGTTTTGTAAAGAATGTTCTTGGCATTTTCTGTTTTGTAAAAAAAAATCTTTCCATTTTATATCTTGTAAAGAAAGTTATTGCCATTTATGGCCGTCTTGATGACATTTTATTGTTTATTTCAATCAAACCGTGTATTACTTCGAAATATACATTATTTTGTATAGTAACATGTTTAATATGCTGTATTTTAGCCTTTTCACCTTGAGCAACAATAAGCAAATCAAGAAATGGCGGGTCAGGGTGAAATCGACTTGATCAAGATTTTCCCATCATTGCCAAGAACAATCCGTGGTCTGCCGATTGTGCTCAGTGTAAAACCTGATGATTCGACCTATTTGTATTGCAATGGGCACAGTGTGTATCTAAGGGATGTTGAGGTGAGGTTTTAGGGTCAGATCTGACCATTTTTTACTTCATACCTGGGCATTTCGACCATAGTTAATATCTGATGATAGTGGTTAAAAAATCTGTTTTTAGGGATAAATAAGTATAAAAATGTTTATATGATATCCAAAAGGGCTTAGAAATCACTTATATTTAGATTTTTGGCTTGGTGGAAGGGACTAAATGGCTTTTTTTCGGATATTGTTGTAGCTATTTGATAGTGTATGGGTTATCTTTTGATCTATTGCGTGAAAATTGGTGTTTTAAATTGGTTTTTGTTGTTGCATTATGATGAAGAAAAGTATTAGCATTGTAAATATGCTTGTTTTTAAAAAATCTGTCTGTCGTAACTTTCTTTACAGCTTAAAAAAATTCTCAAAAATAGACGAAATTTTGTGATTTTTGGAAAATTTTTAAAAAAGTTTTATTTTTTGCTTTAAAAAATACTCTTAAAACACAATATTAAACTTAACTAACTCTATATTAACCCTCAAACCCATTTAGGACATTACCAAGACTGACGTCTACACAGAGCACGCCGTCCTCACCACTGTTGCCAAGTACGCTCCATCCGGCTTCTACATTGCCTCTGGCGATCAATCAGGCAAAGTGCGGATTTGGGACACAACTCAACAGGAGCATATTCTGAAGAACGAGTATCCAGTCATCCTTGGCCCCATCAGAGATATTGCTTGGGATTCGGAAAGCAAGCGAATCGCTGCGGTTGGAGAAGCCCGCGAAAAGTAGGATTTGAATTTTTTAAAGGTTCTTTTATGTTTAGGTAACAGATGTTGATGGAAGTGCGGTTTTGAAAAATATTTGTGAAGTTTCGATTATGAAGGATGTAAAATAACAATTGTTTTGAATTTTAGGTAACAAACGTTAAAAAAGTGAACATTTTTGAAGTTTAGGTAACAAATTAAAATAAATCGTGAGTTTAGGTCACACATTGAATGTTTTTAAAAAATTTAGGTAACAAATTGGAAAAAAGTAGATTCTAGGTAACAAATAAGGCATTTTCGCTTATTTTGGGTAACAATTTGAATTAAATCTAAAATTTAGGTAATAAATCAAGAAAATTTTCAAAAATTTAAATATAGTAACATAAGAAATTTAGATTCGGTCATGTATTTTTGTTCGACACCGGTACCAGTGCAGGTAACTTGACCGGCCAAAGTCGACCGGTCAGTTCGGTCGATTTCAAACCAACACGCCCATTCAGAGTCGTCAGTGGAAGTGAGGACAACACTGTAGCCATCTTTGAAGGCCCTCCATTCAAGTTTAAAACGGTAGGACTTTAAAAAATCTAATTTTTTTTTCAAAAAATTTAAATTTTTTAAAATTTTGAAATTTAAAAAAGAAATCTGTGGGAAAATTCTAAAATAACGAATATTACTGTAGTTCTTCCACGAACACGAACGTTTTGTCCACTGCGTCCGTTACAACAAGGCAGGTACGATGTTCGCGTCTGCCGGCGCGGACGGCAAAGTCATCGTCTTTGACGGGACCGATGGACAAAAATTGTTCGAACTATTGGACCCGGCTGTGAAAGCACAAGCCGCGCACGAGGGTGGAATCTTTTCACTGTGCTGGAGTCCAGATGACACCAAATTGGCCACGGCTTCCGGCGATAGAAAAGTCAAAATCTTTGATGTCACTGAAAGACAACATCTGAAGTAAGGAGTTGGGGGAGGGTTTTCAATTTTTATCAAGGGTTTCTAATGGTATATTTTTAAGGTTTTCTCATAACGTAATGTATTCTTGCTTTTTAAAAATCCCTTTGGTACTAATGGTACACTTTTTAAAATTTTTTTCTTTAAAGCGTCAAAGCGTTCTAAAATTTATTTTTTTTTGTTTTTTGTTACATGGTACTTAATGGTACCCAAATGGTACTAGACTGATGTTACCATTTATAAACTTAAAATTTTTCAAAAAACATTTTAAAATTTTAAAAATCAAACATTTCAGAACAATTGACTTTGGTAAAGAACTGAACAACCAACAACTGGGCTTGATTTGGACTAAAAAATGGATTTTGTCCGTCTCTCTGGCTGGATACGTCTCCTATGTTGACCCGGAAGAAGGCGAGATCAAGAGGATCCTGAAAGGCCATAATAAGCCAATCACCGCGGCTTGCTTGTCCCAAGACAAGAAATTCTTTTTTACTGCTGATTTCGAAGGAAATATTAGTAAGTTTTTGAATTTTAGGGTGTTGGAAAGAAAGTTTTTGTCATTTTTTGGTTTTGTAAAGAAAGTTCTTGCCATTTCTTGCTTTGTAAAGAAAGTTTTTGCCATTTTGTATATTGTAAATAAAGTTTTGACGTCTTATAAATCTGATTTTAGCTCGCTGGGACGTGGCGACAGGTGAATCCGACCGTCTGGATCAATACCCACATAAAACACAAATCTCCGGCATGGCCGTGACTCCAGAAGGAAAGTTGATCACGATAGCATGGGATGACGTACTAGGCTCCATCGACGGTATTTTGGGAGATCTCAGTGAGTTTTGTTGGGCTGTAAAGAAAGTTTTCGCAATTTTTTGTTTTGTAAAGAAAGTTATTGCAATCTTTCACTCTGTAAAGAAAGTTCTTGCCATTTTTCACTTTGTAAACAAAGTTTTTGCTTTAATAAAGAAATTTTTAAAGAAAACTCGAAAGCAGAAGCCCACAAGCTGAATAGTCAACCTCGTGGCTTGGCTGTCACCAAAGACGGCCAAACCCGAATCGTCGCCGGCCACAAGCATATCACGGTGCTAAAAGAAAAAGGCATAGTTAATTTGATGGAAATTGATTTTGAGGGCCTGTCAGCGGCCATTCACCCTGACAACAAAGTCGTCGCCATCGGTTCTGCTGTATGTTTAATTTTTTTGCGTTTTTAGGTAACAAAGTTTAACTTTTTTTAAAATTTTAGGTCATAAAAGGTCTGTTTTTGTTTTTTAGGTAACAGAATTCAATGTTTTCTCAATTTTGATTTAAAAAATTCTGTTTTTTTGCATTTTAGGTAACAGAATTTGTTTTTTTTTATAACTTTAAGTAATAAAAATCTTTTCAGGACGGAAAAATCCGTATCTACGACTTGTCATCTGATGGTAAACTAACCGAGACGAAAACCATGACCCACACTGGTATCATCACCTCCCTCGAATTCTCCCTGGACGGCAAACACTTGGTCGCTTCAGACGCATCTCGCAAAGTAGTCGTCTACAAGACCCAAGACTACACATCTGCCACCGAAAAGGAATGGACCTTCCATACCGCTCGTGTCAACACTGCCAGCTTCTCACCAAACGGCCGATACATCGCTTCCGGCGGTCTCGATACCCATCTGATGGTATGGGATCTACAAAATTCGGGAGAACATCCGAAAGTGGTCCGAAATGCACACAAAATGAACTGCATCAATGTTGTCAGATGGCTGGATGATGAGACCGTGCTCTCGGTTGGACAGGACTCCAACATCAAACAGTGGAAGGTGCGCAACTTGTAAACCAACCCCCATTTTCAATGAAAATGCACTTTTCTATAGCCAAAGATTGCAATTAATTATTTATGTATTTTAGTCTCATATTTCATATTATACGTGCCTAAAGAGTCTCAAAATAAAGTAATTTTAAAGACATGTTTGATATTGATATAAAGAATTAATACAGGGCTATAGTTTTACTTTTACTAGGTTTAATATAGGGAAATAGTAGCTTTAGTTGGCTAAAAATTGCTAGTTTTATCAAGATAACTGAAAACCTGGCAAAAAATAGGACTAACACCTCAAAACCTTGACATACCAAGCTTCAAAATATAAATAGAGGCCAAAAACCTTTAAAATTAAAACAAAAAGACTCTAATCTACCTTACGCTAACCATTCCCAACACCAAACCCTTAAAATCCAGCCAAAAAAATTGGTATATACATCTTTATACATAAAAACCAGTGAAAGGTTATGCTTATCTCTCCTATGACTAGTAAAAACACCAAATATCAATGGCAAAAACACATACAATAGCGCCTAATCATCATCATCCTCGTCGTTGTGAACAAAGATTTCGTATTCGTCAAGCAAATACACGCCGAGCTGAGCAATCTTCCCGCCAATGTACAACGAACCAAGTGTGGCTAACGCGAGCTGAAATTTTGGAAGGTTATTAATTCCATATTGGCTTGATATTGCGTTTAAAAGCTGACGAAGACTCTAAAGATGAATTATACAACAAGAAATCCAGGTATAATGTCGATCCTTCAAGCCAAAACATCGACTTTATATTACCCATGACCTAAAAACGGAAACAAAGCAAAAAAAAATTAAAACTAACCTTAGCATGTCCCAATGGCAATCGATATGGGTCTTGGGCATGAATCAGTTGTTTTGGATCGATTTTCGTGCTAATACATCTGCGTGATGTTGTGATACCAGAAGTCAAAAGCCGTCTTAAAATCATTTGTTGAAAAATCAGTCGAAAGTGCCAGTAAATCAGTCGATAAAAGTCAGTAAAGGTTAGTGAAATAAGTTTAGGTTAAAAAAAGTAAGTAGGCTAGTTAATTCCAAGAATTTTGTTCAACTTCCGACTAGTTTACGGCTAAAAACAGCCGATTGAAGTCAACAGAAAACAAGAAAAATAAGAGAAAAAAGGCTTGAGACGGAATGCCAGAACAGCGCTAGGACAAATGCGGAGTTTGAACATTTGCAGATTTTTTAAAGGTTTTTTTAATTTTTTAGTTAATTTAGTTGTAGTATGGTAATAAATGGTACTAAAGTTTAAATTGATACGGTTTTAACGTAATAGTACCATTTTGGGCTTTTAGTACCATTTAGTACCAAAAAATATAAAACAGTACCAATTTAGTTTAGTACTATTTCTAAAAATAGTAACTAAAAAATATTAAAACTGTACCAATTTAAACTTTAGTATCATTTAGTACCATACTCATTCTAAATTAACTAAAAAATTTAAAAAAACCCCTTTAAGCGTCAGGGGTGGACTTGGGTAGGGTCAAAAACGTCAGGGGTGAGGTTGGATAGGGCTAATAGGGTCAGGGGTGGGGGTCGGGTTGGGCTAAAAGGGTCAGGAGTGGGGTCGGGTAGGGCTAAAAAGAATCAGCGGTGGGGGTTGGGTAGGGCCAGAAAGGTCAGGGGTGGACTTGTGTGAGGCCAAGAGCGCTGTCTATCGGTCAGAAAGATTATATTTTTTATTTGGCATGGATGAAGGTAATCACTTTGACAAAAGATGGTTTTATTTTGAGTAGACTTACGAAATTCGAGATTGAATTCGACTTATTCAAGACAACCATGTTTCAAGCTGCTCATGGATAATATCGAAGCAGGTCTGCAAGCATATGAAGGTAATGCCAGTTCTAAAGAGGCTTCTGGGTTAGATAATTAATTTTTTATAGGATTTTACATTTTTTAACCAAAAATAGGGTTAGATTGTTTTGGCATCTAACCAATTCACAAAAATCGACAAATTTGCAATAAAATTTGGTAAAATTTGAATAGTTTTGAAAATTTTCGTTTGAATTTTCAGAAATTTGAATAACATTTTGCATTTTCACAAAAGGAGTGGAGATTTAAGAAATCTTTTAGTTCAGCGGTTTCTGTGGTCGGAGGCAGTCGGTATGGATTTGGCGAGCGCGTACGCGGCCATCAGCACTCTGTCCATACTCACGGTGGATGATGGCATGGAACTATGTGTGGACTTCTACCGGTTCAAGGTGGAAGGTCCCACTGCCAAAGCATCAAGGCACATCCATTGTCCAGACAATTCAACAGTCCAGGGGGATTTTGCGTAATTTGTCTTGGTCAATCTTTGTTTTGGTGCCTTTTTGAAGTTGCCTTTCTTTGTCTTTGCTTTTGTCTATGTAGATTCTTGCTAGTTTTCTATTGCATAATTTTGTGTATGCAAATTTTCTAATTTTAAATTGTTTTTCAGTGAGTACAAGTTTTACTCGGGTTTGACTTTTACAAAGCATTTCATCGTGCCGCAAAATACAGAAGTTGGCACTGTTCTTCACGCTGGTGAGCACTTGGTTGGGTAAGTTTTATATTTCTGATTTTTTTGTCAATTTGCAAAAATTTTTGCATGAATTGAGAACTAAGTCAGTATAATTATGTTACTTTGTAGGCCGGACCCATATGTAGCATTCTCTATGGTATCAGCCGGACATGACCCAAAGTATTTGATCAGTGTTAAAAACCAGCCTGGCGGACTGCAGAGCTGTCCTTCTAACGGTCATGTGTTTTACCAAGAATGCGGTACTAGTGAAGCTTATTATACGCCGACGCCTATTCCCGCTGGTGGAAAATTTAATTCATTGAATCTGAATCAACTGGGCGTTTGCAAACTGACCTTTGGTCACACTCCAGATGGTCGGATTTGGGAAAGCCAGGGCCAGTGTCGGAAATTGGTCGTCGAGGGAGAATCTGCCATTTTGAAACCAGAGGCATGTCCGAAGGTAGAAAAGCTTGTGTTTACCATGGTGAGTCTTATTTTTAAGGTTTTTTTTAATTTTGATTTGTAAAAGAGTTTAAGCAATTTTTTGCAATTTTTTTTGGGTAGTTTAAAATGGTCTTTAGGCTGTTGTTATGTGGCTTGAGTACTAATTTCAATGGAATTTTGAATTTTAGTCTGCTCCTTCAGGCTGTTTTAGGGTTAGATGGTTTATATAATTTTGAATTTTAGGCCGCTTTGAAGAACCGTGCTCCATCGGCGAAAGGTGAACTGCCTGACGCTGAAGTCGACACCACCTTGGCAGTGCTTTACCTGAAGTAAGTTTTCTACAATGTAATATACTTTACTTTTTGTTTTTCGAAGATTTTCTAGATTTTATAAAAATTTTTTTGTTATTACCGGGTTTTTTGCATTTATTGCAGTCAAAATAAGGTTTGGCTTCTTTTTTATATTTGTTTGTAAAATTGTTAAAATTAGAAAAGTTAAAAAATTTGTTATAGGCCTAAGCCACTTACCACCACCACCACGCCCGAGCCTACCACTGAAGTCGCCGAAACGGCCGTTCCTAATTCAACCACTGAAGGATCAGAGTAAGTTTTTATGGCATTCTTTGGTCTATGTTTTGAAAAGTTCACGCTAAGATGGAGTAGTTTTTTTTTAAATTTTTTAATGAAAATCTAGCATTTGAATGCAAACTTTTTGTAATGGATTAAAATTTTAAGTTTAGTTTTACTCTGACATTTTTGTTTCAGCGCCTCCACCGTACCTGTAGATCCTTGGATGATTGGTCTCATTTGCGTTGTTGTTGGAATCTCCATCGGAATCGTGGTTGCACTTGTAGTGTTTTACAAGATGAAGGGCAAGAGAACTCGCAGAAAGAGCAAGAAAAGAAAGAAGAAAACGTCAAACACATCGTCGGACACATCGTCAAACATCAAGTCCAACATATCATCGAACACACCATCGAACACACCATCGAACGTACCACCGAGCCCAACGCCGAAGGAAAAGGCCATCATAAAAACGGGGAATCCAGAAATGGCTAACGCAGATGGAAAGGTTGTCCCTGAAGATGGAAAGCTTATCATTGTCGAGTTTGATAATTCAGCTAAACACCCGTCCGATAAATCCGCACGGGTCTAAACGACCGCAGAACCGGCTGATTTGCTCATTACTGGCTAATATCGACAGACCAATAAATATTTACTGATTTTTGCTTGTTTATCTTTTGGCAGTGTTTTGTCCGGTTTTAAATTTTCTATATTGATATTACAGTTGTTTTCTATATTGATAGTACAATTGTGTTTTCTATATTGATATTACAATTGTAAAATGTTGTAGGCACAAGTGATGGTGTAGACCTTCATCTAGGTTTGCCATACTCGTGGATCTGTTGTTTCTGCCCAGTTTGTTTCAATCCGCCTTTTTAAATGGAGAGCGTGGCGGGCTACCCTGTTGTATGGGAGGCTTGGAATTTTTGGTTTTGGTACTGAAATTAGCATAATGGTACTATGTGTTTGGTTTGACTTTTTGATACTAGTTGTTGCGATTCGTTTACCGTTTCAAAGTTTGCAAAGTGTCTCAAAATAATCGCGCTTTCTTTTTTCTGATTTTAGCACTAATTTTTGTTTAATAGAAAAGAGTAGGCTATAACAAGTGGTAAAAATGTTTATATACGTACTTTTAAAAACAAACTACAGTGTTAAGATATGTCGTTGCGGCGCCCTAAATAGTATTAAAGTTTAAATTGGTACGGTTTTAACATAATAGTACCATTTTTCATTTAGTACCATACTAGAACTAAATTAACTAAAAAATAAAAAAACCCCTTTAAAAAATCCGCAAATGTCCAAAAACCACATTTGTCCTAGCACCGCCAGAACAGTTCCGGAACAGCAAAAATAGCGGCATTTAAACTGTTTAAAAAATCTAGAACGTAAAAATAATGTATATCTATGTTATTTTGCAATTTAATGTTTTTATTTTATATCAATTTACCTTACTTTTATGTTTTTTTTTATCATTTTGTGCTTAAAACTAATAAATTTGTAAACTTTCAATTCTTATCTTCAAAGTTTAAATCCAACAAAACAACTAGATTATATTCAAAATTCGTGCTATGTAACACAACCTTTTCATTAAAAACGCCGTCATATCAAGCTCGCGCCATTCACTTGGCGCTTTTTTCCAAGTGGTCAAGTTGCGTTGACCTGTGTCCGATCCCGTATTTGGCACAAAATTACTTAAAGAAACCCCATAAAAACATTGATTAAACGGCGGGATTACGCATCCTATTCTAAAGTCGCAACGCGTAGAGATTTGCCGAATTGTGTGTGGACTGAAATCTCATGTGTAGGTTGACTGAAACAGGAAGAAAACGAATTTTAAGTTTATTTGTGCCATAGCTGTTCCGGTAGTACAGTCGTGTGCTTAATTTTAGTTTAATTTAAAAATGTTGGCTGAAGGACAATTGGTAAGTATTAATAGTGGATAAATTTAGATTTTTTAATATTATTGAACTTGTTTGTCTCAAAAATTAGCTTTTGTTGTACACGATCGTTTCTAGAATATGAAGTTGTTTTTAAATTTTAAAAAGTTAACAAAAACAGTTTTATCCTGTCAAATGAATGTATAACACCTCAGCATAAGTTTTTCCGACGTTTGCATGTGCAAACCGTGAACTTGCTTTAAAGGTTATAGCATAATACATTGACTTTTATGGCAAATTGTCATGATATTGTGATCACACAAGTATATCTTGTTATACTTTTAAAAAATTACTGTATTATCATAATGCTAACTTTATCATTTTAGAAAATCGACGCCGTAACGGCCCAGTTAAACCAGCTGAGTTTGCAGCAACAGCAGCAACTGATCCGTAATTTGCACACGCAAAACGGACAGCTCAACCACAACGTGCTGTCAAAGTATTTAGACTTCGACGTAACCGACAACGCGTTTTCGAATTTTTAAAACGCGTGACGAAATTTTGAAGAAGAATTAGTTCAATCGGGTCTATAGAGTTATGTACCTCAAGTACAATATTTAACAACAGGAAACGATGAGGAATTTTTTTGTGCAAACTTGCTCGGTGAATAGTATTATGTATTTAACATTCTTAGGTTTTGTATGTATAATGAACTTTGTAAATTATGCTTTGAATTGGTATGTTTTATGCCTTATTTATGTTTTGAGAAATTATTTACACTTCAGCGTTCTTACTTTAGAAAGCCATCAGTAAGTATTTTTAAGGGTCGCAAGAGACGCAATATCATATAAGACGCATTGGTCGGATCTTATTACTAGAACGTTTCTTGTAGAAGTTTTGTTATTCTTAAACTATTAAGCACGTCGGGTTTTGATCTTGAAAGAATAACAAAGACAAATGACTATTGAACGTTAATCAACAAACTGTCAGCTGTGTGATCGGCTTTGTAGAACATAATTCTTGAACAAATTGGTATCAAAAAGGTCATAGGACACTAATAGTTTTTGGAGGAATGTTTTTGAAGTTAGTCATTAGATGAAGACAAGGTGTTTTAATTTTAAACTTAAAAAAGAGATACGTATTAGAATGGGTTTTGTAGACATTAGATAAAGAAAGTAAACCCATCCTTTCCATTTATTTTAACCATTTACAGGTTTGTAAAAAATGTTTTTGTCAGTACTTTACAAGCTTTGACAATTCTCTAGAAGTCTCCACAATTTCAAGGATAAACCTTGGCCGAAGCTTGACATTTATTATGCTCAAACGGTAATAAATATTGTAGTAGATACGAGAACACCGCTTTTTTAAGTCTCAAATTGAATCAAATGCAAATTGAGCGAAAACTTCCTGGTAATGCGGCAGAATTTATGTGGCTACAATATTATAGCTGGACGGTCAGGATGGTGTGACTTTTGACAGGGGGGGGGGAGGTGCGGGAGTAGGATAGGGGGGGGGGTGGGTCAAGTGTGGTTATAGAAGAAGCATAGTGGTGTTTTAATGGGAGGGGGCGGGTAGGGTAAGGTAAGGTAGGGTAGGGTAGGGTAGGGTAGGGTAGGGTAGGGTAGGGTAGGGTAGGGTAGGGTAGGGTAGTGTAGGGTAGGGTAGGGTAGGGTAGGGTAGGGTAGTGTAGGGTAGGGTAGGGTAGGGTAGGGGTAGGGTAGGGTAGGGTAGGGTAGGGTAGGGTAGGGTAGGGTAGGGTAGGGTAGGGTAGGGTAGGGTAGGGTAGGGTAGGGTAGGGTAGGGTAGGGTAGGGTAGGGTAGGGTAGGGTAGGGTAGGGTAGGGTAGGGTAGGGTAGGGTAGGGTAGGGTAGGGTAGGGTAGGGTAGGGTAGGGTAGGGTAGGGTAGGGTAGGGTACGGTAGGGTAGGGTAGGTTAGACTAGGGTAGGTCGATACGATTTTGTAGAGTTTTTTGCATTTTTGTTTTGTAAACAAAGTTATTGCTAAAAATGAAAAACTATGGCAATCATTGTGCATCTTGAAAGTAATAACAACATGGTCTAATATCAGTGTTTGTTTTGATATTGCCTATAGAATGTAATTTGGGCCAATAAGATTATATGCAATATTTGTTTTTTGCTCATTATTTGGTAGGCTTCGTTGTCTTGATTCTAGCGGCCACTAGTACAATTTTGTTATATCTTTGCCATATATTTATTGTAAAGAAAGTTTTTGTCGCTTTACGCTTTGGTATACAGTCTCGCTAGCCTTTTAAACCTCAAAAAACATAGACATTTGGAGTTTGTTTTTTAATTTCGTTAAAGGTCAGACTGGTTTTTTGACCTTTCAATATTTAATCTTTTTTATTAATGTAAGCTATGTAGTAAAGTATTGTTATATGTGCCAAATATTTTTGTAATTTTACTTTCTGTAAACAAATATCAATATTCTAGAGTTGGTATTCTGGAGAGAGTTATTTTGTAAGGTAGGGTAGGGTAGGGTAGGGTAGAGTAGGGTAGGGTAGGGTAGGGTGAGGTAGGGTAGGGTAGGGTAGGGTGAGGTAGGGTAGGGTAGGGTAGGGTAGGGTAGGGTAGGGTAGGGTAAGGTAAGGAAGGGTAGGGTAGGGTAGTTTTAGCTACGGTAGGGCAGGGTAAAGTATAAAAATACATTTATTGGTCTTCCAGACCACTTTACTTATTGTTTTTATGTTTCTTTCGTCACGGCAAACGTACTAGCGTTTCAGGAACGACCAAAATAAGGTTTTTTTATGTCTAGCAAATTTGGACTATTTTTATTGATTCCGGTTGTTTCCTTTGTCAATCTCGGCCATAATCAAATCAATCATTCAGATATTTTTTTGATATCATGACATTGGTTACAGTGTTTAGAAAAAAAAGTGAAGCGTTATTTATGATGTTTTGTTTTGCAAAGAAAGTTCTTGCCATTGTTGGTTTTGAGAAGAAAGTTTTTGCCATTTCTGGTTTTGGAAAGAAAATTTTTGCATTTTTTTATTAGATATTTAAACAAAAGTGATTGAAGTAGTCAAGAATCATGTGCACTACTTATCAAAATTAGTTGTCATGTTTCTTGGCTAGACTTAAGACAAAGCCAAACAATATGTTACTTTTTGATTGATGTATGATTATGAGCTTCTTGATCTGATTTTGATATTTTGTGAATTATGGAGGAGGGGTGATTGATTTTGGCATTATGACCACCCTTTTTTGTGTTTGTCTTACGTCAAAAGTGCACCTTAAATATTTTTTTTGAAGAGTTTGATAAATTTCTGATTTTTGTTAATAATAGCAAAGACTTTCGTTACGGAATAAAAAATGGCAAGAACTTTCTTTACAGAACAAGAAACGAAAAAAACTTTCTTTACAAAACAAAAAACAAGAAATGGCTAGAACTGTCTTTACAAGCCAAAAATTCATTCTAACGCGCTTTTTTCTTATTGCGCGGTGCCCTCATTGAATTTAGTTTTGCACGGTGCAGTCAATTATTTATGACTGCACCGTGCAGTTTTATAAATATTACACTGTGCAGTAAACTTTTGCTTTTTTCCCTTTATTTTTAGTTTTTTATGATTCTAAATTTAAAAAAATTGTTTTAAGGTCTATTTTAAGCTTTGTTTAAAACCACTTTTTAAACATTTGAGTGCTTATCATACGATTATTAAAAGTTTATGTGGTTTCATGATAATAATCAAGTACATTTGTTTTTTAAAATTGAATTTTGAATTTGAAAACGTTTTAAATTTTTTCAATTTTGTTTTAAAAACTATCGTAAACTAGTTTTAAACCAAACAGTTTTGTTATTAAGGGGTTATAAAAGTCTTGTCGTTTTTTGTTATATAAAACAATGCAACTTGACGACAAGACTTTTTAAACACATCCAAAGGCTAATAAAGGTCAAAACCTCTCTTAACAAGCCCTGAACTGTTATAGAAATTCACTCAAACTTGTTAATCCATTCACAAACACGGTGTCGGTTAATGTATTCAGGTTGGTAGACAGCCGGCTGTATTATTGACAAGCCTTTTTGCTTTTATAAACCTAACAAATGACCTTTTTGTTTATGATGTCTTCCTTGAACACAATTTCCGCCAGGGATTTCCTGGATGACAGAGAGCGGGCTTTGAAGAGTACCCGAGATTATGAGTGATTCCAAGAAATATTGTATGTTGGATTAAAAATGGCAGAAGGGTTTTTGTTGCACAGTGCAACTTTAAAAGAAAGGTTAGAGTAGGGTAGGGTAGGGTAGGGCATGGCTAAAGCTAAGGCTAAGGCTAAGTCTAAGGCTAAGGCTAAGGCCTGGACCAAAACCAGGACCAGGACCAGGACCAGGACCAGGACCAGGACTAGGACCAGGACCAGGACCAGAACCAGGACCAGGACCAGGACCAGGACCAGGATCAGGACCAGGACCAGGACCAGGACCAGGACTAGGACCAGGACCAGGACCAGGACCAGGACCAGGACCAGGACCAGGACCTGGACCAGGGCTAGGGCTAGGACTTTGTATATTAAGAACCTACGTCAATCTCTCTGGCTAATATTATGTTTTTAAACAAATTATATTGACATTGTTCCGGCCTGCCACTCTCTGCATTTCATTTTTGATGCCAATTGACTGGTCGGTCCATTTAATTTTTTCACTTTATAATCAACTTTTACCATAAAACATTTTTTTAGTTTGTAAGCTAAAAGTCTCCTGAGGCATGGTTTTCGTGGAGTTTGATTGAATTTCATAAAACTTTTTTTGTTTTATATATTCTCGGGCCCTGAGGGGATTGGTGGGACAAGTTTTACGACGGTATGTCGTGTACATGTTTGGGTTTTACTATGTCGGACATTTGTATATTTTTTTGATAATCTCTGGTTTTTGATATTAAAGGGTAAAAATGGCAAGAACTTTCTTTACAGATTGAAAAATGGCAAGAACTTTCTTTACAGGTTAAAAAATGGCAAGAACTTTCTTTACAGATTGAAAAATAGCTAGAACTTTCCTTACAAAACAAAAAATGGCAAGAACTTTGTTTACAAGCCAAAAAATTCATTCTAACTCACTTTTTTATTATTGCACGGTGCACTCATTGAATTTAGTTTTGCACGGTGCAGGCATTTATATATGGCTGCACCGTGCAGTTTTATAAATATTGCACTGTGCATTTTGACTTTGAATAGACAAGAACTTTCTTTACAAGGTTAAGCATGGCATAAGTTTTGGCTAAAACCTAAATTTAATAATCTTCGTATAACTTGTCGTCCGCAGACTGCACAGCCAAAAAGCGTTTTTGTCACTTTTGTGTCATGAAATTGCAAGAACTTTCTTTACAAACTTAGAAATAGCGAGAACTTTCTTTACAAGGCATAAAATTGCAAAAACTTTCTTTCCACTTCAAAAAATTCGTCTTTTTTTCAATTCTTTCAGATTTTCTTTGAAATTTTCTAAAACTCAGAGCGAAAAAAACTTCCTTATTAGTCTTCGAATCAACAACTTTTCCCGGCTTCGGTCGAAAAACAAGTATAATTTCTTAAATGTTTCCTAAAATGGTTAGGATCCCTTGCCTTTTTTCCTGAAATCGAATTTACGTGAACAGACATTTACAATTGCCTTCAACTGATTTAATTTTGCGGTTTTGCGTTTTTTCCTACCTAAATTGCAGTGGCTTTTTGAAAACGTGAAAAAGGGCTAGTCTTTAGTCTGGCTAGCTTTTACAGTGGCAATTTTTGAAAAATACTGGTATTTTTTGTTTTGTAAAGAAAGTTCTTGCTATTTTTTGGTTTTAAAAAAGAAAGTACTCGCCGTTTTTTATGTAAAATCAAAAAATTTTGAGTTGTGCAGGCTGCGGGGACAAGTTATGTGTTGATTGATTTTTTTGAAGTTTTGTAGTTTTGTAAAGAAAGTTTTTGCTATTTTATGCCTTGTAAAAACAGTTTTTGCCACGTTTTCTTTTGTAATGAAATTTCTTGCTATTTTTTGTTTTGTAAAGAAAGTTTTTGCCATTTTTTGTTTTGTAAAGAAAGTTCATGCTGTATAAATTAAAACGATTAAAATTTAGCTTTCTGCAGACTGCGGGTGAAAAGTTATACGATGAATCTTATTATAAAGATATCTTTGTTTTGTAAAGAAAGTTTTTTCTATTTGTCATTTTATGAACCAAATTTTTCCCATTTTAATGTAAAAAACCAATGTTTTATGTTTTGCAAACTGCGGATGACAAGTTATACGATGATTGATTTTTTTTTGAGTTTTTGGGTTGTGTAAAGAAAGTTCTTGCCATTTTACATTTTGTAAAGAAAGTTCCTGCCATTTTTCTTTTGTAAACAAAGTTCTTGCCATTTTATGTTTTGTAAAGAAAGTTCTTACCACTTCCTTCGTTAAAGCACTAATGAGTACTAAAAAGTGCACAACTCAATTCATCCGGAAACGTTAGTCACTTATTGTCATATCTGCACTGTAAACATCAGATTGTTCTCCACACTTTTTCTTTTGTTATTTACTTTTAAAAATATTTGTGGTACGCAAACGTATCTAAAGGATTAATTTTAGATGTTTCGTGGATTTGCATATATTTAGACATGTAGGTATAGTGTATTAGAAGGTTTTTTCGATTTAAATAGCTGGTTTTTAAACAAGTTTACTTTTTTTAATTCTGAGGTTTGGAACGAAAGTTCTTGCCATTTTTTGTTTTGTAAAGAAAGTTTTTGCTAGTTTTGTGTAAAATAACAAAAGTTTTGCATGGTGCATGCTGCGGGTGGCAAGTTATACGATGAATAGTTAATTTTCAACCTGTAAAGAAAGTCCTTGGCATTTTATGTCCTGTAAAGAAAGTTATTGCCATTTTTAAGTAAAATTTTTTACTTTATAGACCTTGAAGCCTGTGGGTAACAAATTATACAATTTATAATATATTATAGTCATTTTTGGTTTATTAAAGAAGGTTTTTGCCATTTTTTAGTCTGTAAGGAAAGTTCTTGCAATTTTTGTTTCATTTTATTCGATTGACTTTTGTTTCATAGACTGCGAATTTACCTATCTAATTAAATTACCACGCCCAACAAAATCCCCCGGTGACAATTTGGGCATGCTCTATTACTTTTCGGCCGGTTAACCGTAAGTAATTCTTTTAAAAACTGTTTAAAATAACGCGTGCCCTGTGGCGATAACATATTTTGGCCAAATAGTTTGTTGTTTTGCGTTTTTTTTATAAAAAAAAAGAAATTTAGGCAAAAACTTTGTTTACAGGGCGGGGGGAATGCAAGAACTTTCTTTACATAACTTAAAATGGCAAGAACTTTCTTTACAAAACAAAAAATGGCAAGAACTTCCTTTACACATCAAAAAATGGCAAGAACTTTCTTTACAAAACAAAAAATGGCAATAATTTCCTATACAAAACAAAAAATAGCAAGAACTTTCTTTACAGGTCGAAAAATGTCATTTTATATCATACATTTTACCATTGCACGGTGCATTTACTAAATTGACTTTTGCACAGTGCAGTGTTAAAAAAATTGCACCGTGCAGTATTAAAAACATTGCACTGTGCAAGAAAATTTTTCAAAAAGTTTTTTTTAAATAAAAAAAAATTTTTTTTGTTTTTGTCAGCTTCAGAATTTAGCAAAAACCTGTCGTGCTTAAGTATGAATTGTGTTTTTGAAGCATTGTGAGGAAGTGGAAATGAATTCAACTACTTATTTTTTGTTTCAAATTCATATCTTGAATTTGGCTTTGTCCAGATTTGAAAAAGGTTGTTGGACATTTTAAAGCGGCGTTTTGACAACTTTGACACATTGTAAACAAAGTTTTGTCATTTTTTGTTTTGTAAAAAAGTGCTTGCCATTTTTTGTTTTGTAAAGAAAGTTTTTCCCATTTTTTGTTTTGTAAAGAAAATTTTTGCAAATTGTTTAAAAATGGGCCAGAAAATTAAAAATTTTTAAATGTTGCACAGTGCAAAAATATTACACTTGGCATAATTTGTTTAGTAGAATAAGTCTTAAGACGTGTTAGACCTTTTCTCGTATTTTACCTTTTATTTGAAATTTCAAATTAAATTTAGCTTTTTTCAATTTGGCAATAATTTAAAAATTTTTATTTGCACTGTGCCACTTTTTTTAACCTTTCTATTAGTACGGCTGAAAGCAAAGCAATTGTAAAAAATGTTTAGCTAGCGAGCAAAGAGCGAGTGTTTGAAGCATGACAAAGTAGGTGTAGTTAGAGTTAATTAATACTATAAACATTTTCGTCCTTTTTATGTTTTCGAAGTTTGTGATCTCTGGAGATGAGGTGTGCATAACTAACTGAGAGTTTGCAAAGAATCCCCTCCTCCTCCCTTCCCCTCCCCAGCAATAACATTTGTAATAGTATGGTAAGGTGGGGTAGGGTAAGGGAAGATACAGTAAGGTATAGACACAATGAGTAGAGTAGTGTAAGATGTCGTAGTGTAGTGTAGGACAGAGTACAGTAGAGTGGTGTCTGTTGTGGTTGGTTTTGAAGCTTTTCAGCTTTGAGCTTAGCCCAGAGCCCTAGCTCAGAGATTTAGCTCAAGCCCTAAACCTAGACCTAGACCTTAGACCAGAGCCCTAGCCTAGAACCCTAGCCCAGAGCCCTAACCCAGAGCCCCAGCCCAGGGACCCAGTTCTATAATAGCTCAAGCTCAAGTTCAAGCTCAAGCTCAAGCTCAAGCTTAAGTTCAAACTCAAGCTCAAGCCCAAGACCTAGCTAGTAGTCGAACTCCCGTTTTTCCCTGGATTGATGCTTGTTAGGGGTGGGTTTAATTCAATTTTCTCACCTCTTCAGACTCTCGACGCATCGTTTATTTCTCGGCTTTCCCCGCCTGCCATGCCATTTATTTATTTTTTGGGTATAAATGAGACATTAGTACGATGCACTTTAAATTAAATGTCGTCGTAGAAAAACAAAAAAAAACTTTTTTTTGTCTTTGGGTGAGATTAGGCTCGCTTACGTGAACAAAAAACAAATATAATAGGAGGATAAGGAATCTTGGTAAGAAAAATTGAAGGGGGGGGGGCGGTTGAGATAAAACTTTTGATGCAGTTATACTGATTATGATAGATCTCTACTTTTTTTGTAATACAAGACTTTGTACAGAAAGTTTTTGCTATTTTATGTTTTGGAAAGGAAGTTTTTGTCATTTTTGTTTTATAAAGAAAGTCCTTGCCGTTTTTTACTTTGAAAAGAAAATTCTTATCATTTTTGGTTTATAAAGGAAATCTTTGCCATACTTTGTTCTGTAAAGAAAGTTCATGCCGTTTTTTCCATTGTAAAGAAAGTTTTTGCCATTTTTTGCTTTGTAAAGAAAGTTCTTACCATTTCTCGTTTTTTAAGAAAATTTGTGCAATTTTTAGTTATGTGAGCAACGTCTTTAGCTATTTTAACTATTTTTTTTAAATACGTTGTGATGACACATTTTTTGGAAAATCTGTCATGATGACGAATTTTTTAAAATTTTGTAAAATTGTTTGAAACGGTGGTTTAGCTGTGTTTCTTAGGTATTTATAGTCATTTGAGTTCATAAAGCACATCTGA